CTCACTTAGCTGATTTAGTGACCAGAATCAATTACAATTATCACTACATGTCTGAAACTGGAAGCTTGATGACTGTTTCTGGAGCAGAGACAAACCCTTCGAGGCCCTGGACTGCCAAAACTGATGTCTGAATTGGAACTACGCTCTCCTTTACTTTGGTGACAATGTATTTACTATTATACGTCACTGTTTTGGAAGATATGCATTTATGTATATTGCAAATTAGCTCTAGACATTTACAGTTTTGTGTATGTTAACTTGTCATGATTGACATTGAAAATCAGAAAAAACATGTCAAAAGTATCGAGCAAAGAAAAGAAAAACCACCTAACAGAGCAATTGAATTTGATTAAGCTAAAATCTTAAGGGTAAAAGTTTGACTAACTTACAACGAAAGTCCATTTTGTATGTAAAATAATTCTCATGTTCCGTTATTAATAGTTGTAAAGTGATGACCTATTGTTCTGTTCTTCTCATGTTCCTAATTTTAAATGGGACACATAGAACAACTATTTTGATTCTCATACTGTCTCCCATTTCCCATTCCCGCATAGTCAGTCCCGGATGGCCGTTTACACATCCCTTATCAGCTTATCTTATATGAGGATAAAATGGTTAAAACAAAAATGAAAGTAAAACCCTCAATATATTTCTTTCACGGCTCTCGTGTGTTTTTTTCTGTGTATATATATAAATAACATTAACGATTGCAGAAAACATATCAACTTTTAGTAGATATAAAAACAAAAAAAAAAGAGTAACGCCTTTGATTATCTCATCGACTTGACCCAATCTCACTGTTTTCGCTTTTTTCAGAGTCGTCCAAAATAAAGATCAACGAGACTTAAACGGAGTATATTAACTTATATCGGATTCTGGTCTCAATATAAAAAAAAGGATTAAAAATTTACCAAAATGAAGAAAAACATGTTTAGTGTTTTTTTTTCCTTGTATTGATTCTTCTTCTGCATGTTTCTGATAAACTAGAAGATTTCCATGAAAAAAAAAAACAATTAGAAGTCACATTTCAACATAGAATTATTTATTTGTGTATCCTAAATTCACATAAAGACCCTAAATCTTTTCGTATTTGATAATTAAATTTATACTTCCATGTTAATACTTTTATCGTTCAGTTCACTTTCAATCAAATGAGTATGTATTAGCATATGATGTCAAAAAAAGAGAGTATATATCATATATACACAGACACAGACATATATTCCTCTACTCAAATTATGTTGTTACAAAAGGAGAAAACTGGATCAGATTACTAAAAATTGCATGAAACTGTACTGTATTTGGTTTCATTACACATATATGCAGGGGCGGATCTAGTAAAGGAAGAGGGTGGTCACTTGACCCCCACTACTTTTGTAATAAAAAAAATTCATACTTAATTATGTGATAATTCTTTTAATTTGCTCATGTTTAATGGTAGTTTTTGTTAAACATATAAAATTGACCCCCTTGTTTTTTCCTTTTGTTAAAATTTGACCCTCTTGTGTGAGATATAATTCCTATCTGTTGCATCATTTTTATAATTTGATTTCCATTTAGTTGTTTGTTTTTCTTGATTTTGTTTGATATGCACAATATCTATAAGAATATTCATTATTCCATAAATAAACTTAAAACTGCTTTATATAAGTATGTTTAAAATTATTTTCAGCAAAAAAAAATTTTATATTAATTATAATTATATTAGCATTGACCCCCACTAAGAAAAATTCTAGCTCCGCCCCTGCATATATGGTTAGATAAATAGAGGAGTGGAGGGAAAGTTGGGGGTTCAAAAAGAAATGAAAATAATGGACCAACCAAACATGACACGATTTTTTTGTCTTGTATAGATCTATCTCTAAGTTTGAAAATCCCCTTTATTTTTATCTTTCTTTTTGTGTCTGGGTAGTTTGAAACTTTGAATCGTGGATCTAACTTTTTACTCTCTGGTTATAACCGTAAAACGTTACTCTTAGGTCAATGACGACCTCTCGTTATGTCCTTCTCACACTAACAGCTTTAACGCATCAGTCTTCCAAATATAAAAATGTATAAAGTTGATCGATGCATCTTAAAATTTTGAAATCCAGTATTTCTAGCTTTGAATATGTAACTCCCATGTGGTAAGTAAAACTGTTGGCTCTAGCTCGTCACTGTAGCTTTTAGATTACTCGTGTGTGTTGTGATCTTACTGGCTTGTGGCGTGTATGTCTGCTTGAGTTACTTTTTTGTTTGTAGTATTCTTTTGGTATATAAATATCATTTAACATAAAAATTTCATCTGACTTTATTAACAAAATATCACTTAACTTTATTTATTTTCATATATTTCAATAGTAATCAAAATAGTAGAACCTTTTTCCTTATAAAGATAAGCTATGATTAGTTGAAAAGAACAAAAATGTTATCTGGATATTTTTAGACAGCATTTATATAAAACGGCTACAGGTTAAGCTAGCGATTCATAATAATGGTTTCGTAAAATGTATTATAATTCATCATTTTGAAAATAAGTATATCTACAGAAAATCGATCATCAAGTTCAAGGTATTATTAAGTCGTGGAACTGGAACATAACAAGACCTGAAAATGCAGATTCCACCACTTTATTATTCACTGGCTACGTATCTTTTCTGTTTTTCTGAGTAGCTCTGCAGATCTAAGTATTAAACATTAAAAAATCTAATAATTATTTTGTTTTTGTTTTGATCTTATGCGTCCAAGAACAATGAGATCTATTACAAATTAATTTATTGATTCCTGATATTTATAAATATTAAAGTAAAATTGTGGAACGTTTTATTGTGGAAAGAGGAGAAATTCCCCACTAAATAAGCAAGTTCATGTAGATTTGGTCAAAGTAACCGTTTAAATTAGATACAAGTTTTGTTTTACATGTATACAAAAGTTTCATCACATAATGTTATCTTAATCAATTCATAGACCACGATAAAGTCCAAGTATGCTCTTAAAACGGAGCAATTCCAATAGAAATGAAACGGATTCTTTACGTTCTTCTACAAATGATTTTAAATTTGAAAGGATAACTTATAATTGATGGATGGATGGATCCTTACCATGTGGTGTCCAAATAATAAGCCTCAAGGAATATGTAAAGAAACATAGACACACGTAAACAAACAAAATTTATATCAGAAGAGTGAGTTTGGGGTAAACGTGCATTTGGTCTTTGTTTTCATTTTACTAGTTTAGTTGTTATATTTTAAAAGTTACTTTACCATTTAAATATAACTGGTGGAATCTTTCTTCAAATCTTAAATTTGAACAGAGTTTTGTATTTTAATCACTTTTATTTACCATGAAAACAGAGTTATGTTTTCTAATCTCTTTCATTTCACCTTTGGATGAAGAGTCACGCTGTCTGTCTTTAAAAAATTGAGTAACAGCGCATTTGAAGAACGGTGTAAATAAATGTGTAGAATTATGATACATTTATTGGGAAACGTAACTGTTCCTTTTACTTTAATCATTTTTTATAATTTTAACTAAAATGTAACAAAAAAATTGTATCATAAATCTGTATTAATTACAACAGGTTAATGGAGAAATGCAAATGACATAGAACCCAAAACAACTAAGGTGATTGAGATGCAGAACAATTTTAATGATTAGTCACCAAAATCTATGTTAAATCACATACCATATTGAAAAAAGTTAACGACTAATCACTGAATCACAATTTCCACAATAAACTTTTGTTAGTTCTTTCTTTTCCCCTTATTTCATGGTCAAATGGTCAATGAGTTTCGTTAGAGGTACATAAATAAACATTTCTTTCTAAGTAATACTAGTAACAAAGTTTATATGTTTTTTAATGAATTATTAAATTAATATCTTTAAACTCTTGTCTATCCCGCTCACTTCCACAAGACAGTCCCTTTGCATAAAAGCGAATTGACTATACATTTACTCTCCATCTGCCCAAGCTCCCTTCTTTTTCTTTTGTTTTCTCTCCCAAGAGCTCTTTTCCCCCAGAAAAAAAGAAAAGGGTCTTTTTTTTTTTTTCTTCGAGGAATTTTCTGGATCGTAGTAAGTTCCTATCGCACTCTGTCTCCATGTTCTTTGATTTAGAAACAAAATTTGTGTGTTGTTTGTTTGTACACGCATCTGCATTTGTACGGACAATGTTCCGATAGGGTTTTTTTGAGAGGGTTTCTTGAATCTTCGTTCAGATTTTTGAAGCTTTCTGCTTTTTGGGTCAGTCGAATTTTTTCATGGGTCTCTTTGTTTTCTACGAAAGAATCGATAGGTTTGTTTTGGAGATCTTGAAGCTCTAAGCTTTCTCATGGGTCTCTCTGTTCGTTTTCCCGAGAAAATGTGGATGCTTCGGAGAAGAAGAAGAAGCTTTTTTTTTTTTTGGGTTCCGATTTCTAATCGATAATACACATTTTCTATTTTTTTTTTTTTTTTTATATAAAACCCATCAAAGAAAGAGAGAAAATTTCGATTTTCCGAATACTAATTTCCCTCATGTTTCTTCAAATTTTATTTCTCCAAATTCTGCGACTCGGTCTTTGCTCTATAATTGCTGCGACTTTTCTCCATAGGTTTTGAGGCATTGAGGGTTTTTCTGCTTTACTGTTTGGATTTTTTTCAAATCAAAATAACTTCCGATTTCACTTTCGCATCTGACTAAATTGGAAAAAGGTTTGAAACTCTGTAACTTGAATTTACCATCTTTGAAGAAAAAGAGTCTCGTAAACAATGATGTGGTGCTATTCTGGGTTGTTGAATCATAAATGAGCAATTGTGGTCTCATAATGAGATAAAGCTTCCATTTTTAGACTAGACAATTTCCTCCGAACATCTTGTATGCATTGGTCTATTTCCATCTGCATCCATACTTGCTTGTTTGTTTTAAGATATTAATCTCTATGTTCTGTATCAACCTTTCATAACACTGATCTTCCACTTCAATTTCACAGATCAAACGTCGTCAAAAAGGGTTTTTGGATCGTCTCTCAAAACTCTCAATCATGGGGAAAGAGGGAGATGTTTCTGAAAACACCATACCTCTCCATGGACGCCCATTGACTCGTGCTTTCGCGTGTGCTCTGCGTGCTTCTTCTAAACTGATAACATCTTCAGAAGTTGCTGCTGCTGCTACAACAACACAGATCAATCAGACACAACGGGTTTCGAGATCAAACAGTAAAAGAACAGCCTTTGATGATGAGAATAAGAAAGCGAATGCTACTAAGAAGCGAGCTGTTCTTAAGGATATCACCAATGTTACCTGCGAGAGTTCTTACATAAGTTGCTTCAATGCAGCTAAAGCTCAGGTTTTTTAAACAATGCTCTGCTTCTATGTTACATATGACAAGAAAGTATGTTTTTTGTTGCTGACAGTTGTGGTTTCTTTTCAATTTAGGTGGAGAATATCAGACATATAAAGAAGGGACGAGCAAGTTCTTCAAAAGTTGCATCTTCTTCTGATACTTCAGAAGTTACAGATGCAAAAGTTGAAGTTGTGTCATCAATTTCAGCAGGAGTAAGCTTGTCCGGTTGTACAAACGAAGCATCTTCTAGTTTCGGTTTGCCTCCAAGACCCCTTGGGAGATCAACTTCTACAGGTGAAATATTTGCAAAATGTTAGTTACTGTTGTTGTGTGAGTGATTTATAACATCTCTGATGCTTATTTTTCTTGCTAATGGTTTTACAGTTGAGAGAAGCTGTGTTGGAGGAAGTAGCCCCAAATTCGTAGACATTGATTCAGATGAAAAGGATCATCTACTCTGTAGCCTTTATGCACCTGAAATCTACTACAACCTGCGTGTTGCTGAGCTTAAACGCAGACCATTTCCTGATTTTATGGAGAGAACTCAAAGAGATGTGACTCAGACAATGCGTGGAATCCTTGTTGATTGGCTTGTAGAGGTTAGTCATTAGAAATCCATTTTTGCTTTGCTAACTTGTCAAGTCTTTTTTATGTGCTTCTTCTCATCAAAAGTCAAAAACTTTCAGGTGTCAGAGGAATACACACTTGTACCAGACACTCTCTACCTCACAGTGTATCTCATAGATTGGTTTCTCCATGGAAACTACATGGAAAGACCAAGACTTCAATTGCTTGGCATCACTTGTATGCTCATTGCATCGTAAGTTTTCTCATCTCAATCACCTAATTATGTATTGGCAACAAAATGAAACAATTCTTGGTCTGAAAAAACGGAGTTTTGTTTGTTCTTGACAAGAAAATACGAGGAGATATGTGCGCCACGGATTGAGGAGTTCTGCTTCATCACGGATAACACTTACACAAGAGATCAGGTCCTGGAAATGGAGAGCGAAGTGCTAAAGCATTTTAGCTTCCAAATTTACACTCCCACTTCAAAAACATTCCTAAGGTAATCAATCTCGCTAGACACTGAAAATGCCTTTTTTAGTCTTTTAGTGATTCAAAGTTTGTTTTCTCTTTCTTGCAGGCGATTTATCCGAGCAGCTCAAGCTTCTTACCTGGTAATGTGTTGTTGTTTCTTTTTATAACAAAACTCATAGAACATTGAGCAGAAAGATTGAAACTTTTTGGTATTTTGGGTGATGATTCTGCAGAATCCAAGTCTGGAAATGGAGTTTCTAGCGAATTATCTTACGGAATTGACGCTAGTAGACTATCAATTCTTGAAGTTTCTTCCTTCAGTCATTGCTGCTTCGGCTGTTTTTCTTGCCAAGTGGACATTGAACCAATCAAGCCACCCTTGGGTCAGTTCCTCTTCTTCGTCAAGAACACATATCACTACTTCTTGTTCTGTTCCACAAATCTTGAATCTTGAATCTCACTCGTTTTTCTTATGTTGTTGTTACAGAATCCAACTCTTGAGCATTATACAACGTACAAAGCCTCCGATCTCAAAGAATCTGTTCAGGCCTTGCAAGATCTACAGCTTAACACCAAAGGATGCTCCTTAAACTCTATACGCATGAAGTATAGGCAAGACAAGGTAAAATAAGTTAGTTAATCTCGGTTTGGTTTGGTTTCGGTTTAATCTATCGCAAAATGTAAACCAAATTTTTGTTGCTTGCGTTTTTGTGTACAGTTCAAATCGGTGGCGGTTTACACTTCTCCAAAGCTACCTGGCGAGCTATTCTGAGAAGCAAAGAGACTAAACCAAGCGGTTCAATTCCTAACCGATAGAAAGCATCTGTATCAACTTTTCTGGTGGTCCGGTTCAGCCCTCATTCATTGTCAAATAAAACATCAATCTTTCCACGGTTCAACCGGATTATTCCGGTTTAATGTAGATTTTTCAAAGAGATAGCTCTCTGATGGAGATTGTTTTCAATTGTATAAGTCTAAGTCGGAGACTCGGATGTACATTTTTTTCTTCTCTCTTTCATCAGGCAATTTCTGCTACGGAATATTTTGTTCCGTCTTCCATTAATGGTTTAGAAATACAACGGAATATTTTGAAGACAAACGAGAAGCTCAAAGACAAAACCAAAAAGAACAAAAAAAAATGTCAAGATCATATATATTTTACAAAAAATTAAACTAAACTTATACAAAAAACGTGGTAACTGTACAAATATTAACGAAGAGCCTCCCTATATTTGACACATTACAACATTTGATTCAGATTCTTTTGATATCCAATGACATCCATGAAACCTTTCTAATCACACATCAAAAATCATTTGACTCTCTTCAAACAAAAAAATAGTAATTGAATGGGATCTTACTTACGTAAGCCTTAAGGGGAGGAATCAATATCAGACATTGTCAGAGAAGCTGTCGAAGATAGCGATGCGAGCGTACAAATAGACGAAGACGGCGAAAGTGAGTGGAGATTAGAAGAAGAAGAAGATGACGTGAGATGTAGAGCCATGTTATTGCCTTCGCTCCAAGACCGTCTGATCGGGAACGAGACGATCTCGGACCTTCGGTGACCGCAAGATCGATCGTGAAGCGCGCAGCTACAGTTCTTGTGGTATGGACGTCGTTCGATGGAAGAGTCGCAACTAGAGATGCAACCTTCGAGGATGTTGCGGAACATTCCGTCCACGGATCCAGCAGACATCATTCTCTCTTTAATACCTCTCTCTGTCTCTCTCTTTATGTTACGAAGGAGATACGTTTTTCTCCAACGTGAACAAAGAGTGAACGTGTTGTCGTTTGCGAAGAAAGATTTTGTTGTTGTCAAAAGATGAATTCTGATTTTTGGGGTTATTTTAGAGATTCTTTTTATAGTCAAGCAGAAATAGTGGTTAAAGAAAGTGACGATTGCACATGAGAAGCGTGAGAGTTTGTGTTCTCGCACTCTTTTCGGGATCTTTGACCAAACCACCTTCTTGTTTTTTCTTTTCTCAATCTTTCTTTTATTTAAAGAGCTGTTTTAAAAAGAAACGTATCTTTTTTTGGGGGAGAAATTGTAGTATATATAACAAAAGTATCTAGGTGGAACGAAAAGTATATGGTTGTCAGTTGACTAATTTAAGTATTATGGTAATGGTAGTCAGTTGAAAAGAAATTTTAAAACAGCTCTTTTCTCAATATTTTTTTGGTCTTGCTAATATATTTCTAGGTGACAATATCTTTACTTGGTTTACTTTCCGTAGGATGATAGGATCACGAGATGATGTTAAAGAGACAGCTATACAAATCGTATCTCTATGGTTGTTATATGAATGGAGATATGATTATGCGATCCTCTCCTTGATTGAATCAGCTTTAAGTGTACTATATTAACAAACAACAACAAGATGGAGAGAATCGCATAATCATATCTCCATTCATATAACAATCATAGAAATATGACTTGTATAGCTGTCTCTTTAACATATGTTTTCTTGTAGAGTTGTAGTGTTCCTGAATTTTCATATGTGACGACTTATGAATCGCTCAAAGAGTATAATCCTAAACAAATAAACAAAGAGATTCATCCATGGTGAATGGTGAAAACAAACCTGATTTGTTGACGCAATTGAGAAATTAAGATGAAACAATGGATGAGATAAAAGTTTTTGAGACAAACTGCAACGTAAACGAAATAAATTAAGATAAGTCTCATACGATGATACGAAGCTAGAGTTTAGGCACTATCTTTGCCTCTCTTCTGTTCTTCTACGTATTTGCAAAGTAATTTTTTTTTGGCTCTTCATAAAAATTGGTTACTTATCCGACTATGAAAATTTATTGGAGATATCTTTAGAAAGCAAAATGTGTTGCTTGCTAACCAAGTAATATGGGTTATCGAAGCCCGTTAATGAAACGAAGCCCATGAAGACCATAAAGTAGAAGGTATAAGCCGAGTAATGCCATCCTTAAACTTTTCCTCAGATTGCCCAGTGAGAGCTAACAAATGTATGAGTTTCGAACATTGGGCTATGTCCCTCCCTCAATTTAAGTCAACCGATGGTGCAATGCAATCCTACGTGGCTATATGTCTCTGACTCAGCTAATTATTTTGAATCGATGAGGGTAATTTTGTCTAACCGTGTTTTTTACTCTTCCGTCGGTGTTGTTGAATATTCACTCGTCGTATTAAATTCTGAAAACGCTAATCGAAATTTACTCTCTCATGTCTTCTTTCACCGAGAAAATCCTCACTTCTTAATCTTCTTCTTCTTCGCAGCCAAATCTCTTCTTCCACGGAATAAGGTAAGTCTCGATCTTCTTTCCCACTTTGGAGAACCCTAATTTTCTCATTTCTCAAAACACCTTTCTCTGTTTTTCACCTCCTTCGTCGACAAAATTTTAACAGCTAAAGTCCAGATCTGAGCTTCCTACACTGTTCGCCGATCCGGATCATATAGATCTGACGAGCTTTTTTCATTTTTTTTTCAATTTATTTATCCAGGTATGAGGTCGATGGATCGATTCGGGATCTGCATGCTTGCAATTTTCTCGGTGATTCAATCAAGTTCTGGGTTTTACCTTCCAGGTAGTTACCCTCACAAGTACGAAGTTGGCGATTATTTGAATGTGAAGGTGAATTCACTCACTTCGATCGAAACGGAAATGCCCTTTTCCTATTATAGTTTGCCATTTTGCAAACCCGCCGAGGGAATTAAGGATAGTGCTGAGAATTTAGGCGAGCTTCTAATGGGAGATCGGATCGAGAATTCGCCGTATAGGTTTAGAATGTTTAAGAACGAGAGTGAGATCTTTCTTTGTCAGACTGAGAAGCTCTCTGCCGATAGCTTCAAACTCTTGAAGAAGAGGATTGATGAGATGTATCAAGTTAACCCAATGCTTGACAATTTGCCGGCGATTCGGTATACGAAGAAAGATGGCTATGTTTTGAGGTGGACTGGGTATCCTGTTGGGATCAAGGTTCAGGATGTTTACTATGTGTTTAACCACTTGAAGTTCAAGGTTCTTGTTCACAAGTATGAAGAGGCTAATGTGGCTCGTGTGATGGGGACTGGAGACGCGGCTGAGGTGATTCCGACGATTGGGAAGAAAGATTCGGATGTGCTTGGGTATATGGTTGTTGGTTTTGAGGTGGTTCCTTGTAGCTTTGCTCATAATGGTGACTCAACGAAGAAGTTGAAAATGTATGAGAGGTACACTACTCCGATCAAGTGTGATGCTGCTAGTGTGTCAATGTCTGTGAAGGAAGGCCAGTCCATTGTGTTCTCTTACGAAGTCAGTTTCGAGGAGAGTGATATCAAATGGCCGTCTAGATGGGATGCGTACTTGAAGATGGAAGGTTCAAAGGTTCATTGGTTTTCGATTTTGAACTCTCTGATGGTGATCACTTTCTTGGCTGGTATTGTTCTTGTGATATTCTTGAGAACTGTGAGGCGGGATTTGACGCGGTACGAGGAGTTGGATAAGGAGGCTCAAGCTCAGATGAACGAAGAGTTATCTGGATGGAAGCTTGTCGTGGGTGATGTGTTCCGTGCTCCATCGAACCCTTCGCTTTTGTGTGTCATGGTTGGTGATGGTGTTCAGATTCTTGGCATGGCTGTTGTGACTATCTTGTTTGCTGCTCTTGGGTTCATGTCGCCGGCTTCACGTGGAACGCTTATTACTGGTATGCTCTTCTTCTACATGATTCTCGGCATTGCAGCTGGTTATGTCGCGGTTCGTCTCTGGAGGACAATTGGCTGTGGCGAGCACCGTGGATGGATGTCTGTTGCATGGAAAGCTGCTTGCTTTTTCCCCGGAATCGCGTTTCTGATCCTCACGACGCTGAACTTCCTTCTCTGGGGTAGCCACAGTACCGGAGCCATTCCTTTCTCTCTATTCGTCATCCTCATCCTTCTGTGGTTTTGCATCTCTGTTCCTCTCACTCTCATCGGCGGTTACTTTGGCGCCAAGGCTCCACACATTGAGTTCCCAGTCCGAACCAACCAAATCCCCCGTGAGATCCCAGCTCAGAAATACCCGTCGTGGCTTCTGGTTCTTGGCGCTGGAACGCTTCCTTTCGGGACGCTTTTCATCGAGCTTTTCTTCATCATGTCAAGCATCTGGATGGGCCGTGTCTACTACGTCTTCGGGTTCCTTTTCGTTGTCATGATCCTTCTCGTGGTCGTATGTGCCGAGGTTTCCCTAGTCCTAACATACATGCACCTCTGTGTCGAAGACTATAAATGGTGGTGGAAATCTTTCTTTGCATCAGGATCCGTTGCGATATACATCTTCATATACTCCATTAACTATCTCGTCTTCGACCTTAAAAGCTTGAGCGGACCTGTTTCAGCGACTCTTTATCTCGGTTACTCTCTCTTTATGGTCTTGGCTATTATGCTCGCGACAGGTACTGTTGGTTTCCTTTCTTCTTTCTGGTTCGTGCACTACTTGTTTTCATCGGTGAAGCTTGACTAAGGATCGGAACAAGAGAGGCTTACGGCTCAGAGAGATTGTGTAACTTTTTGAAGAGAGAACAGATATCGATCAAAGTCCATTTCATTGCTCCAACCAAGGAAGTGTAAGGAGTTCATAGTGTCAAACTTGAAGCTTCAAATTTCATTTCTTCTTTCGTCGTTTCGTGTAGAAAATATTTGTTCCTGTTTCTTTGTTTATTTTCCCATCTTGTTGCATCTTTGTGGGAATGCCTCTGAACTTGAAAATGTTAATTTTTTTTTCCCTTAATATTTTAAGATAAATTTTGTTTCGTTCTGTTTCGACTACTTTATACTATATACAGTACTTTACTTACTATCATAATTGACATTTTGGTAACAAACTGAATCATCAGTTTATTTTGCTAGAAAGCTGTGTTTGTGAAACACGGAGGTGAAGAGAGGTAGTGTTGGGGATTTTGACTCCTTTGTGATATTTAGCTCCACGTTAGTATAGAGAGAGAGACTCTAGCTGAAACGGAGGGGGCCTTTGCACAATATTATAATAGTGTACGACAAAGTTGCGCAAACATTTGGATATTAATTTTCGAAAACATTCTCTTTTAATTTTTGTCCAATATTTATGTGGTGGCCGTTAAATTTCATTTCAAGGAAATAATTTGCATTGATCCAAAGGAAAGAGCAAAGCGGAGACGATTCAACAACAATGGCGTCTCTTTCTCTCAGCTCCGTTCACTTTTCTTCAACTCCGTCTCGCTCCACTGTTTCCACTTCTCCGTCTCCTTCTCTACCTATCTTCCGATCGTCGATAAGCTGCCATTCCCGGCGCCTTCGCCGTCGTCTCTCATTCTCCCTCATCCCTTGCCGGACTTCTCACTCCTTCGGCGCTTCCGCTTCTCAGGTTACTTTGTCTCCTCTCACCGATTCAATCTATTTTCTCAAATGTGTATACACACAATTCACGCCGAATTTGGAGAATTAAACAATGTGTGTTTGTTTCCGTTTGGGATTTGACAGATTAAGTGTTCGCTAGATGAGCCATTGAAGGTGATGATCTCTGGTGCACCTGCTTCAGGCAAAGGCACTCAATGTGAGCTAATAGTTCAGAAGGTAAATATACCACTAAATAATCCATATCCGTTTCTTGTTTTGTTTAGCGACTCTCTGTATATTATTTAATGTTTAAACTTAATCATGGTACTAATAAACACCTAACAATGGTTTATAGTAATCGAACTCGTTATACAACAACTTTGTTATGTTATTATTGATGCAATGCAACTAGCTAGATGAGTTAACAAGTAGCCAGTGCCATTGCTCTGTGTAAAGCTACCTCAAGCCAAATTTGGAGATTCCTGAGCTTAAATTGCTTCTGTAATCAATCCTTTGAAGTGGAAAAATCATCATCATTGTTTTCTAGGTATGGTAATATGATCAACTTAAACTTACACAGCAATGAAAGCAGCTTCAGGATAAACAGTATGTGCTTGTCTTCTAAGATGGTTCGTGTGTGCACATTGATCTCTTTTTTTTTATTGTATTATTGGTTCTGACTCCTGCTATCTTCTCTCTTGATTGAGGTGAAGATGAATATGCAATCAAATTATCTACTATACGGAATCTTGGAATATACCATAAAATCTTGCAAAAATCTAGTGGTCGAGGTTATTGTGTTGCCAGTGTTTGTAAGTTTTAGATGTATAACATGCCAAGCTTCTCTTTTTTTTTTTGCTCATGCAGTTTGGTTTAGTGCACATATCAACGGGGGATCTCTTGAGGGCAGAGGTTTCATCTGGGACAGATATTGGCAAGAAAGCAAAAGAGTTCATGAATTCGGGTAGTTTGGTTCCAGATGAGATTGTAATAGCGGTACTGATTTAAACTTACTTGCTTCATGTACTGAATTATCATATCAACGTTCCTCTGATATCTACCACCTTTTGTAGATGGTGGCTGGAAGATTATCACGTGAAGATGCTAAAGAGCGCGGATGGCTTCTTGATGGATTTCCGCGAACTTACGCGCAGGCACAAAGTCTCGACAAACTAAACGTCAGACCTGACATTTTTCTCTTATTAGATGTACGTACATATATCTCTTTATTGCGTAAGGGATCCATTATCTCAACAAGGCATGTTGGATATCAGTGGCTATGTTTCTTTGCTTATATACCATTCTTAATGACAGGTTCCTGATGAAATTCTAATCGACAGATGTGTTGGTAGGAGGTTGGATCCAGTGACTGGAAAAATTTATCATGTTAAAAGTTACCCTCCTGAATCAGAAGAAATTAAACAAAGACTAGTTACACGCCCTGATGATACAGAGGAGAAGGTTCATCTTTTGGACTTGTTTCCTTGCTTCTCATCAATCTTTAACTGTATTCTCATGATTTTAACTTGTTTTAGGTAAAATCACGTCTGCAAATATACAAACAAAATTCTAAAGCGATTATTTCTGCGTACTCGGATGTTATGATCAAGGTATTAGGCAATTCGGTATTCTTTTTCTTTACCTTTTTGGTTCTATAAAGTATTGGGATGCCATCTTTGATCTTTGTGTTTGGGTATCATCTCTTTCGAATACAGATTGATGCAAACAGGCCGAAAGAAGTGGTTTTCGAGGAGAGTCAGACACTACTATCTCAGATACAGTTGAAAAGAATGATACGGACTGGCAAGTAGTCACACATTTACATATATATAGTTTCGTGGTGCCGTTCTTGATAGCAGGGTTAGTTTTTTTCCAGTTCAAGATGAGTTATCCCAATCCTTGCAATCTTATCTATATGTCATTCACAAAGTAGTTTCATCAGTAATCTGTCTCTTTTCTTCAGTAGTAAGAACCATCTTTTCTTGGTGTTCTTAGAACTTTGATCCATGCCTTCTAAACACTAGACTCTCAGATAAGTTAGATGGCCCCTTGTAACATAGAAGAAAAGATTCATGAAGTCCTAGTGTGTTTAAAGATTTTATGGTCAATCATTACATCTTTAGGACTAAATTACTCTTTCTTTAACTTGGAACTATGTTACCGCTGCATGCAAGCGATGCTGATTATGAAACAGGATCTTGCAGATAAAGCATCTCCTGTTCAGGTCCTTGCAATTTTACTTTTCTTTGAAGCTAGCAAGTAGAAGGAAGTAAATTTTTAGTTGTGCTGATTTATATGTAACATTTTTCAGGATAATTGGAGAGGAATACCGACAAGACTGAATAACATTCCTCATTCGAGGGATATCAGGGCTTATTTTTATGAGGATGTTCTGCAAGCCACAGTTAGATCTATCAAGGATGGGAACACACGTCTTCGGGTGAGGCTAATCTTCAGAAATCTGTTTGCAATGTAGCATGTTATGTTTGTTGTCTTTAATTCACAATTTCTAAAGCAGCTGCTTCACTGAACTGATTCTGTGACAAATGAATAGGTGGACATAAATATTCCTGAGCTAAATCCTGAAATGGTAAGTTATTCGTTTCACTAGTTGTTTTTACATAGTTTTGAAGCTTCATAAGTTTTATCAATAGTCACGAGCTACTGTGATACGTAGGATGTTTACCGGATAGGAACCTTGATGGAACTGGTTCGAACTCTAGCTTTATCATTCGCTGATGATGGAAAAAGAGTGAAGGTAGAATTTAATTTGGAAGACCAAGTGATGTGACTTGAATAGTGTTTCACAATTCTTATTCATTCAGCTTCTTTCGTCTTTTCAGGTTTGTGTTCAGGGATCAATGGGGGAAGGTGCACTCGCTGGGATGCCATTGCAGTTGGCAGGCACTCGAAAGATTTTAGAATATATGGATTGGGGTGACGATGAAACTTTGGGAACTTTCGTCAAGCTTGGTGGAATTGGTAACATCCGAAATCCTGCTCTGCATGCTTCTTAATGCACATTTACATATGAACAAAGCTGTATCGCCGGTGATGACAGGTGGTAAAGAAGTTGATGAAGAAGACGACATGTTCATCTTAGTGGCTCCACAAAATGCCGTTGGAAACTGTATCATAGATGTAAGAAGAAGCTTGAAAATGCTAGAATTCGTCATTCATTTCAACGTATCAACGTCTTCTTTGGATTCATTTGTTAGGATCTACAAGCAATGACTACTGCTGCTGGGAAAAGGCCAGTTGTACTTATCAATCCTAAGCTCAAGGTATACATTTCCTGCTTGCATTTTCTATACAGATACTATCTGATAACACGATTATACATTATGATGCAGGACTTACCGGCTTCAAGTGGCATAATGCAAGTAAGCACACACTGTGATTCCTTAAATTACCCATCTGATACGAAAGTTACCTTGCTTATTGTTTCCCTTTGTGTGTCAGACAATGGGAAGGGAGAAAAGGCTTGAATATGCCTTGACGTTTGACAACTGTTATGTGTTCCGGCTTCTCTATTATGCCGGAACACAATATCCGATTATGGGCGCTCTAAGGTACAGAGTTTTGGCTAAGAAACTTCAGTGTTATCAAGAAATGAACATAATCTTTTACACTGAATATGGTCAGGATGTCTTATCCTTACCGGTATGAGCTTTACAAGAGGGTGAATGAGGAAAATGGAAAGGAAAAATATGTCTTGATATCAACATACTCTGAAAGGCCAACCCCTGACCAAATCAACGATGCTTTCTCTGGAAAAACACGGTAAAAATTGTTTCCAATGGTGCTTTCTTAACACGCTGTTCGGTGTAATAATTTTGAAGAATAACTGAGAAGGTTTTGCCACATTTAGGGAGGAAAGCAAGAAGCCGTCTGGAATCTGGTAAGGAAAACTCGTACATTACTTAGCATTTTAGATGAAGATTTGTGTGTGTGTGCGTGAAGCTGAATGTGAGGAATACTTGCAGGAGTTTCCTTGGCAGCGGGTTTTTCTAAAGAAAGGAAGATAAAGCTGTGGAAGATTCATCAAATGTTCATGTAGCAAGCAGAGAGTGGTGAGATTCAGTATAGGTGTGCTGCTACTTATATATTTGATGATCTCAATTTGGTGCACATAAAAGTTGTGATTATTACCTATTAGTCTCACTCATTTGGAAGATGAAAACAGTTAAAGAAACAGAACAGAAAGTTCACGCTTGTTAATCCAGTTCAATAAATCACTTCGACTCAACCGGAAACAACCAGCTCTCTCATTTTCAATTAGACCACAAAACCGAATTCTCCTTGAATTTGAATTACACGAGACACAAAACTAGGAGTGACTCACACGAGTCACCACCAATGATGACTCACCATTATTTATTGTTTTGTTTATGTTACCGACATGCTTTCACCGATCCTCTTTCGTGTAATAAAAGTTATTTCACGTCCATTTACCCAAATCAATTTGAGAAAATTACAAATAAAGGCACTTCTCGTCATTGATATAATAGCCAAAGGCACATTGCAAGATTGGGTGACTTTCCTTAGTTTTCGAAGCAAAGCAAATTCCTGTTTTGTCCTTTCCCTCATTTAATCAATATTTCCGTCTATCCGAAACATAAAAATATTTTTACTTTTAACCGCACAGGTTGCTGAAAACTTAAAACCTTATACAGCGGCGGAGTAGAACTGTTATCCGCGCATCGTCGCCGCATACGGCGAAGGAATTCTACCCAGAACCTTTACAAAAGAATATATCGTGAAATCATACCAATTAAATCCTCAATTTCTAGTATCAAATTTGAATCGCCCGTAATAATATACCACGCTATCACTGCAATCGTCATTCAAATCGTCCGTCAGATCACGGTATCACTACACCTATGATATATTCATCAAATGCAATTCAATGGATCCTCGTCACCCAAATTGAATATATCATGGATGATTCTACATGGACGTTAATTGACCGTCCAGACTTCAGCCAAGTCTGAATTATCTATCTCACACGGATCGTATGTGTTTGTGGATGATAATTCATCTGTACAGTCTAAATTAGCCACAAAAAAAACTATGGATAACTCTCTATAGACAGCAATTATATGTTGTTGATATTTTCACCGTACAGACCTCAACCATGTCCATGCAGTCCTGAATAGTACAAAACTTTCTGAACTATCCACACGAGACATAACAAATGCAAACTGTTAAACTCACTACGGCGTATACGTCCACGTTGCAGTCATGTAGTGTACTAGAGTTGCCTAATCTAATGGGCCATGCTTGGTGTTTAAGAGACGCAACCACTTTATGGGAAAAAGTGTAGTTCAAATCTGGCCCTTCGATTGTGCGTAGCATTAAATGCGACCTCATCCAGCGGCAGTAAGAGCGTCCACGTCATTATTATTGGTGGGGAAAGCTTTCCCCTAGCTAAGGATCAATAAAGGATAAGTTTGGTTAGCAGCAGGTTTATCCGCTAGATTCAGAATTCCATGTCTTGTTATTCTTACAATATTCAAGAACAAGAAGAACGGTGTAAAATGGGTGACCATTGTATGGTCATCAGCGGCGAATGGAAGTGTTCTCCAGAAGGAAAATGGGATTTCGTTATTGACAAGCAACGCATGTCTCGCGTGGTGTCATTTCAAGACGGGATGACTATTGACGAGCTGAAGAGGAACGTCTTTGGTGAATTCTTCGCCGACGGCGGTTGTGGGATGGTCGTCGACTTAAGCTACTGGCCACCTAACACGAACGAGCTTGCAACGGGGATTACAACCCCTCCAGTCATGGTAACAAGTTCGCCTTCCATATCCTATTTTTGCAAGCATTACAGCGTCAAGCGCTCAATGAACTTGTTCGCCACCTTTGGTAAGCGACCCACGTCTACCCCTCTCGCTGATGTCGGTGTTCCTTCTGACAGTTTCACAACACCTAAGCCGACGATGAAAAGAAGCCGGTTTAGTGACGACGCCAGTGTCGACGGAAGGTTCGGTCTGGGCATTGAAAATTCCGGAGATTATGGGTCCTCTGCTGGTTCGCGAAAACCCCAGCCCGATTTCGACGACGAGCTTATCGCGAAACACATGGAGAGAGTAGAGAACGCTCTGGGTAGGGGAAGCCATACGAACGAAGACTTGTACAGCATGAACACCACATCAAACATGAATGTTCAGGCAAATGTGGACGAGATGGCCCGCGTCCAGAGTGGGAAACGCCACATGTTCGCCCACCTGGATACTGGTTCAGATAAGAGTGTTCACGGGACAGTAGACGAGATGGCCCGCGCCCAGAGTAGGAAATGCCACATGTTTGACCACCAGGATACCGCTTCAGATAAGAGTGTTCACGGGACGGTGGACGAGCCAATAAGCGATGCATCAGGGAAGGGGTTCACTTTCGACGATCTGAACACTGATACGGAGCAAAGTGTCCACGAATCAATGGCCGACCTGATGAGTGAGCTAAGTGGGAAAGGATACAACTCCGACGACCTGAACACAGACGAGGAGGATAATGGACAATAGGATTGGGACAACTTCGACGTTAGGCCTCTAGGTATCGACGAAGAATTCTGGGAACCGCTTGTTGACAAGGTATACGGTGGTTCCGATGCAGCTGATTTCATTTGTGATCAGGACGGCCCACCGATGAACGTCCCACCAACGGTTTACCGTTGTTCCACCAATGATGCTTTTGACCATACAGTCATAGCAGGCGGAGACGGTGGCATATGGAAATCGGAGAGCGTCAGCGGTGCTTCCACGTCGTTTGTTCGTGGTGGGCAACAAGACTCGGGTACAAACTGTGGGAAGCCGTCTGCGTTTGGCGGCATCCCAATTCCGAATACAGGACCGTCTCAAGGTAACCATAGCGGTTTAGGTGGTCAGACAAACGCGGGTTCTGAAGGGGTTCCGATGCCCACCTGTGGACGAAAATCTTCCGGATATGGTCCAAACCCAGGCCACATGGACGCACTCCTGATGGCACCTCATCCACGTGTACAGGGAACGGTGTACTCGAGAACGTGTTCACACATAGAAACCTTGGTTCAATCGACGACGAGGAATTCGGTATCCCTCCCCTGTTTGACGATTTGCAGTACGAGTGTGCCGATATCCCCGATCTCGACATTGACGAAATGGGTGGGGAGGTCCGTGTGGGGAAAGTTTACTCCAGTAAGAAAGACTGCCAAGTTGCTCTGGCTATTTACGCAATCAAAGGCATGTTTAATTTCCGCCAAACCACGACAAAAAACAATTACTTTGTTTTGAATTGTACAGACACACACTGTGACTGGAGTATACTAGCTGTACAGGTTAAGTACTGCGGCTACTATGAAATTAAGAAAGCAAACCTACTGCACACTTGCTGCATAGAGACTAGGAGTTTGTTCAAGCAAAAAGCTTCTTCCCGTGTGATTGCCACTGTCTTCAAAGCCAAATATGGGGATCCAATAAAATGGCCACGCGCAGCAGATTTACAACAACTTGTTCTCGAGGAGCTTCGAGTTGCGGCATCCTATATGAAGTGTTACAGGGCAAGAGAGGTGGCGATCACTTTTGTCCGTGGGAGTGACGACGACTCATATCTTGGACTGCCTGAGTATCTCTATATGCTCAAACTCGCCAATCCAGGGACTGTCGCTTTTGGTTACTGAGAAAGATGACCATGGCTATGATCGGTTCTTGTACCTCTTCCTCTCCTTTGGTGCTTCGATTAGGGGTTTTAGGAGTCTAAGACACGTTATTGTCATCGATGGGGCTCATCTCGGTAGTAAATTCCAGGGCACTCTCCTCATTGCTAGCGGCCAGGACGCAAACTTCCAGGTATTCCCCCTTGCTTACGCTGTTGTGGACAGCGAGAACAACGACTCGTGGACATGGTTTCTAGAGAAACTGGAAAAGATTTTGGCCGATAGTTCCTCCCTCACTATCATATCAGATAGATGCCGCTTGCATAGTGCACTTAGCTAGGAACGTTACTGGACGTTACAAGAGTAAAGGGCTAGCGAAGATGGTTGTAAGCGTAGCTTTTGCATATCGCATTGGAGCTTTTCGAAAAATCTACAACGACATTAGGACCGCGAGTCCGGATTGTGCTAGGTATTTGCATAAAATTGGTATTGCTCACTGGTCTAGAGCTCACTTCCCGGGCGAGAGATATAACTTGATGACCAGTAACGCAACTGAGCAATTGAACAAGGCGTTGAGGGGTGGCAGAAATTCACCAATACTTGAGCTGCTCAAATTCATACAAGATATGATGACAAGGTGGTTCAACGCTAGGAGGAAGAAGTCGCAGAAACACACGGGGATGTGTACGCCGGAGGTGGACAAGGTCTTGACAGCCAATTTAGAGGCTTGCAAGGGCAGTAGGATCAACATGGTATCCAGCTGGGCAGTATAGATTGTTGGTCGGTTTGGTGAGAAACACCAAGTTCTATTGAGAGAAAAGAAATGTACTTGCCGTGTCTTCGACAAGTTGAAGATCCTTTGTGGACATGCACTGATTGCCGCTATAGCTTGGGTGTTCCCTACTCGTCCCTGGTTGGGGACAGGTTAAAACCTGTTTTATGGGTTGATACTTATGAGGATATAATTATGCCTCCAGAGGAAGGAGTAGATTACGATCTCCCCGCCGATATCTTCAAAGTCAGTGTCATGCCTCCTAATACGAAGAGGCCCCCGGGAAGGCCTAAGGAAATAAGAATCCCATCCACGGGCGAATGCCCAGTAAGTTATTACTGACCATGTGTTCAGGTTACACACTTTTGTTGAATGTGATGGTTAAACTTGCGTGGTTAGCTGTGTTTGTTAAACTTGCGTGGATAGGTCTTAGAAGCCGTTTTGATAACTTTAAAATATGCTAACTAAATGTTTTCTTATTTATACAGGTCAAAGCGAAGAAGGCAGTTCCAAACAAGTGTGGTCGATGCCAGGGTGTGGGGCACAACAGGACCAGCTGCAAAAACCCTCTCCAACATTAGTTCGTTCGGCTTGGTAACTCTATCTATTTCTAGCTACCTCTTTCACCACATAAACAATCGGATTATGTAAAAGGTTGCTATATATCTACGGCTTTTTGTATTCACCACATCATGTTGTGTAAACCCCCCAAGATGTTTTTGGATTCACGCACAATGCAGGCGGCATGCTGTTGCCGCAGATGCTACACAATGTTTATTTTTTTATTCAACCTACAATCTTTTGGTAGCCGTGTTATAGGTTTAAATCGAAGAGAGTGTCTAATATATGTCTGCACTTCAAATTATTTTCTACAAATCGGCGCCATGGATGCGTATTAGTGTTCAATTATCAATCCCTTTCATGGATGCATATGTTGATCATTTTATGGATGGATGGTTATGGTCACGGAGCCATTGGTGGCCATTTCCGCGGCATTATAGAGAATATATGTTCGTCGTCATATGGATTGGTACCGATGATCAGCGAACAACAATTTAAGCGTATGTGATAACCACTTCGTGTACACATGGCCATTATAACCGTGGCTGATCATCATTTTCTTCGACGGATGCGTATGTGCTAATAATCCATGGTGGTTTGGTACCGGGTTCGCGGAGTGCGCAATTCTCATATTCGCGTCATTACTTGACCTATATGTTATCGATTCCATGGATATGCACCTATTGACGAATGGGCATTACAGGATGGTGGACATTGTCCATCGCAGCGGGTCCACAGTATATTGTACAGTGGTAGGTACACCTCATAAATATCATGCCCAACGGTGACCACCACACTACATACGCACACAATAGAACCTCCATACTATATGGCTGTTAGAAACCTAACACTATAGTTTTCATTAATACAAATACGACGGTCACCACCCAAAAATTGTACTCGGTCATTTGAAGACACTCCCAAAAGAGATAACCAGTATTAATCATACAGGATAATAGCTTAATATTGCCAAGTTATCTAGTCGAAAAACCCACCAAACCAGCAAACAGGCTCGCGAGTATTCCAAAAGCCACAACAATCTTGAACACGTTCCGTGTTTTGACATCACGTTCATCGACTAACTCCTTAATCATCTCCATCTACCCGAGAAGTTTCTCAAGACGTCCACAATCCATGGCCATGTCCTGCACCTGCGTGCACAAATCCGCCAAGGAGTCCTTCAACTCACCCAACTCCTCGACAATTGCTTCATCCCACCACATTCTAAGGTGCGGTTCTCCATCCTTGAAAAACATTTAATGGTTTGAAGAAATTAGGTAATATTCGAGGGGGAGAATACGTGTGTTTTCCGGGAAGCTACATTACCATAGTATTCCCCTTGGATGTGTAGAACTTTGTACCATCATCACACTTTCGAAGAGCAACATCACAACCACATCTACACTTTTTCGGGATCCCTACTCGTCCATGACCAAGATAGCTTCTGTAGCTCCCTGAATAGGAGATCGATGTATCGCTGTTGCAACTGAAGGTCATTTCCCCCCTGCGACAATTTAATGAAGTCTTATTCAGTTATCCTAACGATTTAACTGTCAGAACCAACCATTTAGGAATTACCTAATCCCCACTAATACAACCAACGAGCTAAATTTAATTTAAGAGATAGACATGAACCTGTCTTAGCTTCGGTCGCCAAATTCACCTCCTTCCTAATGGATGGGGTATTCAGATAGTGAGAGTCTTGATTTCGAAATAATTATTTTCGTACAAAGCGTCTTTATTGAAGTCCCCACACATTAGGTCGGCGTTTAGCAAAACTAGTGGTCAGGGTTTGTTGTGCCTTATAGGTCCTTACTGCAAGGTATATATCTCCCTCCCACGTGGCCAGTAACTAGTTACATTAATGCGCCCGTACACACATCCCGTACACACAAAACTAACCAGCTCACACATGCATCGTACATCCGGAGAATACATTTATCTCGTTTCATAGCAATGGTTGCCATATCACCAAACATACGCGTCCACGTTGACCGACCATCCACACGAGTGAGCTAACATGAGTGACGGACATCCCCTACTTGCTCGCGCTCATAACAAGCCATTGGTGCGTACAGACCACATCGTACACATTTACGTACACACCATATCGTCCACACAACCGTAAACCGTCTAATAAATACAAAGTCGAGATCTAAACAGAACGTGGATACAACGTTTCCGTCCATGTATCACTGTCCATGCTTGGCATGTCCATGTGCTCACGAACACGAGGTATGACCATGGATAATATTCCACGTATTAGGGTAGACATGAACGGGTTAAACCACTTATGGAAGGAGCAGATACGTTTTTCTAAATTTGGCGATATTGTCCACATGTAAATGTCCACCAGAATAATAACGGAAGCAACTTCGGTGACCATGTGCCTTATATGTCATGGATAAGATCTCAAAAGTTGAGGAGGGGAGTAAAAGGACAAAGAAGAAGGCAGAGACATGAGTGCTTAATTAAGGACGTTGCTGGAGCATAGATAACCGGAAGTAACATACAAAAGCTGTAGCGTTTGACACCTCAGTGTTTTAGCATACAAACATAGTCTTCGTTGTTGGTAAGATTAGAGGGTTTACATATTATAGAAGAGATAACGGAACACATTATCTTCTTAGTTAAAAAGAGCAATAATGAACGACATTATGAGGATGGCCACACCGCACGCCAGAGCAATCTTGAACTCTGTTACCAATTTCTGCTTACGTTTGTTACCTGATTCCTTTAGCGCGTCAAGCTCCTCGGCAAGTTTGTTGATACGGCCACAGTCTATGGCGATGTAAAAAAGTTGTGTGTTCATATCGTCCAGCTCATCATATAGCTCATCGAACTGTTCCGTGATTGCTTCCTCCCACCATGTTTTGAGGGGTGGTTGGCCATCCTACAAAAGGGCATTGAAATAATTATGTTGTGTAAGTGAACTATGCTAACATAATAATATTGCCAAAGTGACACTGACCATGGTGTTTCCGGTACACTCGAAGAATTTTCTCCCATCATGACTGGTGTAGAGGCCAACGTCGTCTCCGCATCGACACACCTTCGGGATCCCCACCCCTCGATTGTTAGGGAAGGTTCTAAGGAGGCCCTACCTTTGGATGCCCTGAGCATCCCTGCAGGCAACGCTGTTGCGGTCTAAAGACATTTGGTTCCTTGATGCTGTGAAAGAGAAAGGAGAGTAGTTGATGTGTGTGTGTTAACCTAATAATTGGAAAAGGAAAAGCCCCAAATCGATTTGTGTGTTTTTCCCTCATATCGACTTGGTCTTAAACTATACTAAAACGCGGCGTATCGTAGATTGGTAAGGGAGGGAGTGGTAATTTTCATAAGCGGACTGTGCGGGAGATGAAAGTAGTGGGTCGCGTGTCGACATTTAGTTTTGACCTAATGTGTCTGGACATTGGGTGTGTATTTTCGTACAAATAATCGTGTACAGAGGTGGCTAGGTATTCGGGTAATCGTGTACACGTACAAGTAATCGTGTACATAGGTGATTTTCCAGAAATATCTAAAAACCTGACCACTTGTTGAGTCGGGTAGTTGGTCCAGACAAGAATGTACACACCTATATGCGTAACAAAGATTTGACGATATAATCGTTTTGATTATCATCCAGTAGATGTAACTAGATCCATCTATGGTCACCCATCGATGCAGTAAAACATAGACTTTGTGTGGCCGCTACTAAGTGGATGAGGTGACTCCCCATACATTTTATGTTTGGATATATCAGGTCACATGACTCATACACGACCACATAACAGATACATGTACAGATGTACCAATTACGTTCACTAACTTTGATCCACTGAACGTATCCATGGGGTGTAGTATACTCTCCCGTCTATACCTACAGGTGCCCCGTACACGATCACTGCACATTCTATTGTCCACGCACATCATGTTTGCTAATCAATTGTTCAAACACAAACCATTTCTAAACCTCACTCCCACTCACGATTAAAATATTTTTTGTTCCTCTCGTTCATCAGTCCACATTGCTTGTCCACAACCACGTTAAAACAAAGAGACATAGTTCACTTCTTTCACCTGTACACGTTTATTGTACACGACCACTGGACAGTAATCGTACATGAACACACCAGATATGCATCAGAATCATCGTGCCCTTCACCAATTATAACTGATTACAAGGGTAATTTTAGATAAGAGTCTTTTAAAACAACACATAGAATTCAGTGTCTTAACATATACATAACCTAAAAACGGCTTAAAGCCCCATCCACACACGTTTAACCATCACGTTTTACCAAAGTATCTCATAAACTTCCAACAAAACAAAAGACACCACCCCCCAAAACAAAAGTGATCTCAGAATGATACAACGCGAAGGTTCTAATCAGTTTTTTATGCTAGACCAAACAAGACGTGTCTAGGGTGATGGTTGGAAGTATATAGGGATGACCAGTTCCCTGTACAGCTCCACCGCATAGTTCTTACGGAACTCATCCACCATTTCGTCCGTAAGTCCTCCTAGTTTCTGTGCGGTCTCATCATATGCATGCATTTCTATGAATTTAACGGCTACCGGACCACAGTCCCCAGCACGCTTGTTTTCGTAAGTATTTTTTTACTCGAGCAAGGTGAAAGGTTTGTTCGTCAGTTTTTGGGTGGGAGATGGGCAAAACTTCCAGAGGATGTGAGGAAGCATGTCCACTACCGGTCCCATTAAATTCACCAACTTGCGATCGGCGTACAGAGATGGCATAGGGTCCAACACCTGCACATAGCGTGCGGCCAGATGAATCGCCAAACCAACCCAGTGCCGATTATCCCATATCATGGGGGCGTATATGGTGTGCACCTCGTCCAGCCATGTCTGCCCAGGGACCGTCACGAATTTGGTAAGATCCTCATCCCACCTCACCTTATCCTTGTCGATCGTGGTTAATAAGCCATGGCGACGCAAACGAGGAGTGCTCTTTCAACAACACGTGATGGTGTTTGGCTCCTAGGTAAGTCATCAGAACTTCCATATGCTGCAGCCACATTAGTAAAACAGTTCAAAAAACGTGATGGTGTTTGCAAAACAGATCAAAAACCAATTAACGGACATAAATGGTCAATTAACGGATGGGTAGGCATGGATGCGTATCTGACAATCAAGTAATGGATGGCTAGGCATTGTCCCGCTAATAACGGTTTTACTAATAACAGTTCGTAAAACAATTAAGCAATCAGTTTGACACTTACCTTTGTCGATATCCATTTCTGACACTCGGCCAGATCAAGGAAGAACGTGTTATCAAGATCATACTTGTCCTGTGATATGTGTAAGCTGCAGCGGGAGTCAGGAAACAAGTTTAGATTTGTGTAAATTGCAGCTGGAGTCGGTACAACAGTTTAAATTGACACTTACAAGCTCTCGTCAACTGAAAGTGTTTTTTTGAAGAGCTCGAACATTCCAGGATTAGTATCAGGAAACAGATTTGCAGGGGTGTTTCTCGGAGAGGAACGTATTGCATTGGCAAGGGCAGTCTCCATTTCAGATGGTGAGTGCGCGGGTCGTATAGGTGGTGGTGAAGAGTCTTCAACACAAATATGCATAGGCTCTCCTTCACCAGCTCCATCCTTTAGTGGTTCCTACGTACAAACGGCGGCAAACAATGTGGGTCAGATGCACAGAACTGTTTAAATACATGCTGCAGAGGGTGGTTACAACGGACCTTTGTTTCGTTAACGCGGTCGGCATCCACCTCACTTGTGTCCATGCGGTCGGATCCCTCTTGATCAACGGTCAATTCTTCACCATCTACTGTACGACCACGCCCACCGTCTACCTCCACATTTCCTACACCATCAATTCCGTCCACACTGGTCACTCTAATCAATGCAGGCCCACCCACCTGTTCCAACGTTTCAGAATTCTTATGTACTAAAACAAACAGATCAGGCTGATTTATATTTCGTTTCTCTCGCTACAAAATACCAGCTCCATACCTTTGTTAGACTTCGGAAAAGCGAGGCATGGGAAACCAATTCCCTCACGCAGTCCCCAGCTTTTCGTTCTGCGATCATCAACGACGCCGACTGCACAGGCCAAACGTTATATATTGACGGGACCCCAAAAGATTGAGTCATATTATGAGTTTTGCAAACCTGAGTGGTTTGCAAATTTGGTGGCACAGACATTGGACCGGTTACAGAATCTAGATTCTGCCCATGTAATTGAGGAGTCCTGCCCTCACTAACGATGTTTTCAATAAGAGTCTGGAGATGACTATCTCCATATTCCGCATATGCTCCCTATAAAGTAACCAACAATTAGCGTTTGATTATAATTAAAACAAACTATCACACCGGAAGTTACTACAAGAAAACGTACATGAAGACTCTTCTCCTCGTTCGCCACAATGGATCCCCCTTCAGGTTGTGTGACCTCATCAACAACCACCTTTGAGACCCCGGCATCCACCTGTACCGATAACTCTTTCTCAACCTGCAAACCGACCACGCCGTCTCCCGTGGACGGGGCAGTGTCCAATTGATCCCCGCCCACGTACTCCTGTGCACGCATATTAGTCTCCTCGTTCGCCGCTACGGATTGTACGACCTCACCCGCAACAACTTTTGCAACCCCGACATCAACCTGTACAGTCGCCCTCGTACAAACACGCAAACCGACCATGTCATCTTTCGTGGACGGGACTGTTTTCTTAGGCTCACAGTTCACAACATCTTGTCCATCTGACGTGCACATCTCCTCATCTGTGTTCTTATCTTCCTCTCCAACCATGTCTTCATCTCCGGTTGTCCCGTCCACGTTGCTGGAAACACGTTGTTCGTGGCCAGGGTGATTAATCTCCTAGTTCACATCCACGGTTTCACCTTCAGACTGTACGAACTCACCCGCAACAACCTTTGCAACACCGCCATCAACCAGTACTGACAACCCCGTACAAACACGCAACCCGGCCACGTCATCCTTCGTGGACGGGACGGTATCCATAGATTCGTCGTCCACACCATCTTGTACATCTGCCGTGCACATCTTCTCATCCGTATCATTAGCTTTCTCTCCAACCATGTCTTCATCTCGGGAAGTTCCGTCCACGGTCCTGGAATCACGCGGTTCGGGGCCATGTCCAATAATGCCTTCCTCGCCGTCTATAATCCCTTCGTCTACGCTTCTTTCCACCTCTACACCGCCTCTCTCCTCACCGGCATTACTCTGCCATTTAAGTAAAGATTATACATCATATACCTGCATTACTCTGCTACAAAAAACTCTAAGAAGTACGTTCAATGTCTATACCTGCCCTCCTGTCACAGCCCCGGGAACAACTTCTTCAAAATCTAGTACTACACCGCCCTTAGATGGTCGCGCTCGGGATGCGGCAGCTTGGTTGAGAGATGGTGACTGCAACAAACAAAACACAAAATGCCACGCCTTAGTTTTTGGAATCAAATCACACAACCCTAATAAACAGATCACACAAATACTTACAAAATCTGACAGCTCCATCAATTCCTGAGATCCGGCAAACTGAATATTTCCAGAAGAAGGAGACTTCATAAATGCCTCATAATTGACGTTTCTATCCATCCAATCATCTGGCATCTCTTCTCCTTCTTTAAGGCTTATAATACTGTCATCTGCTCCATCTTCAGAACCAGAGACCTCTTTGCCTTTACTCTTAGAATTATTTTGTTTCGTCCGAGGAACACGGCGTTGCGTTGAGGGCATCCTCAGTGAACGCGACGCCTGCAGTTGCCACTTCCGCTCCAATCGTCTCGTTCGATCAGCAAGCTTACTATGTTTCTCCGTCAGTATCTTCACCTGAGCTATTAGCCACTTGTTCCGTTCTGCCAAATCCTCAGGTGCTGCAGAATTTATAGTCTCTTCAACACGCTCTTTCCCACGACCTGATCTCCGTGTAGTAGGTGGAGATNCAAACATAGTCTTCGTTGTTGGTAAGATTAGAGGGTTTACATATTATAGAAGAGATAACGGAACACATTATCTTCTTAGTTAAAAAGAGCAATAATGAACGACATTATGAGGATGGCCACACCGCACGCCAGAGCAATCTTGAACTCTGTTACCAATTTCTGCTTACGTTTGTTACCTGATTCCTTTAGCGCGTCAAGCTCCTCGGCAAGTTTGTTGATACGGCCACAGTCTATGGCGATGTAAAAAAGTTGTGTGTTCATATCGTCCAGCTCATCATATAGCTCATCGAACTGTTCCGTGATTGCTTCCTCCCACCATGTTTTGAGGGGTGGTTGGCCATCCTACAAAAGGGCATTGAAATAATTATGTTGTGTAAGTGAACTATGCTAACATAATAATATTGCCAAAGTGACACTGACCATGGTGTTTCCGGTACACTCGAAGAATTTTCTCCCATCATGACTGGTGTAGAGGCCAACGTCGTCTCCGCATCGACACACCTTCGGGATCCCCACCCCTCGATTGTTAGGGAAGGTTCTAAGGAGGCCCTACCTTTGGATGCCCTGAGCATCCCTGCAGGCAACGCTGTTGCGGTCTAAAGACATTTGGTTCCTTGATGCTGTGAAAGAGAAAGGAGAGTAGTTGATGTGTGTGTGTTAACCTAATAATTGGAAAAGGAAAAGCCCCAAATCGATTTGTGTGTTTTTCCCTCATATCGACTTGGTCTTAAACTATACTAAAACGCGGCGTATCGTAGATTGGTAAGGGAGGGAGTGGTAATTTTCATAAGCGGACTGTGCGGGAGATGAAAGTAGTGGGTCGCGTGTCGACATTTAGTTTTGACCTAATGTGTCTGGACATTGGGTGTGTATTTTCGTACAAATAATCGTGTACAGAGGTGGCTAGGTATTCGGGTAATCGTGTACACGTACAAGTAATCGTGTACATAGGTGATTTTCCAGAAATATCTAAAAACCTGACCACTTGTTGAGTCGGGTAGTTGGTCCAGACAAGAATGTACACACCTATATGCGTAACAAAGATTTGACGATATAATCGTTTTGATTATCATCCAGTAGATGTAACTAGATCCATCTATGGTCACCCATCGATGCAGTAAAACATAGACTTTGTGTGGCCGCTACTAAGTGGATGAGGTGACTCCCCATACATTTTATGTTTGGATATATCAGGTCACATGACTCATACACGACCACATAACAGATACATGTACAGATGTACCAATTACGTTCACTAACTTTGATCCACTGAACGTATCCATGGGGTGTAGTATACTCTCCCGTCTATACCTACAGGTGCCCCGTACACGATCACTGCACATTCTATTGTCCACGCACATCATGTTTGCTAATCAATTGTTCAAACACAAACCATTTCTAAACCTCACTCCCACTCACGATTAAAATATTTTTTGTTCCTCTCGTTCATCAGTCCACATTGCTTGTCCACAACCACGTTAAAACAAAGAGACATAGTTCACTTCTTTCACCTGTACACGTTTATTGTACACGACCACTGGACAGTAATCGTACATGAACACACCAGATATGCATCAGAATCATCGTGCCCTTCACCAATTATAACTGATTACAAGGGTAATTTTAGATAAGAGTCTTTTAAAACAACACATAGAATTCAGTGTCTTAACATATACATAACCTAAAAACGGCTTAAAGCCCCATCCACACACGTTTAACCATCACGTTTTACCAAAGTATCTCATAAACTTCCAACAAAACAAAAGACACCACCCCCCAAAACAAAAGTGATCTCAGAATGATACAACGCGAAGGTTCTAATCAGTTTTTTATGCTAGACCAAACAAGACGTGTCTAGGGTGATGGTTGGAAGTATATAGGGATGACCAGTTCCCTGTACAGCTCCACCGCATAGTTCTTACGGAACTCATCCACCATTTCGTCCGTAAGTCCTCCTAGTTTCTGTGCGGTCTCATCATATGCATGCATTTCTATGAATTTAACGGCTACCGGACCACAGTCCCCAGCACGCTTGTTTTCGTAAGTATTTTTTTACTCGAGCAAGGTGAAAGGTTTGTTCGTCAGTTTTTGGGTGGGAGATGGGCAAAACTTCCAGAGGATGTGAGGAAGCATGTCCACTACCGGTCCCATTAAATTCACCAACTTGCGATCGGCGTACAGAGATGGCATAGGGTCCAACACCTGCACATAGCGTGCGGCCAGATGAATCGCCAAACCAACCCAGTGCCGATTATCCCATATCATGGGGGCGTATATGGTGTGCACCTCGTCCAGCCATGTCTGCCCAGGGACCGTCACGAATTTGGTAAGATCCTCATCCCACCTCACCTTATCCTTGTCGATCGTGGTTAATAAGCCATGGCGACGCAAACGAGGAGTGCTCTTTCAACAACACGTGATGGTGTTTGGCTCCTAGGTAAGTCATCAGAACTTCCATATGCTGCAGCCACATTAGTAAAACAGTTCAAAAAACGTGATGGTGTTTGCAAAACAGATCAAAAACCAATTAACGGACATAAATGGTCAATTAACGGATGGGTAGGCATGGATGCGTATCTGACAATCAAGTAATGGATGGCTAGGCATTGTCCCGCTAATAACGGTTTTACTAATAACAGTTCGTAAAACAATTAAGCAATCAGTTTGACACTTACCTTTGTCGATATCCATTTCTGACACTCGGCCAGATCAAGGAAGAACGTGTTATCAAGATCATACTTGTCCTGTGATATGTGTAAGCTGCAGCGGGAGTCAGGAAACAAGTTTAGATTTGTGTAAATTGCAGCTGGAGTCGGTACAACAGTTTAAATTGACACTTACAAGCTCTCGTCAACTGAAAGTGTTTTTTTGAAGAGCTCGAACATTCCAGGATTAGTATCAGGAAACAGATTTGCAGGGGTGTTTCTCGGAGAGGAACGTATTGCATTGGCAAGGGCAGTCTCCATTTCAGATGGTGAGTGCGCGGGTCGTATAGGTGGTGGTGAAGAGTCTTCAACACAAATATGCATAGGCTCTCCTTCACCAGCTCCATCCTTTAGTGGTTCCTACGTACAAACGGCGGCAAACAATGTGGGTCAGATGCACAGAACTGTTTAAATACATGCTGCAGAGGGTGGTTACAACGGACCTTTGTTTCGTTAACGCGGTCGGCATCCACCTCACTTGTGTCCATGCGGTCGGATCCCTCTTGATCAACGGTCAATTCTTCACCATCTACTGTACGACCACGCCCACCGTCTACCTCCACATTTCCTACACCATCAATTCCGTCCACACTGGTCACTCTAATCAATGCAGGCCCACCCACCTGTTCCAACGTTTCAGAATTCTTATGTACTAAAACAAACAGATCAGGCTGATTTATATTTCGTTTCTCTCGCTACAAAATACCAGCTCCATACCTTTGTTAGACTTCGGAAAAGCGAGGCATGGGAAACCAATTCCCTCACGCAGTCCCCAGCTTTTCGTTCTGCGATCATCAACGACGCCGACTGCACAGGCCAAACGTTATATATTGACGGGACCCCAAAAGATTGAGTCATATTATGAGTTTTGCAAACCTGAGTGGTTTGCAAATTTGGTGGCACAGACATTGGACCGGTTACAGAATCTAGATTCTGCCCATGTAATTGAGGAGTCCTGCCCTCACTAACGATGTTTTCAATAAGAGTCTGGAGATGACTATCTCCATATTCCGCATATGCTCCCTATAAAGTAACCAACAATTAGCGTTTGATTATAATTAAAACAAACTATCACACCGGAAGTTACTACAAGAAAACGTACATGAAGACTCTTCTCCTCGTTCGCCACAATGGATCCCCCTTCAGGTTGTGTGACCTCATCAACAACCACCTTTGAGACCCCGGCATCCACCTGTACCGATAACTCTTTCTCAACCTGCAAACCGACCACGCCGTCTCCCGTGGACGGGGCAGTGTCCAATTGATCCCCGCCCACGTACTCCTGTGCACGCATATTAGTCTCCTCGTTCGCCGCTACGGATTGTACGACCTCACCCGCAACAACTTTTGCAACCCCGACATCAACCTGTACAGTCGCCCTCGTACAAACACGCAAACCGACCATGTCATCTTTCGTGGACGGGACTGTTTTCTTAGGCTCACAGTTCACAACATCTTGTCCATCTGACGTGCACATCTCCTCATCTGTGTTCTTATCTTCCTCTCCAACCATGTCTTCATCTCCGGTTGTCCCGTCCACGTTGCTGGAAACACGTTGTTCGTGGCCAGGGTGATTAATCTCCTAGTTCACATCCACGGTTTCACCTTCAGACTGTACGAACTCACCCGCAACAACCTTTGCAACACCGCCATCAACCAGTACTGACAACCCCGTACAAACACGCAACCCGGCCACGTCATCCTTCGTGGACGGGACGGTATCCATAGATTCGTCGTCCACACCATCTTGTACATCTGCCGTGCACATCTTCTCATCCGTATCATTAGCTTTCTCTCCAACCATGTCTTCATCTCGGGAAGTTCCGTCCACGGTCCTGGAATCACGCGGTTCGGGGCCATGTCCAATAATGCCTTCCTCGCCGTCTATAATCCCTTCGTCTACGCTTCTTTCCACCTCTACACCGCCTCTCTCCTCACCGGCATTACTCTGCCATTTAAGTAAAGATTATACATCATATACCTGCATTACTCTGCTACAAAAAACTCTAAGAAGTACGTTCAATGTCTATACCTGCCCTCCTGTCACAGCCCCGGGAACAACTTCTTCAAAATCTAGTACTACACCGCCCTTAGATGGTCGCGCTCGGGATGCGGCAGCTTGGTTGAGAGATGGTGACTGCAACAAACAAAACACAAAATGCCACGCCTTAGTTTTTGGAATCAAATCACACAACCCTAATAAACAGATCACACAAATACTTACAAAATCTGACAGCTCCATCAATTCCTGAGATCCGGCAAACTGAATATTTCCAGAAGAAGGAGACTTCATAAATGCCTCATAATTGACGTTTCTATCCATCCAATCATCTGGCATCTCTTCTCCTTCTTTAAGGCTTATAATACTGTCATCTGCTCCATCTTCAGAACCAGAGACCTCTTTGCCTTTACTCTTAGAATTATTTTGTTTCGTCCGAGGAACACGGCGTTGCGTTGAGGGCATCCTCAGTGAACGCGACGCCTGCAGTTGCCACTTCCGCTCCAATCGTCTCGTTCGATCAGCAAGCTTACTATGTTTCTCCGTCAGTATCTTCACCTGAGCTATTAGCCACTTGTTCCGTTCTGCCAAATCCTCAGGTGCTGCAGAATTTATAGTCTCTTCAACACGCTCTTTCCCACGACCTGATCTCCGTGTAGTAGGTGGAGATCTGCGGACACCTAGAGGGCGCTTCTCCTTTTTACGGTTTCTGATGTGTTTCTCGTGAACAACCCTTGGCGGTTTGTAACAGTGGACAACTTCCTTGTAATCAGTAGCGCCTCCTGGCCATTCAGCTTTACTGAAGCGGTGGTTGTTGGCGATTAGCTCCTCCAAGTACGCCACTTTCCGATCTTGGACCTCTTGTTCAGCAAACTCTCCCCAGCCAATAAACCCCGGAGGCGCGTCAATAGGTATTAACGGATTAACACACAGCTGGAAAAAAGGGTTATAAGTTTCGTTAGAAGAATCCACAATGGCAAAGTAGTATTTGGCATACACAAGGGGATAGTTTTGTCTTACATTTGGATGAAGCTCAGCGTTTAGCACATCTTCATGTGACAAGGATGGGTTAGGCGGAAAATGCTCGTCCGGCAAGTTCAACAGGATGTCATCATCCGATGATCTCGGCAGATACTCGAGTAGTACTAGAATTGCCTGGAAGGCTAGTAGCTGCAAAGCTAGAGGGAACCCAAGCAGCCTAAACGATTGCTGGCCTAGATTCTTGACAAGAGTGTGCACCGGATCTTCGTCCTTCACAGCTTGGCTCCGTAGGGGACACATTGTGGAGATTGTTTTGATGAACGATTCCCGGCCCCATGGGAAGTTCAAGAACTCGTCAACGTCCGCCAACATTGACACATACTTTGGAGTAGGCCTGTGCGTCTGGCTGTTCACGACAAGAACCCCATCAACAAGAAGAATTATTCAAAGACGCAGCTTCTTCTCACTGTCCATGTCTGGCTCATTTCGGTGTGTCTTAACAATGTCTGCTATGGTTGTCCGTGAGTTATTTCCGATTATCTACCTCCACCACTTATCCGGAGTCTTGCTTGGAGGTGGATGCCAGTCTGGGTCATATCCTTCTGGGTATTCACCGCAGTGAAGTCCAGTCACGCTTGCAAATTCGGACAAAGAGATCCTGAGCGGCTGTCCACCAAATACCGTCCACATCTCATAATGCTTCTTGGACAGAACTTGCCTGCTCACGAGGGCGTGGATGAGCTTACACGAAACAGGGCATCTAACGGCGGGAAAATCCCAGAGTTTTCCAAAACGAGAGTTTCTGATTCTCGCAAACGCCTCCGGATTATTCCGCAGAGTATGCTTCACAAAAGCTATTGTCTCAGGCCTCGAATAAATGTTCAGCCTCGGGTTGGGGTAGTGGTCCGTCTTCAATAACCTAGTCGGAAGCCTCGGGTCTGGTTCCGAAACTCCCTCCCTCCCTGAAATCAAATACATAACGATTAAGCCACACTAACCATTTTTGGTTCCTAACTACCCTCAACAATCAAAATTACACCGATTATTACAAAACGGCGTTCATAAAACAGGTATAACAACAGTGAATAAACAAACCTTTCATCGACCCCTCTGTTCGTTGCTGAGAGGACTGAGAAGACGACGGGTCCATCTCACGTCTTTCGTCGATTGTGCGGCGGTGTATAACAGGTCTGCGCGACGCGGCGTTTTCGATTATTCGAACAATTCTGAAACTTTTGATTCGGACGGTGATGGATGCGGTGGCGAAGGTGCTTAGGGTTTTACAGTTACGATTTCTCAGTTTTGGTAAAAATTAGGCTTCGATAAAATAAAGTAATATGAAACGGTGCCTGGGTAAAAGATAAGATAACTTTTTAATTTCAGGGCTTTTGAGTAATTTACACACCCCAAAGTCACCTAATCGTGAAAGGTGCCTATTTTGTTAGTTTCAAAGTCCAAAGTGTCTTCTCCTGTAAATCACTCAATCAATTTTACCTTGTGTAACAACCGTTTGGGTCTCTTTTACTTTTAATGCAAAGCATGAAAAATGGCAAAACGCAAATATTATTTCCGACAAAAAAAAACATTTAATTAATATTACGCTGACGCCGATAGTCTTTATTGGATGACATGTCTTTGTCGTAGAGTAGGATTGGAATCAATGAATGAACTCTCTACCCCACCTCCATAAACGAGCAAAAAACGAAGAAAAAAAAGTAAAATCTCAATATACAGTGAGAAGAATGAATCAACGAACGATTTGTATCGATTGATTACGTAATTTGATAAGAACAGCTATCTGAATCGTTGATTGATCTGGGGAAAGGCGATGGCATCGCCTGGGTCGAAGAAAATTGTTCCCGCCGACGGATCGGAGAAGAAAGTTTCCGGGAATCTCGGAAAAAGCGGAGATGCTAATGACAGTGGAAGCAGCAGCCGTAGCAGCGGCGGAGAAGGAGGAACGTTTGAGTATTTCGGTTGGGTCTATCATTTGGGTGCGAATAAGATCGGTCACGAGTATTGCCATCTTCGCTTCCTTTTCATTAGAGGCAAATATGTTGAGATGTACAAAAGAGATCCTCACGAGAACCCAGACATTGTACGCTTTTTTCCTCCTTTTTCTTTATCTTTTGATCCTTCTCGTTGAATTTGTGCTTGTGTTGTTCTGGATTGTTAGGAAACTAAATCTCAAATTAGCTCGAGAATCTGGATGCTTGAAGAACCAATTTTACTGAGTTTCGTTTAGCTTATGCTTTTCTCTTGGTTAGTTGTTTGATTTTTGCTTGATTCCTTCCAAATTTATTTAATTTTTATAGGGTAGTGCTCTTGTTACTGTGAGTTTCTTTTTTTTTTTAATTGAAATGAAGTTGGTCACGTTTCAATTTATTAATAATTTTATCCTATAGATTGAGTTAATTGTTGCATCTCTCTAAAATATAGTGATGGTTGGGGTCTATCTTTTCCTCTTTGTAATATGCAATGGAAATGCCAACTATAACTGTTTTCATATTTTATTGGCTTATTGATATTCTAGAGACCTATAAGGCGTGGTGTCATAGGGCCTTCAATGATGGTTGAAGAGTTAGGACGTCGGAAAGTTAATCATGGGGTAAGAATCTTCTTAATCTCTACGTCTACAGTTCACTGCAGTCTGTGTAGAACACAGATCTGTTATTCCCTTTTTTTCTTTTACCTATTTTGTATTTTAATTGTATGCTTTAAAGAATGAAACTAAACGAAACAGGTACATTTACTAATTTTAATCTCTGATATCTTGTAGGATATGTATGTCATAAGGTTCTATAACCGGTTGGACGAGTCAAAAAAGGGAGAAGTAAGTTAAACTTTCTCTTTGCAAATTGCAATTGTTGACAGACACGTTGGTGTCTAGATAGCTTAATCTTTTTCTTTGGAAATGTGCATTAGACTCGAAGCTTGCCACTGTGAACTTGTGTTTGTTTTGGAAGGGGTATGATTTTTGTGTGTATGTACAAACTTGGATGAACAAAACAATCAACTTATAGTGTACATGTCGTGAAGATGGATAGTAATTCATTTTGTTACCTGAAAGTGCATTTCAGAATATGAAATTTGGTTCTGGTAAGTATGTTTGCCTGACTGAGGTGCACTAAGTAACTTTTTTTCTTCGTCTGTAAACTGTACTTCAGATTGCTTGTGCTACCGCTGGAGAAGCCCTGAAATGGGTTGAGGCTTTTGACGAAGCAAAACAACAGGTACTGAGGAGACTGTGCTCAAGTTTTATAGATTCATATACTGTGTTGAAGTTTTCTAGTTTATATAGCATACAATTGTCAACGTTTTCCAAAGTTCACTTTTCTGCTTGTTATTGGGATGAGGTATGACCAGTTATTTTGTTTTATTCTGATTACGGGTTTTTCTGTATTGGAAGGCTGAATATGCACTATCGAAAGGTGGAAGCACAAGAACAAAATTAAGCATGGAGGCCAAGTATGATCTAATAACCAAATGAATGATATGATTAGCGCCTTAGATGATATTTTTCAGTAGCTGAATATTGCCTGTTTCGGTACCTAAAATATACACTGTTTAGAAACGACGAGGCTCTTTCCAATTGAAATTGCATAACACTGTGATGTCATAACTCTCTGTTCTTAACCGCTGAAGACGTTTAAAATAGTAGAAGTCCATTGTTAGGCCACAAATTCTGAATCACACTCTATTTTCTTTTGAAGCATCAATCTTGAAGGACATCGACCTAGAGTTAGGCGTTATGCTTTTGGGTTGAAAAAGCTTATCCGAATTGGACAAGGTAATATGATGCACCTTGATTTTGCTGTCATGTTTTTTAGCTAAGCTAAGCATGCATAAAGGTTCAAAAATGTTTATTTGGAAGAGTAGCTTGATTCTGCTGTCATGTTTTTTTTTTTTTTTTCATTTTACATCTGTTGATTCCGAATGTTACCACTTTGTGCATCTAAGTTGTTAAATGTTCACCGGTTGCCATCTAGTGTAGGTTTATGACCATAGCGTATCAGAGGAGCTCCTAATCTTCCATTGGAATAAAAACTCTAGTACTTATTGCCTTTTTTTTAGGTTGGGCACATGCAAAATGATTGGATATTCGCACTGAGTATTGAGTTCCCTGAAGATTCTTATTATTTCTAAATAAAGATAAAGCACACTGGATTCAAATTTATGTTCTCCTGTATATAGGTGAAACAGTAGCTATAGTGCTACAGCTCTTGACTTTATTATCGATTGATAGTTCTGAATTCCGTAGTTATATTGAAACTCTATCCAGTTCCCTAATATAATTCAATTTGATTTCTTAAGGTTATCTAGTAATTATTCATGTTTTAGGACATAGGTCTCACCTTAAAGTTAATTCTCTTTAAAACAAAGATGTGTGATTATGTTCTTAAATTACAGGTCCGGAGACTCTTCTGAGGCAATCCTCTACCTTGGTTAATGATGTTAGGAGTGATGGTTTCTACGAGGGTGGTGACAATGGAGATGCAGTTGAGGCACATGAATGGAAATGTGTTCGTACAATTAATGGTATGTTTGGCGGTAAACAGTAGAGTTTTGATATCAAACACCTGCACATTACAATTTTTATCATCTACAAAACAAGTTATTTGTTTCATCTACAAAACTTGCATTGAAATGTATTTTTTTCGTGGTGTCTCCTTTTGACTATGAATACTTCTCTATCTGTTAAGAAGAGGTCATTGTAGAAGACTCATAATAACCAAAAAGACTCATACTTCGCTATTCATCTCTATGAATCAGAAGGTTGCGTGCAAGATAGTAGTCGTTGCTAAAGGCCTAAAACATTGACATTGTTCTTATGCTTTGCTTTCTCTTTGATACATAACCTTCAGTTACTTGATTTTCTGTATATTGTTTGCAGGTGTAAGGATTTTTGAAGATGTGGTCAACTTCAAGGTATATATATACTTTTATTCAGAGAATCTAATTCCAGCTATATAGACAGAACTGCTTGATATTACATTCTAGCCTCTCAATCTAGCTTTCAGTGATTACTTGCCCTTGCTTTTGCTAATTCATAAGAATCAATTGTTGGATGGCTCTCCCAACTTACTAGTTCTTGGAGATTTTGGGTATTGTTTCCTTCAAAAATGTTTCTAGTTCATTCCAAGAGGAATGGAATCTCAACCACCTTATTATTTTTGTTTTCAATAGAATATTTGCAGTTTTGTGATTGCCATCATATTATTTTGTATTGGCAAGGTAACAAGTTGAACCTAGGTATTATAACTAAATGTTCTCAACTGCATAAACTTATGGCATCAGGATAGTTGCAACTGGAACTGTAATTAGTTGTAGTCAATTATTGTTTGAATACTTAGGATGCCGCTCAGGATTTGTCAAAATGATTTCTTCTTTAGGCTGGTAGAGGAGTTCTAGTGAAAGCAGTTGCTGTAGTTGAAGCTAGTGCGGATGCTGTGTTCGAAGTGATTTCGAAGCTTGACAAACATCAAAGATACGAGTAAGCTCATGTCCTTGAAAATAAAAGTGTCATTTGCTACTTAGATCTTTCTAATATCCTCACAGGTGGGATACAGTAACAGGTGATTCGGAATTGATAGACTCATACGAGGGCCACTATGATGTTGTTTACTGCGTATATGATCCTAAGTATCTTTCACGGTATGTTCATTAACTAAATGTTCTGGGTTTCCTTAATGACACACTGATGGCTCTGTATTCTTTAGTTAAAAAGAAGTATAGATGAAAATGTCTTGGTATCTTTCCTCTATCATATGTTTGTTGTCTCCAGTTTATCCATGTTTCAGTGGATAGTTTTGCACTTACCTTTTCGTGGATGATCTGTTAAATAGTATATTTTGCAGTTGGCAATCGAAGAGGGATTTTATCTTCTCTAGGCAATGGGTACGTGGGCAAGATGGGACATATAGTAAGTAGATAACAATACTCTTATAATGTTTCCTTATATCAGTCTGATGATGTCTGTATTGGCTATGCACAAAGGTGGAAATTCATCTAGTCTTGTCACTGGGTTGTTAGTTAGTTCTCTGTATTGTGGCTGTGTTGTTTAGAGACATGTTTGAATTGTCCAGTGTATATGATACAAGATCAACCCTAGTTATTGTTGCAACATCAAATGCAAAAAAGAAAATCCATTGTGTATTGTTTCATATTTGCTTTATGGGCCGGTGAAGAAAACATTAATTAATCGTGTAAAGAATCCAAAGAAACCTACATATAAAATCTTAACTTCACAGTTACAAATTTTGTAAATTTCTGTCAGTTCACCACTAGAAATCTTAGTCATGGATTCCTCTCTTTGAACTTAGTTCTGGATAATATCTTCATACTCATGCGACCTTGACTTCACGATTGTTCTTTTCAAAACAGCTATTATTATACTCATCCTGAATTTTTGTATGCAGCAATCTTACAGTTTCCAGCAGTGCATAAGAAACGGCCTCCAAAGTCTGGATATCGACGCACAGAGATTACTCGTAAGATAATTTCTTTTCATAACCTTTAAGACATTCCCTATCCAAGTGTTTCCAACACTGATCTGAATGGTACTTCGATAGTCAGAGCCTCAGAGGTTCTTTGTCCTTGTGCATACTTAGTTGCTTGTGATTACTTGCCCCTCCGTCTTTGCAATAGTGTCGAGTTCTGCAGCTACAGCTTTCAGTCATCTAGCTGGTTTAGAGACCGAGTTCTTTAGTGCTCACAAAATCTAGAACTAACTCATAACCTCCTACGCAATCGTATTGGCTTGTAAACCCTATCACGTGGGTGCTCTAGTGTCTAATTGTACTGTTCTTTTTCATTTTTATATACGTTGACTTTCTTCTTTCTCACTGGAACTGGATCAGATAATATGCATTTGTACTGTGGACTAGGTCCACTGGACTTATAGAACGCCTAGGAAGGCATTTTCCTCTGTTTTTAAGACCTTTCATCTCTTTTCGTTCTTACCTATTGCAGCATCCACGTGGGAAATCAGAAACTTGAAAAAGCGCACGGATGCAGAACCTACCAGTTGTCTTGTAACACACATGCTAGAAATCCACTCCAAACGTTGGTGCAAATGGAAGAGAACTAGCTACTCAAAGTTTGAAAAGACCATTCCATATGCATTACTCCTCCAAGTAGCAGGTTAAATTCATGCCTTCTCTTCTGCCAGATTCTATTTTAGAGTATAAACACAAAAAATGAGTAGAAAGCCGAGATGTGATTTTGTGGGATCAAGAAATAGCATGAACATCCGGAGATTTATGTGTTATGATGCGAAATAGCAAGCTCTATCCACTCATGTTTGGGGTAAAAGTACATTAATCATGGGAAGCTTTATTTTTTTATAGGAATTCAATTTAGTTGGCATGCTGTTTAAAGTAACTGCCTGACCTCTGGTCTACATTAGTGTGACAGGCGTCACATTTCCACGCGGTTTTTGTTTCAATTTCTTGTTAATGGTATGTCAGGTCTGAAGGAGTACATTGGAGCAAACCCAGCCTTCAAGTATGAAACTTCCGCAACAGTTGTCCAGTCTAAGTCATCAGATGTTCCCAATGCTGAATATGTAGATGAGGAAATGGATGAGCAGTTTTATGATGCCACAGACTCATCATCTGACGAAGAGGAAAGCGATGAAGATGATGATGAGCAGGACAAAAAGGTAACTTGGTTTTGCTTTCTTCTCGTGCATTAATAATTTTATCCTTTTAAAGAGTAAATAATCACAAGTAGACATAAAAAGCCAAGACCTCTTCTATATTGAAATTAGAAGGATTGACATAAAACACCCAAAATGCAGAAAGTGTCTCCCTTGGTAAAAACAGATAAACCCTCGGCAAAGCCGATAAACCTCCACTCTCTAGCTTGGATGAGTTGCACAACCGAGACTTCATTACGACAATGTAAATGCAAAGCACTCTTGGAAATGGAAGCTCTAAATGATTTCTTAAATCAGCAAATATTGAGAATACACACCACACATAATCTAGTGTTTAAAGTTCCTATTAACCATGAGGTTAGTAACTCAAATGTAAAATTATTAATATGGTGTTCCAATGTGAAAACAGGAGATCAAAGTTAAACTGAAGAATGTTTCATGGGCAATCGCTAGCTTATCTTTGAAGCGGCCTAAAGGTTATCTCCTTACTCTTTTTCTAGTCCATTAGGTTTACCAATGGCTACACATAGGTAGTATAAGAAGTGAATGAATACATGTATCTTATCGGCATATGTTCCCAAAGCTCTACAACTGTTCCATAGCATGTATGCAAGTATTTATGTATACCAATCGTATTATATTTTGATGAGAATGAAATATATGTAACAGTTGGTAGTTACAATAGATAAATGTTCATTCTCGACTCTAGAGGGCTATGTTTGGAGAAAGAGACCAGTTTGTAGATTCACAAATTTTTGATACAGATTAGAATTCAGAGCACATTTTTGATTTAAAAAAAAAAAATCTATGTGTATTAATATATCAGCTCTTTTTGACATCAGCCCCAGGCGCAAGTAATGTACTAGACGCTAGTGTTGGTCCTGTGAATATCGATCCAAGCCAGCTCAAAGGATCCCTGCGCAAAGGAAATGGTGATAAGGACTCAAATTGCTGGAATTCTCCTAGTGGCATGGGGTTTATGATTAGGGGAAAGACCTATCTAAAAGATAGTGCAAAGGTAACTTTCAATTCTTGCATCTACGTCAATATGTCTACAGTTGATCTTATACGTCATTTGAAATAGAACAGAAAACAATTAGGGGACTGTTTCGTTGATGCCACTGTGCTCAGGTCACCCTTGACCAAACCATGTTTCTGAACTTCTTTTGATATACTGATTTTGGTTTCTGTATATATCTACGATGTTATCTCTCTCAACTTAGGGTACCACTACTTGTTATCAAATTTCTAGATTGATTTCTGATTGGATTATCTGAGGGAAAAAATGACATATCTTATTGGATTATCTGACATCCTTCGTGATATTTAATAAAAGCTATGGTACAATTTTAGGTGATGGGTGGGCAGCCCCTTCTGACACTTGTATCAGTGGATTGGTTAAAAGTTGATAAAGCTGTAGACAACATTGCCCTGCATCCAAAATGTCTTGTCCAGGTACTCCCTTGATCTGTCTGTAACAAGTCTTTGCGGTCTTCGTTCTTATTAAAAAACCAGTATTACGTGCGACTTGTCACCGTAAAAGTGTAAAGTTGATTAACCTCAATATTTACTTTTCGTCATTTTTCTCCTCTTCACAATGTGGCCGAGCTGGTGATACGCTCTTAGTTATCGATTAGTTATAGTATGAAAACGTTCCATTTCTTGTTTTTATACTCTCCTGTGGTTGAAGGAGCCTGATTTCGAAAGTTTTCTCATTTGTAGTCAGAACCTGGGAAAAAGCTGCCATTCATCCTAGTCATCAATCTTCAGGTGTGAATACTCTCTGTAACATAAACTCTTTATATCTCTCAGTATTTTTCCCAAAATTTTGTTCGAATAGGCGAGCTCTCGTGTTTCATTAGAAAGCATTTGAGCCCCTACCAGTATATGTCAATACTAATTCCTGAGCTTTTAATGAAGACTGTGTCGCTAAACCACTACAATCACCAACCATTTTTCCCTACCTTAAGTCTATCCAACTCTTCAAATTCTGTTAGTAATTATGGTTCAGGTTTCTCTTTCGAAGAAGTCAAAATGTGTGTTTCCCTTTTCAGGTGCCAGCAAAGCCTAACTATTGTTTAGTCATGTACTATGCTGCGGATCGACCTGTAAGCGAGTCTTCGTCCCTCGGAAAATTTATAAATGGGAGCGATAGTTACCGTGACGCAAGATTTAAGCTGATTCCAAGTATTGTTCAGGTAAAACAAACTCTGCTCTTCTCGTGGTCTCTGAAATATTATACTTTTTTTCATTTCATGTTAACTGTCATGGTGAATCACAGGGATATTGGATGGTCAAGCGAGCTGTTGGAACAAAAGCATGCTTGCTTGGTAAAGCTGTAACCTGCAAGTACCTGAGCCAAGATAATTTTTTAGAGGTATAATAGTTTCTCTTTTCCACTCTTCTTTGATTGCAATGAACTAAGTTTCCATAATAGATATGAAAAATTGTATTTTACTTATGATCTGAAAGTATCAATGTTTTTCCATAAACCATTTAAAAAAAAAACAGTGCATGTCCATCATGATCGTGTGAACTATCACACACATGGCTCCTGAGTTCTAATGAAGCCATGGTTGTTGCAGATTGATGTAGATATTGGATCATCGGCTGTTGCTAGGAGCGTTATTGGTCTGGTCCTTGGTTATGTCACAAGCCTCATTGTTGATCTCGCAATATTGATTGAGGTTCGTTTTGGCGTCTCACTGCTAGACTTTATGACATTATAATATCTTCTGAAACGAGATTGTTTTGGCTTTTTGTTGAATTTTTTTCTTGAATGCGATCATCGGTTGAATAAGTTCAACAACCAAATGTAAATGCAGGGAAAGGAGGAAACAGATTTGCCAGAGTATATCCTTGGGACGGTTCGGCTTAACCGAATAGAGCTGGATTCAGCCGAATCATTTGAGGTTTGAGACTTGATCGAGTAAAAATAAAAACATTTTATCAGATTGCAACAATCACATTGTTTTTTGTAAACTCATTGAAATCAGTAATTGCAGGAATGAAAAACAGCCAAGTGCCAACTAAAATTTATGTATCTTATGGATTGCGATCCTTTTGGCGAAATATAGACAGGAAGTCAAAACAACGACAAAGAAATAATGAAAGTTTGAACTCTATGTTTTTGTTTCTATCACATTAAACTTGTAAGTTCTCGACTTGACCGGCAAAATTGAATTCCAGGGAATATCAAGAGAAGGTAAATCGACTTGCTTAACATGCTTACTATTTGGATCTGTTCAATTGTTCGCCTTAATCTCTATCTGTATTTTTCAATGTTTCCACCTAGATTTTATAAATCAGACGTTTTAAAAATTAGAATTATAAACCATGCATCATTAGGAGAGGATGCCCATGTTTTAAGGAATTATCAGAATCTCCTAAAATGGCTTACGTTGTTATCAGTTTACCTTCTTTTCGTCACTTACATAGGGACTTGAGAATTCATAGTATTAAGTATTTCATCTTACAGTCCGGACTATGTATGTGTTTCGTAATAAAGTATTAATCAGTGGTATATAGGTGGCTCTGTATACAGTAACAATATAGACAAAATTAGAGTGGAGGAATAATTTATAATAAATCGAAAATATAGGGTATAGTCAAAAGTTCCTTTGTGACTCAATAATAGAAGCATTTTCAAGAGTGTGTGATATTGATCTGATCTCCTTCTCACTCTAATGGCTTCTTCTTCTTCTTCTTCTTCTTCTTTATCTCTTTCTCCTTTATCTTCTTCGCCTCAAAACTGGAAGTACCATGTCTTCCCAAGCTTCCACGGACCAGATGTTCGCAAATCCTTTCTCAGTCACATTTTGAAGGAGTTCAGAAGCAAAGGAATTTGCCTATTTATTGATAATGATATCGAGAGAAACAAATCGATTGGTCGCGAGCTAAAAGAAGCTATTAAAGGCTCGAAGATTACGATCGTCTTGCTCTCTAAGAACTATGCTTCTTCATCTTGGTGTTTAAACGAGTTAGTAGAGATCATGAAGTCAAGGACAGAGTTTGGTCAAACAGTGATGACCATTTTCTACGAAGTGGATCCTACTGATGTAAAGAAGCAGAGGAACGATTTTGGGAAGGCCTTCAGAAGAACTTGTAAAGGCAAAAGAAAGGAGGAGACTGAGACATGGAAAAAAGCTTTAGAAAGTGTGGCCACAAACGCTGGTTACCATTCAAACAACTGGTATTTTACTTGTCTTTTTACCATTCAGACAATTACACTAAATCTTGCTTTCTCATGTTTTCTTTGACATATCAAACTCTTTTTTTAATACTAACATATTTATTTGTAGCTATATATTTTGGATGTGTATGAGAACTTTTCATGACTAATTTAACGGGTGTACAAACTGATGTCTTCCATTTACTAGGGACAATGAAGCGGCCATGATTGAAAAAATAGCCACTGATGTCTCAAACATGTTGAATAATTCCGCGCCGTCAAGAGATTTCGACGGATTAGTTGGGATGGGTGCTCACATGAAACATATGGAGTCGTTAATACGTCTAGATTTGGATGAAGTGAGGATGATTGGGATTTGGGGACTTCCTGGAATTGGAAAGAGCACCATTGCTAGAATCTTGTTTAACCAAGTCTCAAGTAGTTTCCAGCTGAGCACAATCATGCTGAACATCAGAGGATGCTATCCAAGACCATGTCTCGATGAGTACAGTGCACAACTGAAACTACAGAACCAAATGCTGTCTCAAATGATGAACCAGAAAGACATCATGATTCCTCATTTAGGAGTCGCACAAGAACGTTTGAAAGACAAGAGAGTGCTTCTCGTTCTTGATGATGTGGATCGGTTAGGACAACTAGATGCATTGGCGAAAGAAAGTCGATGGTTTGGTCCTGGAAGTCGGATTGTCATTGCAACAGAAGATCTAAGACTTTTGAATGCACATGGGATCAACCATATTTACAAAGTGGATTTTCCATCAACTGATGAGGCTTTGCAAATCTTCTGTACGTATGCTTTTGGTCAAAAGTGCCCTAAAGATGGTTTCACGAATCTTGCTCAAGAAGTTACATCCTTGCCGGTAGCCTTCCTCTAGGTCTAAAGGTTATGGGCTCCTACTTCCGAGGAATGTCTAAGCAGGAGTGGACAAGGGCACTACCAAAGTTAAGGGGTCGCCTTGACGGAGAAATTGAGAGCATATTAAAGTTCAGTTATGATGCTTTATGCGATGAAAATAAAGAACTATTCCTTCACATAGCTTGTTCTTTCAATAAAAGAAATATGGAAAAAGTGGAAGAGTATCTTGCAGAGAGTCCCATAGATGTGAGGCAAGGGCTTCATGCTTTAGCTGAAAAATCTCTTATATCTATTGTCCAAGGGTTTATAGAGATGCATAAGTTGCTGGTCCAATTGGGTGAAGAAATCGTCCGTAAACAATCTGTTCATGAGCCTGGACGACGACAGTTTTTAGATGATGGTAAAGATATTTGTCAAGTACTCGGTGATTATACAACAGTACGTTTTGCCATTACTCATTCGTTGCATTTCTTGTGTTTATTCTATTATCGTGTCTTAAGACCAGCGCCGAGTTAAGCTTACTTGAGAGATGCTTTGAAGGGATGCCTAATCTCCGGTTTTTAAGATTTGGAGGTCATTTCGATCCTCTAAACACCTTTTCTTTGCCGGGACATCTGAATTATATATCTCCGAAACTTCGGTTACTACATTGGGAGTATTTTCCATTGACATGTTTGTCTTTTATTGTTAATCCGGAGCTTCTTGTCGAATTAAGTATGGGTCACAGCAAGCTAGAGACATTGTGGGATGGAATTAAAGTAAGTAATTTTGACTTGTTTCTTTTTAATTTTAAATTTTATCGTCGAATCTATAAAAGTACTACTCCCTCCGTTTCATAATAAGTGTCATTTAAGCAAAATGTATTTGGACAATAATTCGATGTATATGGACAATAATAAGTGTTATTTTGAGTTTAATACATCCAGATACATTGAATTCTCATTTTGCTTAAATGACACTTAGTATGAAAGGAGGGAGTAATATTATGTAGAGTAAATTACCATGCCACATTATAAGAAGTTTGACCATGCATGGATGTGCTAAGTGTGCTTGTTCTTTCTTTTCTCTGTGTTCAACTACTAAGAGTTCATATATTCTGTATTTTTGTTTGTGTATGTCCAGCTACTTCGAAATCTCAAGTGGATGGATTTTAGTTATTCAGGAAACCTTAAGGAGCTTCCTAATCTCTCAACTGCCACTAATCTCAAGGAATTAATTCTCCAGGAATGCACAAGTCTGGTGAAACTCCCTTTCTCTATTGGAAATGCAACTAACCTTCAGAAACTAAATCTTGTTGGATGTACAAGTCTTGTTGGATGTACAAGTCTTGTGGAGCTTCCTTCCTCTATCGGGAATGCGACTAATCTCCAAAAATTGGTTCTCACTAGATGCACAAGTCTGGTCGAGCTTCCTTCCTCTATTGGAAATGCCACTAATCTCCAAAAACTGGTTCTCATTGGATGCACAAGTCTAGTGGAGCTCCCTTCCTCTATTGGGGATGCAACCAATCTTCAGAAATTATACCTCACTAAATGCACAAGTCTGGTGAAGCTCCCTTTCTCTATTGGGAATACAACTAACCTTCAGAGATTAAATCTCGCTGGATGTACAAGTCTGGTGGAGCTCCCTTCCTCCATTGGTAATGCAACTAATCTTCAAAGCTTAGATCTCACTAAATGTACAAGTCTGGTGAAGCTCCCTTTATCTATTGGGAATGCAACTAACCTTCAGAAACTAGATCTCACTGGGTGGACAAGTTTGGTTGAGCTCCCTTCCTCTATTGGTAATGCAACTAATCTTCAACAGTTGGATCTTGGAGATTTCTCAAATCTGGTGGATGTACCTTTATCTATAGAGAATGCCACTTATCTCAAGAAAATAAACCTTAGCGGATGCACAAGTTTGGCAGAGCTCCCTTCCTTTATTGGGAGTGTAATGAATATCCAAAAGCTAGATCTTAGAGGATGCACAAGTTTGGTGGAGCTCCCTTCCTCTATTGGTAGTGCAACTAATCTTCAAATATTGAATCTTAGAGATTGCTCAAATCTGGTGAAGATCCCTTCCTCTATAGGAAATGCCACTAATCTCAAAACCTTAATCCTCAGTGGATGCACAAATTTGGCAGAGCTCCCTTCCTCTATTGGGAATGCAACTAGTCTCCAACTTTTGAACCTCAGTCATTGCTCAAGTCTTGTTGTGCTCCCTTCCTCTGTTGGGAACCTTCATAAATTGTCCAAGTTGAATTTGCATGGATGCTTTAGACTAGAGGTTCTTCCTACCAAAATCAACTTGGAATCTCTCATCACACTTGATCTCACTGACTGCTGCTTGTTAACAAGTTTTCCTGAGATTTCCACAAACATCCAACACCTGTTTCTCAAAGGAACCTCGATAGAAGAGGTTCCTTGGTCGATCAGGTCATGGTCTCGTCTTAAAGAATTGCATATGTCATACTCTGAAAACCTCAAGGACTTGCCGCATGCTCTTGACAGCATCACATATCTACAGCTGACTAAAAAAGAAATACAAGAGCTTGGTCCATGGATCAAGAGATTCCGTCGTCTACGTGGACTTGTATTAAACGACATGCAGAAGCTGGTATCACTCCCGGAGCTTCCGGATTCTCTAATGTTCCTAGATGCAGAAAACTGTGAGTCCCTGGAGAGACTAGATTGCTCCTTTCGCAATCCAGATACTCGTCTCAACTTCCTCAACTGCTTCAAACTAAATCAAGAAGCCAGAGATCTCATCAGCCAGACATCAAACCGTGAAGTTGCTGCCTTACCTGGCAGATTAGTGCCTGCGTGCTTCACTTACCGAGCTTCTGGGAGTTCTGTAACAGTGAAGTTGAGTGGAACATCAACCAAATTCAGGGCATGCATCCGATTGGTTAACATGGGTGTTTGGGAAGAAGTAACTCTCTATTGTAACGTCATGTCCAATCAGAATGCTCTCAAAACTTGTACAACACGTAAACATATCCCAGAACCAGTTTGTTCGGAGCATCTCTACATATTCGACTTTGAAGAAGAGGAGGTGACTTCCACTGAGATTATCTTTGAGTTCAAGCTCACTGCCCCTCACATAGAAACCATCAATGATATCTGGGAGATAAAAGAATGCGGGATACTCCAACTCTTGGATCATCATCTTGATGAAGATTCTGGATCTGTAGACCAAGAAACCTGTGAAGATTCTGGATCTTTAGATTTGACCTCGAGGGTAACAAAACGACCTCGGCTTTGCTAAGTGACTGTGCTTTGTCAATTTCTGAGAGTGGGCTCATCCTCGTATGTATGTCATAAAAACAGAGTCGCTCTGTTTTGTTTGTTATGTCACAGGATTGAGTTTGTATCCAAAAACATTCCTCATTCACACTCAAACTCACTCGTCACTTTCTTCTTCTTTTGTTTTGGGTTAAATGCAACTTATTTATTTTAATTTTCTCTATCAGTAGTGTCTTCTGTCACGCAAAGTGTGCTGTGTTAAGTTGTCAACATGCTTTAGTTTATCAAATATCACTTTTTTCGATTAAAATATAGATTATTAATTCGTTTGCATGTAAAAATTGTGAATCTTGTATTTTCTTTTTGTAATGAATCATATGACTATATCGCTCATTCGCGGGTATAAATATTACAATATACATATATTTACGCAGGGTCTACTTTAACAAACAAAAATAGACCGCTAGGATCTAACGTAGTTGTCATTTCCCAATATGTCTAATCTCCAGTGTAAAAAAAGTTAATGACCAATTATTTTTTATTTTGTGAAAGTGTTCTGACGAAATATTAGTTTTTTTAATATATATTTTTGCTCAAACTAATAAACGTAAGTATAAAACTGAACATTAAGGAGAGGTGGTTATCTATTTTGGGAATGTTCAAAAATTTCAAAATAATGTATATATTTAATGTAGTACTAAGGAGTTATTTACAGTAGAGGCATTTTATGACTTTTCCATATTACAGTAATACACTCTACTTCTTAGTGAAGAAAAGGAAGGTGCATTTAACCCAAAAGAAAAGCGTGGGTCTAGGTATAGCCTATAGGTTTCCAAAAACATTCTTTCATCCCTAATAGCAAACCATAATAGATTAGTGCCTCTACTTATACTCTATATATTCTCGATGTAGAACAATACAAACAAATAATACAAAATAATTTAGTTCAGAAAAAAATAGCCAATATATCATTCATGACTATTTTCATTTACAGGAAGTTGTTATCGCGACGATGCGAGGAAATCGGTGCTCTTGTTCTATTCTCGTCAGAGAAGTTTAATGCTTTCGAAATATGAGTTACGTTGTGTCGTCGAATCTTTGACAAATTGCTAGCAATTATTATTTTTAAAACGATTAGTTTACAAAACTCAATTGGTCAAAAGTAAAACTAATAATAATAAAACAAACGAATATGGTAAGCATTAACGTGAGTGGGAGTTATAACCAAAAATGATCTCATGGAGATTAATTGTATAGCTAGATATACGTTAGGCTAAAACGTTATATATACAATCAATCATATTGCACTAAAACGTTACTTGTATAATGTATAAAATCAAGAATAAGCTCTTTTGCATTTGAATTTGTAAAGGAATTCATAAAGGAATGATATCGGTATAGTAAATCGTCACAAATGGCCTATGCCTATCTCTCCCCTCTTTTTTCTATATATATGCAATTCATAATATGGAAAGTACAAAAGCTTCTATATCTCATGACTGTCATCAAGAATTTCAGGAATCGTTACAAAGGGTAAACAAAAGAGAGGTTTAGGTGGAACCTTGAGAGCCTCTAGATTCCCTCCTAACATTTCAATGACTTTGATCATTGGTGAATGGTCAGATGGATTAGTTTGAAATTATCAGCATACGGACAAGTTCAACTAAGATTATTGTCCTTGCAAACAGAATTATTCTAAAGCAATATGAATTGGGACTAATCATGAGAAAAACAAAAAATCTCAGATCTTTATATGACGCAGAAAAACAAGATTAAGAGATTTACGCATGAAAAAAATCGTTGAAGTGCCTTTTGAGTTTTTTACAACATATTTTGGGGACAATATTCTCAAAACCAAATGGTGTCCATAAAAACCCAACTTTCTCTCGCTGATACATCCACACACAGACTATATACTCATTACTGTCAACAAAAAGAATCTCTCTAGCTACACAACCACCTCACAACATATACTTGTATATATATAAATTGTACACAACAGACGTTAGTACCACACAACCTCACATAAGGCTAGAGTATGGATTGTAACCTTGAGCCGAGCCATATGGTTGGTGAGGATGACCATTTGACACAAATGGGTTCCCAAAGGGATTCATGTTCTGTCCTTGTTGTTGCTGCTGCTGGTAAGGTTGTACAGGTCCCATCATCATTCCTGCGTTCTGATGCTGCTGATACCCATATGTTTGATGATTTTGATGAGCTGGGACTCCATTATTAGATGCAAAGAAAGGTTGGTGCATCATGGGACCGTTGTGAACTGGATATTGTTGTTCCCATGGGTTGTGGCTCCTGTTTTGCTGCTGACTCACTCTGATTGCATCTTCGTATAGGCTGTCAAGTGTGAGCTTGTCTAGTCCACCCGCCTTTTCAATCCAAATGATACAAGAAGAAATGTAATGTCATAAACCACAACACTTCTGCCTAATTATCAGAGAGAGAGAGAGAGACAGAGAGTGATATTTACCAATTTGCTATTAGCAGCGGCACCTTCATTTGAGCTTGGGGCAGTCACAAGTGCCAATTCCCAGCCAGTTGAGTTCCCGTTTGTAAAATCAGTTGTCGAAGCTTGCGGCTCAACTGGAGGAAAAACTCATCAGACAGATTCCGGGATGATAACTTCTAAGCAAACAAGATATTAATAATTCTACGCTATATTGAAATGGTTACCGGTAACAGGGACAATAGCCAAGGCCAACGCATTTTTCTCATCAAGATCAGATACCACTGGAGCTGGATCATCCATAGACTAGAGAGGGAGAAAAAGAAAAACAAGTCAGAAGCAGCAGCAAGAAGAAGAAAAACGTTCATGTTTGGAATAGTTAGCAAATGGAGACATACCAGCAAATCATGTTGTTTCTCTACAGGCTTCTCTGCTTCTGCTTTAACTGGTTCAGGTGATTCCGGTTTCTCTTCAACAACCTTTGGGGGCATTTCATACTCTATGGCCAAAATCTCTTTGGGAGCAGCAAGTCTCTCCACTGCCTGCCATTATCGTAATAGTAAGCGTTAACAGAAACTTGGGTCATAGTGAAGGAAATGGCGATCAGCATTAGGAGATACACTCTCATACCTGCGCCTTCTTGACCCCTGCTGCTAATGGTGCTTCTTTCACATACTCTTCCATTGCTTGTAGAAAAGAAGTGGGAGGCTTCACACAACACAATATAAAAGGTGAATAAAAAGCTCGCACCAATAACGGTGATAAAACTCACACTTGTATGAAAAAAACCAACCTGCTCAATCTTTATGAACCTATCTCCACGTCCAACAGAAAAACTTTTGCAAACTTCGAAAAATTCAGACAGCCTCTCTGCCTGTGAGACACCAATGAAACTAAGTATAGAGTGGTTCTTTGGCCAAACAAGCGTAAAAGAAGAAAGGTTGTATGTACCTGTTTTACTGCCCTTCTGTACAAATCCAATGCCTTAAGAGCATCGTTCCGTTGCATCTCAAAGAACTGTCATCCCAAAGGAATTTTGTTATCAAATAAGTCAGGAAGGCAAAAATAAATATATACATATGCAGAAATAGTGAAGCTTTTGCGTACCTTATCAACCAAATTGTCTATGCCATCAGTCAGTGCTTGGTAGATTTTAGTGCTCTCAGTTATAACCTAGTTGGTGAGAAATAGATTATATAAACCATAAACTGCTGTCAACCAAATCTTGTCGAGTAAATTTATAACATACCATTGTGAGTGCCAATTGGATAATATGGTTTTGAACAGCTGCCCCTCCAGGCTGCAAAGATACACAGATGTTCATTTCTAGTTTAATGAGTGTGGAAACTGTAAGAGACGCATATCTTATCCATGATAGAAACTTATGTTGAATATATCATCCAATGCCTATAGCTAACAAAATCAAATTAAAACACAACTGAAGTATCACCTGACAATCAATAACACGGAAAAGAAGTTCTTGTAGAGCTGGAAGATGTTCAAGCAAATCAGGAGTGTCCAAATCTTTGGTTCTCTGTATTTAAAGCATGTGGTTAGTGATTCCTAAAGTGGAAAGAAATCTTTGTGAGATCATAATATAATAATGTGAGTAGAAACTTACTGGGGGGTCAATCTCAACATCGTACTTCAAAACACGGAAACACTCTAATCTCTCCTCTAAGAACAAAGCATAAGAACGGACCCAAGCTGAGTAATCCCATGCTGATAAAAGAAAGATAAGTCAACCAAAAAGCTTCCTCTATACAAAGGATTCAAATGGAAATAAAACCACGCTAATACCATTTGGGCTGGAGTCATCTTTAAAATGAGACATATTAAGCATATGACTCCTGCTTCTGCTATAATTAATGACTTCTTCATGAAACGTTTGGTCCACTTCCCTCAAAGCACGGTGAATAACAATAAGAGTTTTCAGAGCAACCTGAAAACAAAATAAGGAGAAATACTATCCACAAAGCCTTTATAAGAAGATAGAGAATCAACAACATTCATTGTGACTTCACAACAACCGACAATGAAGCTATAGCAGATCTTAGACATCAAACAACAAAAGGCAATAAGAAAGCAATACAGTTATGTGTTCTTGCTAACCGCCTAGCCAGAGCATGGATGCAATATGCCACATCTGCACGAGGCCTTGTTGCTGAAATAGCCATGAAAATAGCTGCACAGGGACACAACAACTTGCTTTATCACCATTTCTAAGAGAAAATCAACCGCACAAGAAAAAAAACATTTGAAACCTAAGACACTAACCATCTATGATACTACCCACCTCTGATGTATCTTTCTTTTGAAGGACGTTCCACATGATTTGTAGCCTTCACAATAGCAATATCCAATTCCTAAAACCCATCATTCACACCATTGTTTAGCTTCTAGAAAAAACCCAAAACTGATTTCACTTGAAAGAGGGTTTCTTTCTTTTTTACCTTGTAATCACTATTGACTTTTGCTAAGGAAACTGTTGTGGTATCTTTAAGAGCTCCCAAATACCTCCTCAAACTGCTCTGTGATCCTCCTGACATTTCGTTTTCTTGCTAATAAACAGCAGAAACCTGAAAAAGATGTGAACTTTATAAAGTTACATAGCATTAAAAGCGCTAAAGATGTCAACTTTATCTTGAAATCACAAAACCCTCATGTCACCTAAGAACAGAAACATCAAATCTACAAAAAGAAAAACCCTTTCTCTGTTGTAATCGATACCCATAAGCCCTAGATTCATGAATAGCCGATAAAGTTTTCAAAGCACTAAAATTTGAATACTATTGAACACCAAATCAGTCCCAGAAATATGGATTTTTTCCATGAAAGATCAACGAATTGAGATCCGTAAGACGACAAAATCAGAAAAGAACAACACACCTGATCAAGGTTTCTCGTTTTGTGAAGATAGGAAAACGAAATCCCAGGAAGAAAGAAGAGAGAAGAATTCAAGAAATTCAACCGCCGGTTTAATTACAATCGGAGAAAGATATAAAAAGAAGAATATTAAGGTGGAATCGGAGAGAGAGAGAGAGAGAGCGAAGGAGAGAGAGAGAGAGAGGAAGAAGAAGATGAGAGGTACAGAGTCAGAGTCTGCGTTGTACGATGGACGAAAGAGAACAAAAAAGTGTTAGCGAAAATGAGCTAAGAGCTAACGTGGTTTGGTTTGGTTTAGCCGTCGGCGGCCAATATTCTATTGTTTTATGCTGTTTTTACGTATTTTTTTAAAAAAGGTCCACCGTTTACTTTTTAAGTTTGAAAATGGGTCAATCTTGATTCTTGACAATTATTCCCAATGCATTACTAATCATAAGAAATTTCAATGAAATTAATTTATTATTAATAATATTACGTCCTCTGTTCCATAATATAAACAATTTTAGAAGTGTTTCTTTTTTCAAAATATAAGCTGTTTAAACTTCATTTTACCAAAATATGTATTTTTTACCTTTATTTGATAATGTGTGACCAATTATGTTTTATAGTTTTTATTATGGTTGGTTGATTTAAATTTAATTTTTATATATATATTGATATATTTTGAAAAAAAAGTTCTTAATCTTTGTGTTTAAGATAAATTATATTATAAACTGCTTATATTAGTCAAAATATGTTTTAGACTAATATTATAATTTAAATAACTCATTTAATTAATATATGCCTTTTTATATAAATTGTTACTTCTTTTTATATAAAAAATGAAGTTAAAAAAATACAGAGTAAATAAATAGGAAATACTGAAAATTTATATGATAAATTTTGAAAGGACTATATGGTTAACTGTTAGCAAAAGAAAAATATATATTGAAAGGTTATTTTAATTTAAAATGTTAGAATTTATGTCCATTAATATTAATATTAGATGGAAAAAAAACTATTATGTGCATGATTTCCATGCATCATCTTATAAATTAAAGATACAATTTGTTGTAATAATGATAATATTTTACTGACACCAAAATTAAACCAACCAATTAGGGGTTACACATTGCAACTTCAAAAACTATGTATATATATATATATGATTATTAAGCAATAAGCTAATTTTAGACTATTTTTAGTAAATGGTTATTTAGTTAAAACGATACAGTAGGCTTTACTTAATTAAGCCAGTTTTTTTTATGTATTTTTATATTAATTCCACCAAAAAAAAAATTGTATTTTTATATTAATAATGTGGATATTTTCTTACATGGAGAGAAAAAAAGTATATAGAACTAGAAGTAATATCTTCTAGGGTTTGATTCTAGCGGCAGGAACATCACGACTCGCGAGTGATAAGGGATGAATTGGAATGATAAGTGCCTGAAGGGTGAGAAGCCCGAACGTGACGAGAGTGTGTCGGAGGTTGTCATGAGCTGGGCTAAAAGGCACGAACAGTACAAGGATTTGTTGAAGGATGTCGAGTTCTGGTTTCCAAACAATCAAGGAGACTTTTCCTTCCTAAGAAAGTTATATGAGATGGTGGATGACCCTTCAACGGATTCAATTGTTTCTTGGAGCCAAAGCGGCAAGAGTTTCATCGTCTGGAATGAATCTGAGTTTACCAAAGATGTTCTTCCGAGATGCTTACAATACAGTGAGATGAAAAACTTCACCCACCAGCTCGATAACTTGGGCTTTAAGAAAGGTGAATCTGAGCAATGGCAATATGGGTGCGATTATTTTGTTAGAGGCCAACCACCACAACCCCAACCACAACCTAAGATGACGACTGAAAGGAAGAGAGAGTTAGAGAATTCGATGGATCAGATGTTGGCTCTCCGGTCTCTCTGGAGGCCCAAACGTTGCAAGAGTGGCTTGGAGATTACGCGTAGCTTTATTAAGAGGCACCAACATATCGAGGGCATTGATGAGATATTCAATCTCAAGAGCTTAGTGGGGGATCCTGATGGTGATGATTGTAGCAATGATCCAGCTCCTCCCCTAAGGACAGGGCCTTCTCTTCTTCTGGAGTTGTATAAAGTGGTGGATGATCCTTCAACGGACTCAACTGTTTCGTGGAGCCAGAGCGGGAACAGTGTCATCATTTGGAATGAATATGAGTTTTGCAAAGAGCATCTTCTTCCAAGATGCTCCAAATTCAAGGACATGTCACAATACACCGGTTGGCTTGTGAGCTGGGGGTTTAGGAAAGTTGAATCTTCTGCGCCATGGGAATATGCATGCGAGTATTTTGTGAGAGGTAAACCTTTGTTTACACCAAACAAATGGCTTACTGGGACACCATCTTCTGGGCTTGAGCCGGTGCCAGACTATGTGAGAAACTTCGAGAGAAACGTTGAGACAAATTTGAAGAGGGTTTTGGCTCGCCGGCTTCGCGGGAGTCGCTAAATCATCTCTTTAGTTTTACTGCTTGGACTTAGAACTCATCTTTAATTTGGTTGTTTTTATGGTTATGCTTTTTTTTTTTTTTTTCCTTTTTATCAAATTCCATTTGCTGATTATTGTCATGTCTTTTCACACATCGGTAAACCACCATGATAATATATTTGATAATCTAAAGTTCCAGTCAAAATTTCTCAGATCTTTCTCCTCTTTCCCTTACTAAATTTGTAGAAATTGTACAGATCGTGATGAATTGTTATTTGTTTCCTATACAACAGTATAAAAGACCATAAAGAATGAATAATGTACACGACTTTTGCTATGGAAACTCTCGTTTTGATTACGCTTGGTTTTGATTGGGGCCTTGGGGGACGTCTATAATGTTTAACTGTATTTCAAGTTTTTTTACTAAAAAAAAAAAAAAGAAGAAAGAAACTGAATTTAGTAAAAAAAAAAGTTTGGTTGGAGAATTAATGAGAAATGGCTTATTTTGCTAGAGGTCAACCTAATCCTACACCAACCTAGTCTCATTCACAAAGCATAGATTGATCATAAGTTGTGTAAACAAGCTCTCAATTCTGAGAAATCCATAGAGGATTCCGCTCTGAGCTGTAAAGAGTACGTACATCACGTATTGATAGCTCAACTAATGAAGGGATTCACTCTGATAGTATTTTCCGATGTTATATGGATGCATCATGCATGGATCTTAGGTGAGTGATAAGGATGGGATAACACAAGGTCATCTTTCTAAGTGATTGTAAGTTTCTCTATATTGAAGATATCTTGAGATTGGCGCAAAAACATATACATGTTTGATGTTTCTCATTTTAAAAGATATCTCTAGAAGCATAGCATGTTCTAGCAAGAAGAACAATGCAAAATTGTTGTGCCTATGTAAGAAAGAGTACTTGAAAAGTTATGTAATGTTTTGTTGTGAGATAGGATTTGTCTTTGTCTAGTGTGTAATAACATTGGTTTGGGATCTAGGATCTTTGTATGTTTAATTTGTTTGATCATCTGCTAAAACAAAATAAAGTTTGATTTTTGTAGGTTCATTTGCAAAACTTTTTAAGTCGTAAGAAAGGGTAAAATTGTAATTTGATAATCATCGATTTGTCGTCGTTCGTTTCCATCGGTTCTGACTTCAAAAATTAACCCTAAAATCTTCCGAATCGAAACAGTGTTTACCACATTCGTCGATCAATTCAAGCCCTGCGTTGTTGTTCCTAATTTCCCAATTCGAAACCCTAGCTAGCACCAGAATCAAAAATTCACTTCATCAGAGATGGCAATAGCGCGAACTGGAGTTTACGTTGATGATTACCTCGAATGTAAGATCGATAAACGCTCCCTCCAAATTTGATCAATTCTGTCTAATTCGAGAAAAATTAGTTCGATTTAGGGTTTCAATTTATCTTGTAGATGCAAGCACTTTCCCTGCGGAGCTTCAAAGACTGCTAAACACAGTTCGCGAGCTAGACGAGAGATCTCAATGTAAAAACCTTCACTTTCATAAATTTTTGTTTATCATTTCCTCTGTTTCTTTGTGAATTGATTATGTTTGATTTTTTTTTTTCTGAAGCGCTCATAAACCAGACGAGGCAGCAAACCAAGTATTGCTTAGGGCTTGCCTCACAGAGCTCTAAGAAGGGTAACAATGGCAATAACCATTACAACAACAATGGCCTTGATGAAGAAGAAACGATTGAGAAAATGCGTAAAGAGATTGAGTCCAGCCAGGAAAATGCGTTAAGTTTGTGTACAGAGAAGGTCTTATTGGCCCGGCAAGCGTATGATCTTGTAAGCTATATACATTTATTCATACAAATTTGTGGGATTAATCATTGTTCATTGTCTGTGACAAGAGCACTATCATGTAATGGATGTGTATGTATACCTGATGTGATCTCTACTGTTATGATGTGAAAAATAGAGTTTAGATTCCAATCAGAAACTTGAAAATGGTAGACCTTGTTTGCTGAGATTTGAATACTGATATATAACTATTATGTTTGTTCTGGTTGCAGATAGACAGTCATGTAAAACGACTTGATGAAGATTTGAATAATTTTTCTGAAGATTTAAAGCAAGGTATGTGATGTCTAATAACTTTCTTCTCAAGTGGGATTTGGTTAGAACTATGTCTATTCATGTTCTAATGGTTAAAATCTTGTAAATGGCCTTACTTTCGTTTCTCTCTGGTGAAATGATGATGCTTTAAATGAAGAAGGGAACCCTTTTCAATATCGTCGTCTTCTCTATTTCTCATATGTTTTATTGTGTCATGAATATTCTCTATCAGAGGGAAAAATTCCACCAGACGAGCCTTCTGTGCTTCCTCCGCTACCTATAGTTCAGAAACAGGAAAAGCGCAAGTCCTTCTATGGCACACCTCAGTCCAAAAAGATTGACTACAGAGATAGAGAGTGGGATCGTGACAGGGACTTCGAGCTCATGCCTCCTCCGGGAAGCAATCGCAAAGACTTCACCCCTATTGATGAGCAGCCAATCGATCCAAACGAACCAACCTACTGTGTCTGCCATCAGGTCCTGAATACATAAATCCTGGAAAATCTTCGGTGTTGCTGATACTAATTTGGTCGTTCATTAACACTTTATTCTCGTTTTGTTCAGGTGTCCTTTGGAGACATGATTGCCTGTGATAATGAGAAGAATGTGAGTCTATTTCCTGTTTAGCATCTTATTTGCTATTCCCTGTTTAGTTATTTCAAAAACATGTGATTCAATTTTCGCGTTTGGACAGTGTCAAGGAGGAGAGTGGTTTCACTATACATGCGTTGGCCTTACACCAGAGACCAGGTTCAAAGGGAAATGGTATTGTCCCACCTGCAGGCTTCTCCCACAGTCACATTAAACATTATTCGTACCTGTGACGAGGTATTGCTTTTGTCGAAACCCCATAGTATAGTTTTTTTAGCATCAGTCATCAGAAAACTAAGATCTCCTCCTGCAATTTTGAGGCATGAGTTGCTAATATTAGTCTTAAGACATGTATGTATGTATGGAGATTTACATGAACTTATGATTATGTTGATTTTCATAGGTGGCAGTGGCATCTTGTTGTATGGTATCTTCTCTTCAAAGACAATTCTCTTCTTTGTTGCTACTCAACATGTAGCAAGTACAACATTTCTTTCTGTTCATACTTCATAGTTTTGTTTAATTTTTGAGGAAGTACTTACAGTTAGGTAGTTGTGGTATTAAATTGACAGTGATGTCACTTACTGACATCAAGATATCAGTGTAAAATTTTAGATTTTACCTTCGGCTGAAATTTTAAAGCGCTATTTAATTGAATGTATTTTTAACATACACTTCATATTCTCTCTAATCATATTCTCAAATAGGTCAAAATATTGGATAAGAAGATGTAACGTAAAACCTCAAATATGTTTCATCAAATATGTAACATCCGAAAATCAAATATTGAATGAAAAAATTGTCGTAAAGAAAAAGAGATGTTTTTTCTTTGGGAAAAGAGTGAATTAAAGTGATAACGATACAATTGGATCATTTTAGCATTTCTATGTTGCTATGTTTGCGTAACTTTAATCCTCCAGAGAAAATTTTCCAGGTTGAGTAAACTTCTTCTCGAGTTGCTCCACCTTGTTGAATCTAAAACCTCTGATTCTTATTTCCTCTGGAACCGATGTGTCTTTATAATCTACATTTTCCATGGTCCAACCACTGTTCTTGATCGAACCTCCCACTTTGACCTGTTTTTTTTTAAAGACATGTCGCAATAAGTCTTTATATGATATGATAATCCAAGAAAGAAACAGCAATTGGACTTTTGTTTACCTCTGCGTCATCAATGGAATCTACAATAAGAGCACCGTCCAAGGAGAGATCTTCAATAAATACATTACGACCCGTGATAGCCATTGTAGATCTCTGAGAGATCTCGGAGTTCCCGCTGATTTTCGTTTTGATGTCAGAGAAGATCATTCCCCATTTGGGTTTCCATGTGATACGAGGCCATACTTCAACCTCTTGGCCGTTAAAGACTTCCTTCACAGGCTCTTCTACTTTCACACCAGCCTGAGGAAATTAGTAAAACCAAAGTGACTATAAACCATCATGGACAAGACTATTAAGACTTGTTTCAAGCGTCCCTAGAGGTTACCTTTTGAAGAATACGGCTGTTGGCACGATAAACCGCCATTTCTCCAGAGGTTGCACTGTGATATGGATTTCCCTTTGGTACCTTGAGTGGATAAGGAAAAACATACAACAAGTTGATCAATCACAAGAACTAGTAAACCTTTCAGGTTTTGGTTGCAGTAATTTTGTTAGCCATTCAGTAATTAACCTTAGCAGCATCCTCGGGATTGTTCTTGACGGGTGCATAAGCAAGCCATATATCCATCACCTACATGAAGGGAAACATTGTTACAACAAGTATATGCATAGGTAAAGTAGTGTTTTTAACTCTACAGATAGTAATTACCGTGAATCCGACCCGTGCAGTTGGAGGCAATGTCTTTGGATAATCTTGCATCATACACTCTAGACGAGTTGAAGATTTAAACGCTGTTTTGGTGCTATCCTTGTATCTGTTATATTTAATCAAGAAATTGATATGTCAAAGCATAGAATCAGAGTTTCTAACTAAGAACTTATTAATAATGAGAACCAGTCAAGACAATGATAGCTTCAAGGGGAGAGAAAAGATAATTACTTTGGATTCACAAACTCCTTAATGGCCCCTCCAGTTTTTTGCAACTCTTCTTTGTATGAACCAAGTTCTAGAATCAACTGCATTGAGAAACATAAACAAGACTCTTTCAGTTTTCTGATCAAAGACAGATATAGGCAACTCACATGGAGTAGAAGACAACTCACTTGATTAATATTTCCTGGGAACGGGGAATAGCCTGTCTCGGAATTAACATCCCCATCGGGGAATCCAGATGCTCTAAGAAGCGGATCAAGTTGATTGTACTCCACATTGATCACCATAGATCTGCCTGTGAATCAATAATCTCGATTATCATACAGAAATATGAACAAAACTGTGGATTCTTGCTATTAACTAAAGTTACCATCAGCGTGGGTAAGTTTGGTAATTCCTCCAATAGCTTCTTTCGCCTTACGAGGAACAGCGAGAGAGTTTACGTGATATTGTTTGGTAGCACTCACACCCAAAGAGGCTGGAATTGCCTGGAAAAAAAGGAATTGTGAATTTTCCAACAGAAATTATATGAATACTTAACACAGATGAACTGAGGTAGCTACTACTAACATTGAAGAGAAGTCCATTTGTATCTTGGAAAAACAAAACCCATTTTAAACCAGCATCAAGCCTGAAAATCACGAACAAAGAAAAAGAGAAATTGTAAGCAGCAAACTCTAAAATGTTACAAAAAAATAATATTTGATAAAAGAAAAATAAGAAATACCATTGATCAAGAAGACCACTGGAATAAAGGAGTGAATGTACATCGCCATGTCCATGAGGTTTTGTCTACAAATAGCCAAGAAGACAACAATCAGCTTTAATAGATTGTAATATATTCGGAAACATTAACACAAGACACATAGTAATATGAATATGGTACCTGGATCATGTATTTGTTGTGAGGGTCCAATGCAAGCCTGGCATCATTATCATCAAGACATGCAACTTTTTCCTATCGAACAAAAGGTAGTTGTAGTTATCATCATCAAGTCAGGCACTGTTTTTTTCTCAAAATCTCTTTTTAGGGCCCTTAGTTGCTGATCATTTACCTGTTTAAGAAGATGTACTTGAGTAGGTTTCATCCCAAAGTAAGATTTCGACTCTAACAGCTCCAACGTACGTGAATGTGTATCATCAGACGTCATGATAATGAATGGAATATCTCTCTGACTTCCATCTGAAAAATGTACATATAAGATGCCATAACATATCTTGTAGCAATGTATATCTATAATGTGGTAGCATTGTTAAAAAAAAAGGTTAGAAACACACCAGATGCGACCTTGTGGCTAGCTTCTTGAAGAGCCAATATAGATTCAATGTAGTGCTGCAAAAAGCATGTCCCTGTGGTTGTCTCCCTTGGAAGTGCCACCTAATAGTATATGTCGCAAGTAAATGTTTATGTTCCTCAATGCCACAAAACATGGGACTGATTAAACAATAAAATAAGTGGATATAATGACGATCAAGTCAATGAAATCTTGCTCCAAACGTTACCTTGATTCCATTGTAACCAAGACGCTCACCAAGACCACCAGCAACAAGAACAAAAGCAGCGTTCCTAGCTTCGACGACACCTCTTTTCTCCATGTCGATGAAGTTGTCATTACCAAAAGTAAGATTTTCTCCTGAAGGAACCTGCAAGAAAGAACAAAAAAAAACAGAACAATAAGACTTTCGAATTCATAACAAAGAAAAAAATTAAGAGAAGAGATTTGATGCTACTTACAGAAGGAGAGAAGCCATCATACGGATTCTTCCCTAGTTTTGAATCTGCGAGAAGCTCTTTCGCAGTCTTAATGTATGATGCTAATCCTCCAGGATAGCTTGAATTTAAGCGAGCAATCTAAGAAAGCAATAATTATGATTCATAATTATGGTATGAGAGGAAAAAATAAATTCAACCGAAGAAGAAGCAGAACCAAAAAAAAATAAAAAAAAACAGAACCTGATCGAAAAATCCAAGTTTGTCATTGTCACAAACGCCTTGTTCAGGCCAATGTAAGAAGAGATGACTCTGACCATTCTCCAACAGGATCTTCGCCAATTCGATCTGGACACAAAAAAAAATAGATCGTAAGAATCACAAATGTAATAACAGAAGAAAAAAGAAAGATCGCAAATGCGGAGATACAAACCTGATCTGGAGACAGAATTCCGAGGTTACTCTGGAGAGCTGGAGCGGATGAGAAGAGATCGGTGTTGCTGGAATCGACCGTAGAAGCCATGAAAAGACGGGAACAGAGGAACGAAGGAAGCTGTCTCTGTCGTAATTTCAGTGTTCGAATTTGGACAGAAGAAATCGCAGCGAGAGCAAACGAAATACAGAGCGTTTGAAGACGATCTTCGCTAAAGGAAAGCTATGAGTTTGAATCGCTGGAAGCGTTTGAAGAATTAGAAACTGATAAACAATTTGGGAATCGGAAAGAGAAGAGAATTTCGAAAGGAAACTGAAAGTATCAAACTGTTGTTCCCGAATTAAGATGATCTTTTGAGGAAATAAGACGATAGAAGACAAGAAGCTGATGATGTGGCCAGTACCTATGATTTAATGGGCCTAAATGTTTGTATGTCAGGCCCAATTGACGCCAAAAATATCACCTCTAAATTTATACTCACGTACAGTATACAAATACACAGCTACACAGTGTATCGAGTATACAAGACTACAAAATCTAATACTCATAAATGTGTATATTAACTAATATTAATATCTGGAATATTTTTTTTATAAAACTATTTATGGTACTAAACAGGAATTTTGTGATTTTTTTTTATATTCCCAAATTTGATTATTCTATTATTGTTATTTCTGACGTCAATCACCCAATTCCATCATATATCTTCAAAGTTTTTTTTCCTAATTCATTTTAAATGATTTCATTTAATAATTTCATTTTTTTATAAATATAGAAAACTGCAAATTTGGGTTTAGTTTAAAAAAAAAAATTACAAAATGCGTATACGAATGAGATAAGTACAAAAGTCATAGAAATATTTTGGTTTTCTAAAATTGGAATAGATTTTGTGAACCCAAAAAGTAAATTAAATTTGTGAAAGTTTTTTCCTCCAGCTGTGTTAATTTTTTTTGTTTTGTTTTGTGTGTAATTAACGTTATATGTCCTTTACATACACTCCTATATATATATATATATTTATATTGTCAATCGTAACTTTTTGAGTTTCTATCTCACTCTCTAATCTTATTTCATTCTTTGGAAAACAACATGCAGTTCACAAATCCATATTCTAGACTTTCTTGTCTAGTTTGTGATGAATTCTTTGAAACTCATCAAGATTTAAACTCACATTTCAACAATTTTCATGCTAATTCGTTATGTCAGCCCACAAAACAGAATTTCATATCCACTTACAAATATCTTAATTTTTTTTAATCAGATACTTGCCGAAATCCATCTTTCAATGATTTTCAAAATAAAATAATGAGATTCCAAAATTCTCTCGCTATTGCCGAGGCTGGGAGGCCGACCTATCAATTGGTGCCCATGACCAATACTAATAACATCAACTTTCCTCACCATCTAATGCAGCCTCAATTGGAGCCGCAGCTTCCTCGACGTCAGTTGCAGCCACAACATCACTTTCAGCCGCATTCACAAAACTTGGAAGCTGAGATGGCACAAGTGGTTAAAATTCAAACTTTGCCACTCATTGACAAATTGGAACGAGAGTGGTCGGAGCCTATCCCGAAATACAATAAAGAGGATATGATAGATCTTGAATTAAAGTTATAAAAATAAAAATTGAAAAGGTCATTTTGTAATAATGATATGATAGAGGATATTTCTGTGTCTTCTTATATGTACTCTCTATTATATAAGATTATGGAATCCAAATATTTAAAGAATTACAGTAAAAATATGTATAATATGGAGTAAGCACAACCCAGAAGTATAAAATTCTACTTCATCAGCTTACATTGTACAAACATGTCACATTATATCTGGCAATCTATTTGTAATGCCAAAACAAAAATTTGAACCTAACTACAACATCAAAATGTGGTTACAAGCCCTATACCTACCTCTTCTGCGAGTTCGTCCCATACAGGCAGAAGTGTCAAAACCACCAGGACAATCGCAGTTGCGACAAGGGCTTTCCTCCATGTTCCAACCTCGGTCACATCGTTTAAGCACGGTTTCTCAGGTGTTCTCTGTTTCAAAACATTATACACATTTCTTTAGAAACAGCTTTGTAAGGCTGGTTCGCATTGTTGAAGTTGCAGAGTTGAGGAAAATTCTCTTTACCTGGCAGATTAGCACGTAGAGTCCCCAAGGAAGTGCCAAGGGGCCTCCAAGCTGAAATAAAAAATTGCAAGGTCAAATAAATACCATACCGAGAGCACAAATTATATAACAACAGAACATATCTTATAACAGTAGAACATACCACTCTGAGTCCAAGCATTACATAGGTTGACAAACCAAATGTAACCAGTGCATTTTTCCCAAATGCCCCCTGCACCAGAGCCATACACATTATTTTTGAGGATATATAATATAGTACACATTTGAATCAAATGCAGCATGGTTTTTAATGGTAAGAGACACTTGAAGAAAGAATTTTCCTTGATACGAGTCAGAGTGATGTTCACATTTTTAGTAACCAAAAGATAAGAGTAGTACCTGTACAGCTCTTCCTCCATCTAAACATCCAACAGGAAGCATATTAAAAGCTGTTGTTGTTAAACCACACCTAACAAACATTCTTCAAAGTAAGCAAAAATTGTCACAGCTTCTGATGAATAATAGGGCATGAGACAAGGCATTAGACGCTACCATCCAGCGATAACAAGCGGGTGGATTGAAACCGTTGCAGCATGCATAGCTCTGCAATCAATAGGAAAAAATAGAAACGGATGTTGGACAGTTGGTTTTCGTCTATGTTCAACAGTTGTTAGCTGGGGAGAGCTTACGCGTATCCCAGAGTTGCTCTGCTGATGAGTCCAAGAAGTAATGAACCTTGGAACAACATGCTGGGAACCTGTACAAGATCGCTAGCTGCGTCCGGGTTTGTAGATAGGAACAGACCAACAGCAAACATGGATACTGATAGTGCAGCTCCGGCGAATGGACCAGCTAGCGATATGTCAACTTTTGTACTCCGGTCCGGAAGAATTGACTTGAACTGTACAAATCAAGTAAAACAGCACTACTACATTAGCCAACTTACTCTTATCTTGGAAACACTTCAAAATGTTCAACAAACCAAAAGTAGATTGCAATTTTCACCATAAATTCTCCAAAGAACATAGAAAGATGTCAACTATTAGATGTGAATTAAATAGAGTTCAACAGGACATAAGTCCCCTGAATTTGAAAGAGTTGCAACAGATATGATGAGGATTGTTACCTGTGTGATTGCACCAAAACTACCGAGAGTAATGTTCGGGATGAAGTAAGGAATGCTAAGCTTTACTTTCTTTGGAACTGCAGCAAGAAAGTGTCCTAATTCCTGAAAATAAACGAAGTGACAAGAGAAAAATAAGAAAACCAGAGATCACCAATATATGGAAGTTCATTACAAAGAAACACACAAGATTTTAACTTACATGAAACAAAAGGATTCCCAAGACACCATAAGCCAGAGGCAATGCAGACTCAACAAATGGATACAGAAGCTCCATATCAGGCGGTTCAACAGCATTAGGGTCGGTGAAATACTTCACCACCTCAGGAGGTAAACGGTTAATCTGTTAAATCAAGCAACTTCCATTATTTCATTTATGTGATTTCTTGCACTTACGATCAAAGACATGATAATGTAATGCTTATGTGAAATAAAGGTACCTGAGAAGCAATTCCTAGCTCCACAGAGGAACCAATTGTCAAAAGAAACAATATGAAAGCAATCACATACTGCCACAGTGTGGTCGGTCCTGGCTCCGAGACCTCTTTACGAAGCAAACCGAAGCTGACACGGGCACCGCCACGTGGATCTGGTCCTTCCGAGTTAGGCTCCTCAATCATGAACAAGTTATATTTATCGCCAGCAAGCTCAGCTAGCTTTCTCTGAAGTTTTGCAAAAACATCTTCTCTTTTTCCTCTCAAGTTTCCAAGAAAGAGTATACCTTCTCCAAGGTCCCCAAATGGCTCTTCTTTAGTCACCCAGAATGTCGAATAGCCGAAAATGTTGTCCTTTATTAACTTGACATCTGCGGGATCTACTCTCTCGGGTCCAAGAAGCTCCATTAGCTTAAATGAGTCTATTTGGAAGCTGCTAAATGTCGGATCAATTGGCGATTCAGTTGATGGCTGAGAAAAAAGACACAAACTTTTGCTCTTTAGTAACTCAAGTTTTAGAAACTGATTCTAACAATCAACATAAAACCTATGGAATCAAGAGAACTCATATTAGTCTTGTATGTTCGTCTTAAAATTAATCGTTTTAGATTTTTAATTTTTCGTTATTTCGAAATGGTATTCTAATTGAATATTTCACTGAATCCACAATTTTCAAGATTCGACTACACAAATTCTGGTTTTTTTTTGCTTTGAACTGAAATTCGGACAAAAGGGTAAAATTCAGACAAGAGACAAGAGTGTGTACCCTTGACGAAACAGAAGGAGTCTTGTCGGAACCAAACTCGTTGCTGCTGCTGCTGCTACTGTTACTTCTCTCGTCTGCTTCTTCATCTTCTTTTTCTTCTTCTTCTTCTTTTTCTTCTTCTCGGGATGCCGTTTTTATAGTTGAATTGTCTCCGTTATCTCCGCCATTACCGTTTTGATCACTGCCTAAACACTTTACAACCCTAAATCTATGATAATCCTCTGTGCAAGAGAAGTATAATCTCTCTTTCGCTGATGTAACTTTGGGCATTGGTGTCTTAATCTTCTCCCGGAGACTGCAGTGAAACGATCGGAATCTGATGTTAAGCGTAGCTGCGAAAGCGACGCTCGTGAGAGTCCCCATCGAGTGGAGACGGAGCAAAGAAACGAAATGTTTAAAAGATAAGGGGCAAGTGTGGGAGCGCTTTAAGCTTGATTGATTTGTTCAGCTTCAGCATAATAAAAGAAAAAAAAGAAACTGGAACCGAACTGAATGGAGCCAAATCCAAATTAAACTGAAATTAGCGAAGAGTTAAGGATTGTGTCAAAATTAATTAAGTCGATGATAAAAGAGTAATGCAAAAACAATTCACTGAGGCTGTGGTGATGAATTATTAATACCATTTCATTTCATAAAGGGTTAGGTGCCTCCTATTCCTCCATCTAAACAGTGAAATTCATGATAAAATCGCATTTTTGTTTTCGAATTCCGCATCTAAAACTAAAAAAAAAAAGTTAAAAACTAAGATTAGTCAAGCTAAATTATGTTTAGGTGAATAGTCAAGATAAATCTCACTAATGTTAAAACAAAATTAAGAACGAAACTTAATACATGCGATTTTGTTTTCTAGTCAAAATGTGGTTATCTTTTGACTAGAAATATATAAGTAAACAAAGTATATGATTATATGTTACCTTTTAACTTTGATTTGTTAAGTCTTGTTCCAAGTTTGACAATGAAAATTATATTTTATGTATGTTTGAGTATTGTATATATATAGCCTAGCTAAAGTAAAAATCATCAAGAATTTTTTTTTACAAATCACAAAAATGGCTTTCAGCATTAAAACTTTAGTTACATTTGTTTTCACTATCTTTTTCTTTTTCATCATATCTATCGTTCATGGTCGTACAACAGCTATTAAACCTCTAGGTTCTCGTTTATTCTCATATATCACACTTGTTGGTTTCTCTTTCAATAAATGTACATATTGGTTTAATGGTTTTATTATATATATAGGTTATGAAATAAATAGAAGAGACGTTCTATGCTTCTTTGGAGATGAATCATGCGGTACTGAAGGGGATGTTGGTTGCAGTAAATTTTGTAAAGGCATTGAGTATTATTATGGCGTGTGTACTCCCGATGATGGATGTTGTTGTCATATTCCCCAACTGAAAAAAGCTCCCAAACCAATATTCTGATCAAATATAATGATATTATTTTTTCAAGAAGATATGGAAAATATAGGATGGTTCATGATTGTAACGATTGAGCAATCTAGATAACTAATAAGGCTTGGACAATCTCAAGCCTTTGACACGTGGCACTCTTTTTTTTTTTTTCGCCTAACACCAAAACGACGTCGTTTTGCGCTTTTTTTTTTTTTCGTCTTACACCAAAACGACGTCGTTTTGCGCTTTATTTTTTTTTTTCGTCTTACACCAAAACGACGTCGTTTTCGTAAAAAAAAAAAAAAATCTAAATCAAAATTATGTGTAATGTGTTCGTTTTGATGGGCTTGATTATTTATCGGACCTCTTCGTTTCCATGGTAGCTTTAAATGGGCTTACTGGCTAATTAGCTCATTTCATTTCCTTTTAAAAAGGATTGCAATTATTATTATCTATGAGTCTGTAGGATAATAATCAATCTATAATGATTGTTAGTATAAGGAAAATTAGAAGAACTCAACTCCAGTCGATAAATTATTGTATAAAAGAACAAAAAACATATGAAACTATTCACTATGAGTCTATATAAGATTTCACGTAAATAACAACTAAATTTTAAAACTATATGAAAAAAAACAAAATGCAAAACTTACAGAATCTAATATATTCGAGTAAAAAACAAATGATATATTCGAATCTAATGTTCTGAATAATTAAATTAAAAATATTTGGTTTAATAAACCCGCGCATTGCGCGGGTTCTCTCCTAGTATGTTTCTAATAAAAATATATCCCCTTCAAAATCTACATGGAATTTTTTTTTTGTTTTGCATTTTGCATTTTGAAGAAAAAAGTTTTTTTTTTGTAAGGTTGGGTTTAACAAAAAAAAGTACAAAATTGAATTTATCTCTTCTGTTTCTGAGATTTTGTTGCTTTCTAGACTTTGATGAAATAAAAATGGATTTTGAAGTTTTTTTAACAATCACATAAAAATAACCCCCTAAATTGAGAAAGAAAACAAAATACAACACTAAACCGGGAATGTTAGTTTTGGTATACGCTTAACCGGAAATCTCCTTACCAACAAAAAAACCGTCAAATTTCTCAAAATCAGAGAAGCTATATAGCCAAGAGTAGTGACAAGAACTAACTAAAATTAAGGGAACGTAGACTCATTCTTACAATTGAAATTCGGACAAAAGGGTAAAAATTAAACAAGAGACAAGAGTGTGTACCATTGACGAAACAGGAGTCTTGTCGGAAGCAAACTCGTTGCTGTTACTGCTGCTACTGTTACTTCTCTCGTCTGCTTTTTCATCTTCTTTATCTTCTTCTTCTTCTTCTCGGGATGCCGTTTTTACAGTTGAATCTCTAACAAGCGACGAATTAGTGTCTCCGTTTTCTCCGCCATTACCGTTTTGATCATTGCCTAAACACTTGACAACCCTAAATCTATGATAATCCTCTGTGCAAGAGAAGTATAATCTCTCTTTCACTGATGTAAGTATGTAAGTATGTAACTTTGGGCATTGGTGTCTTAATCTTCTCCCGGAGACTGCAATGAAACGATCGGAATCTGATGTTAAGCGTAGCTGCGAAAGCGACGCTCGTGAGAGTACCCATCGAGTGGAGACGGAGCAAAGAAGGAAACGAAATGTTTAAGCTTGACTGATTGTTCTCAGCATAAAAAATAAATAAAAAGAAACTGGAACCGAACTGAATGGATTGGAGCCAAATCAAAATTAAACTGAAATTAGCTAGATGCCAAGGATTGTGTCAAAATTAATAATGTCGATTATAAAAGAGTAATGCAAAATCAATTCACTAAGGCTGTGGTGTAATTTGAGTATGTATGAAACAGTGAAATTCATGATAAAGCCTTCCAAACTTAAACATTAGAAGACGAAATTCCTCAAACTAGTATTTTTGGTTTTTGAATTCAGCATCTCAAACTAAAAAAAAAATCTTTTAGAAACTGAGATTAGTCAAGCTAAATTATGTTTAGGTGAATAGTCAAGACAAATCTCACTAATGTTAAAACAAAATTAAGAAAGAAAATTAATACACGCGGTTTTTTTCTAGTCAAGATCTTTTGACTTGATGTATAAGTAATTCAACGATATGATTATATGTTACCTTTTAACTTTGATTTGTTAAGTCTTGTTCCAAGTTTGACCATGGAAATTATATTTTATGCATGTTTGTGTTATTATATATATATAGCCAGGCTAAAGTAAAATTCATCAAGAAACTTTTTCTACAAATCACAAAAATGGCTTCCAGCATGAAAACTTTAGTTACATTTGTTTTCACTATCTTTTTCATCATGTCTATTGTTCATGGTCGTACAACAGCTATTAAACCTCTAGGTACTCGTTTATTCTTATATCACACTCTATAATCATAGAAATGCGTTGGTTTCTCTTTCAAGAAATGTTCATATTGGTTTAATGGTTTTATTTATTTATTTTTTTTTTTTGGTCAACGGTTTAATGGTTTTATTATATACTGTAGGCTATGGAATAAATAGAAGAGATGTTCAATGCTACTTTGGAGCAGAATCATGCGCTACTGAAGGGGATGTTGGTTGCAATAGATATTGTGAAGAAGAAGAGTATTATTATGGCGAGTGTACTCCCGATGATGGATGTTGTTGTCATATTCCCCTGAAGAAAAAAGCTCCGAAACCAATGGTCTGATCAGTTACAATGATATTATTTTTTCAAGAGGATATGGAAAAATATAGGATGGTTCATGATTGTAACGATTGAGCAATAATGTATGTTTTTAATTAAAATATATCCCCTTCAAAATCTATATGGAGAAATAAATACGAAATAAATCATACGAAATAGAAACTATTTTAATTAAATTGTTGCAGTATTTCTTTTTTGCAATTTGGAGAAAAAAGTTTTACATGTAGGGATTTGAATACAGATAAGCAAAATTTTGGATTTTTTTTTTATAATAATTTTCACTACATTTGACTTTTTAATTAAAATTTGGAAAAACTGTTACTCCCTCCGTTTCATATTAAGTGTCGTTTTAGAATTTAATTTTTTTTTTCATTATAAGTGTCATTTTACATTTTCAATGCATAATTTTAATATAATTTCCAGATTTAACTTTATTTATTTATCGAATTAACAAAGAGATTAAATTCTATAATATATTAATTAGGAATATTGTATAAATTTTAACATGTTATCTTAATATATGTGAGAAAACTTTAAACGACACTTATTATGAAACATAAAAATATTTGCTTTATTTCATCCCACTAAAAAAATCACAAACATGAATATACATAAAATCAAAAATAAATAAATAACAATAAATTTTGAATTTTTTATCATATAAAATCTATTTCCCAATAAACCCCTAAATTGAGAAGAAAAAAAACAATAAACCGGGAATGTTAGTTCTGGTATACGCTGAACCGGAAATCTCCTTACAAAAAAAAAAACGAACCGGAAATTCTTGAATTAGATTGTTTCTACTTTCTACTGTCCTCTACCTTCTGGATTCCTCCAGAGGAACCTGGGAAAAAAACTCTTCTCTCTCACTATATAGATGTAGCTTCTTCTTCTACTCTCTCTCTCTCTCTCGCACAATCTCTTATTAAAGTATTTCTACTGGAAAAGCTTTTCCTTGCCGTTGAAACGAAAATGGTGGAAGACGAGCGCTTGTCGATGAAGAGGAAAGGTATCGACCAAGTGAACGACGAATTCTCAGATTTTTCCCTCACTTCTCCGGCCAGAAAGATTCGTCGTCTGGTAATTTCATCTTCTCTCTCTCCGATTTCATAAATCCCCTAGGTTTCGTTTTATCTTAAGATTCCGTTTGCGATTGCAATCAGGATGTGGATTTGCCACCGATTAGGGAGGAAGATATGGCGATGCAAGAGACGGAATCGGAAGAAACCGAGCCTAATCCGGTAAACGAAGAGAGATCAATTGTTCTATTCAAGCCTCTCCTTCATCATCAGCCTTCTTCTTCTGGACAGCTCTTTGTTGACAGAGACTTGATTTCTGATTTCAAGAGTAAGTTTCTTAATCAGTTTGTTATCTTTCTGATTGAACAATTGCTTAGAAAGTAGGAACAACAATGTGGTTGAATTGAATAAGCTATAATCAAATGATATGAGGCCAAATTGTTATGAACTTGATGAGGATTTTGCTGTGTTCATGTAGTTTCTCTGCCTACAGGAAGGTGTCAAATTTTTGTTATGCTTCGTTTAGTTTGTTAAAGCCTCTGTTTTGCATCTTCATGTGGTTGTGCAGATAGATTCTTCCGTGGTGCATCGAGAGCTGTTGATAACAATGATGAAGATGAGAAATCCAACAAGTGCCAAGCAGTTGTTTGCTGGAATCCTTCTATATCTCCTTACTCTGAGCCCATTGGGACTTTTCAACAGCCACGCCGCACACTAGAGATTGTTGAGTTGGATGAGACATGCGAGGACGCGGTGATGGATGAAGCAGCCATGGAAATAGAAGAGGATAACCGAAGCAGCACCGGTTTATCCTTTCCTCAGCAAGAAGATCCCACCTATGGTTTTGGCTTGCACCAGTGGCAGCAGCATCAACAACAACACTGTATGGTACCGCCGCTTCCTCAAGTCAACACTACTCCGGTCACTTGGTTCCGATGAACTCGCATCGCTTAAGCGGAATGGATGAAGTAGAAAAGTAGAAGCAGCTTTTTGTTGTTAGATTTGTTGGTTGTATAACCAAACTAGTCGCTTCAACTATATATATATGTCCTTAGTGCTGTAAGGAATCTTATCTTTTGAATGTGAATTAATATAATCTCAAGAGTAAGACTAAGAAGGTGAAGTGGATTCATGAGCTCTTTATAAGTAAAATACACTTTTGTTGAAAACTTTGGGTAAAAGTTTTGAAGTTCGTGGAGCTGGAACATGTAAGAGATTAGACTTAAGTTAAGTGACATGAAGATTTGGAAACAAAAGCCAAAACGAGCCATGCTCTTGGATAAAAAAGTACCTATAAACATAAGATAGCTTACACAGCAAGATGGTACACAAAAAAACGAGCTAACCAACCACACGTCCTCAGTTTCTTCAATATTACCCTTCCCAAGAAAAGTAAATATACTCTGATTTCAAACGAAGAAAGAAGAGAGGGTTTATATAACAAGAGAAGATCAAAAGATATCGGTAGATAGTTCTCAGTCTAGAAGATCATCAAAGGAGCCAAGCTCTGATGTTCTTATCCTTTTCGAGGGTGAATCATAGAGTCCAGGCTCCGTTCCGTTACCTAGCTGCAACGATATATGATCATCTGGTGATATCCATGTCAGTGGATTAGCTGAAACAAAACAAAACCAGCCAATCGTCAAACAAAACGAAGCCAAATGTTTCCACATAGAAGAAGGTAAGGTGAGAAATGAAGCAACATACCTGCAGTAGCTACAGGGGTTCTTGTATTATCGCTGGATTCCATAACTCGAGCTGGACGCTTCCTCACATAGTTCTCCTGCAGAGGCTTCGGGATCTGGAACGAGAACTGTGTAATCTTCACTCCTTCATTTATATATTGCGGGTTGTCATTCAAGTACCTGCACGGTGTCAAGAAACAGTCTACACGTTACTAAAAACAGATTTGTAATCACTAAATCGTTCTTCTACCATTGTTCTTGATACACACTTTTGCATCACTACCTAACTTTGAATATTCACCACAAGGTTCCCCAACAACATGTTCCTACTAGTTCTATACATGTGAAAACTATAATGTTGTGTGGCAAAAAGGAAAAAGGAAACGAAAACTAACTTTTGGACCTCATTATTTGAACGAAGCTTCTTCCCTGACGGAGAAACATAATACCTGAAAGAAAGATCAAGAAAAACAAGGAATTATATATTGTATGGTTTTAATACATAAATTAAAAAGGCGAAAAAGGAGAAAAGGAACGTACACGTCAGCGAATTTGGTACCTCCTTCACCTCGAATCCTTAGCAAACGTTGCCAACCATTAGGTGGTCGAGCGATGCTAGGCTTATCGATAGCCCAGAGACGTGTTCCGTCTTGAGAGATATCCGCAGGGACATCGCAAGACATGTTCGGCTTCCACTCGCAAGCCGTCTCGCAGAAGAACGGGTTCTCAAGAAGCTGCTCTCTTATCTCTTCGTACTTCTGCATCGACGGCATCAGCCTCCATTTGAAACAGCTCGCACACTGCACCGTGAACGCTCCAATGGAAGGACACTGCGTTTTGGATGAAGGAGGAGGCTGAGATCTGATAATTTGGACTTCGTCTTCCGTGTCATTATTCCCTTTGGAGCCGTAAAGAACCAACTGATTCTCGCTCGTATCCTCTGTTACCTCAACAGGTGAGGAAGATCCTGATCCCTGCGAAGCTCGAAAATCCATGGCACCGGAGAGAGGGAGAGAGTTTTTCTCCTCCATTACTGCGACATACTCGATGCAATCTACCTGTAGATAAAATCCAGACGGAGAGATGATTATATAAGCAAAGTGAACAGTAGAAACCCTCGCGTGGAGGAGATTGATTTACAGATCACAATTCAGTTGTATCGAATTGAGTGAGACAGATAAAGGAAGAGAAGAGCGTATCGAATGGAGGCAACAATAATCAACAAAAGGAGCAAAACATGCGGTGAGAGCTACGAGATCCATACAGATAAACATTGAAAGAGGCACAAAAGAGATAAACACGAAGAGAAGGAGGAAGGACTATTACACGAAGGCAAGATCGGTGAGAGAGATTTCTCGATAGAATCAGCGAAGTCTAATTCGGACCAATCTCCACAGAACTAATTCGAACACAAGCTTTTTAGATTTGTGTTGGTGTTGTTGTCGAGACACAAATACGGAGAGAGAGAGAGAGGATTTTAATTCCTTTAGCATATAAATATGTTGCTACAAAAATAATCGTTCTTCAATTTCCATAAATTTTAATTAGGAAAATACCCTTATCTTTTTATGGGTTGCTATGAAATCCCTCTGTGGATTTTGTAGCAGATGAGAACCACAGTTGGGCCGGCCCAGATCCAACTTTAGCGCAAATACTCTTCATATTTTAATGTTTCATTTCATTTAGCCCAAGTACTATTTATGTTGGACCTTGGTATGTCTAACCCAAATACGAATTTGTTTCTTTTATTTAATTAATTAATTGTCTTTTTTTTTTTTTTTCCAACTGTTCCTTTATTAAGTTGACAACAGAGGTCAGAAACTCAGAATGTAATACATTTGACAGAAAGTCAGGAACATATGAATTGAAAAGAAATATTTGTTTATCTACAAGATTGCCTTTTGCTAAAGAATCAGCGGCCATGTTTGCTTCCCTTGGGACCCAAGTAAAGGAAATATCTTCACACTTCGTCATCCATTGCCAAACTTCGCGGATCTAATTAATTGTCTTTTAAGTTTAATAATTGCCACATACACTATATTAGGGCTTTATTTTGATTAAACAAAACAAACCCTTTGGTTAAAAAGAATAAAAGACCTCAAATCGAACAAGAATTCCATTATGAATGAAGAAACCTTTGTCAATTGGTAAGTTAAGAAACAAAAACCAAAAACCAGAAAATGATAGGAAACCAAAAGGAGTTTCTTGTTGTTGAAGAAATGCAATAAAACGACTTTCCTTACATATTCCAGATCAGCCATCATTGACACCATCATTGACACCAGAGGTGGATGCTCCGTCTAATCTTCTTATCCTTTTCGCGGGTCGATCATCTGAACCGTGAAGCTCTTGCTTGGCTGCCACATCTCGGATTATAGATCTAAAGTGCGTTGCAGTATCAGACTCATCTGGCTCATATTGCTTCAACGGAGACAAGCCACTCCATAACGTTTCGTTAAGGTCAGCCTCGGGTGGTTCAAATTGAATAAACGGTAACCGCTCATCTGGAGCTCTCCATGGCAATTCTTGGAGTACAGGCTCCGGTGGCACATCTGGCAGCAACTGTAACTGCTCTTCTGGAGATCTAGATGGCCATGCATGGAGTTGAGGCTCCGGTGGCACATCTAGCCGCAACTCTAACTGCTCTTCAGGACATCTCGATGCCGATGCATGGAGTTCAGGCTCAGGCTGCGGTGGCACATCTGGCAGCAACTGTGACTGCGATCTCCATGCCGCTGGAACATATAGCTGTATCGCTAAGCATTGTTCATCTGGAGATGCATGGAGTTGAGGCTCCTCAGGTGGCTGGTATATTACCAACGCCAAGCATGTATTTGGAGTAGATGCCGATGGACCTGCTGAATAAAACACAAAACAAATCCACACATTTTAATTTTGTTTTACCAAAAAGTATTCCAAATGATTTAACAAAGATATCCTAAAAAGAGGTTGTGGACAAGTTGCTCGTTTTGATAGATAGTTTTTTTTATTAAATCTAAAGCTCTAATATAAAGGAATAGCCGTAAGAAGATTTATGTAAATCCGTGCCTTGCAAGTGACTTAATAATATCTAGCCAACAATTAAAGTTGTTGCTGGATATTACACTAACAGTTGATACAGAAGAAGTAAAACAACATACCTTCTCCAGTAGCTACAATAGCGTTTGAATTACCACTTGGATTCATTTTTTGAGCTGGGCGCTTCCTCACATAGTCCTCCTGCAGCGGTTTCGGGATTTTGAACGAGAACTGTTCCTTAACCTGTTCCTCAATCCTCTTCCCTTCTATTATGTATTGCGGGTTTTCTTTCAAGTACCTGCAAGCTAGAAATGAGGTTTATAAGCGTGTAAAGAAGCTGTCATATGTTACTGAAATCAAATTAGTAACCACTAAGCTTATCTTCTACCAAAGTTGTTGATCTCAAATGCTTCAGGGAAGTATAATGAAAACAGGGATGACATTTACGTTGTTAGTAAGCAAAACATAAGCAAGGGTTTATGAATAACACATCATAGCCTAGCTCTAGATAATTACGACAAGATACCACTTCGAGGTTCCCATAACACATATCTGCTGATTATATCCCTATATATATATTCTCAAACGTAACAGCAAGGCACTCTAAGGGAAGATAACACTATAAAGGAAATGGAGCACTAGAAAAACTAACCTTATGACCTCTGGTCCCGATCGAAGCGTCTGTCCTAAAGGAGTGATATAATAGCTGAAAGAAACAAAAAAAAAAAAAAAAGTTATAAACTTAGGGGTTTTTTTTTCCAGAAAGTGTTGTAACAAAAAAAATAAAAAAAGAGTTACTAACATATCAGCGAAACAAGATCCTCCTTCATTTCTGATCTTCGTCAGACGCCTCCATCCAACGGGTGGGCGAGGGATCAAATGACTCTCAAGAGCCCAAATAAGTTCTGTACCTTCCTGTGATATATCGGCAGGAACTTCACAGGACATTCCTGGTTTCCATTGGCATGCTACGTCACAGAAGAAAGGTTCTTCCTCCAGATATGTCCTTATCTCTTCATAGATCTCCATCCATGGAACTACCCTCCATTTGAAACAAGTTGCACATTGGACCGTAAGCTGACTAATAGGAATTGCCTTTTCACGCTTGTCTTTGACAACACTTCCTTCACCCACAGGTTTTGGTTTGTTTATCGATCCGCGTGGACGACCACGGGGACGTTTCAACACACTTCCTTCATTGGCACCCGCCAAGTTCCCAACAACAGGTGGTGTTGATGGAGATGCTGGAGCACTTGCTTCGTTCACCACCAATCCAGACATAGTACCTGTAATAAATGATAAATGTGTTATTAGATTTATTATATATGGAACGAGAAGAAGAGTTAACAATATCTCTTTCCCTTTCTACCAAGAAATTAAATCTCTTAACATTAAAACCAAAAAAAAAAACAAAGAAATAGAACATGCAAAGAAGATTAACATTAGAGTGGCTTTTCTTTATGTGTATGAATTTAGACAAAATCAACAATTGAAATTAAAATCCAGACAGGAAATGAGATCTCACAAGCAAATACATGGGACACACGAGTATGTAACGAATAAAAAAAATAAAATTCATAGAAAATAAACCTAGTTTCTATCAAATTCAGAGAGAGAAGACAATATAAAAAAAACCATGAAGTTTCAAAAGAAGAAAATGTTCGAGAAGAAGAAGAATCATTACACGAAAGATGAGAGGGGGTGAAGACTATACGGATGTCCGCGAGAAGTTCTATAGATGAGAGGGGCTGAACAAAGCTTTTTAGATTTTTTTGCTGGTGATGTTTGAGTTGTTGTGGAGACGAGATATATAAAGAGAGAGATTGGGACTAGTGAAGTGATAGAGAGATAGAGAAGAGGGAAAGAAAATGAATTTAGTTTTTTTTCCATAAATTAATATGTTGACCAAAATATAGGAAACCTTTTAATTATATTAGAAAAATACAAAAGCTAACTTAACTGATAAAAATGCCAGCACAAATTTCCAAAAACAATTTCTATGTAAACAACAAAATACCAACTAAAACCCCAAAAAAAAGAAAAAATCCTCTAAAAAACCATTACCTTATGAAGAAAATATGTACATCGAATTATAAAAAAAGGTTAATCGGGTGTCTAATTCAGTTAATCATATCACAGAACATTTATTGTTAAATCTGAGAAAATTTAGGAAATGAATTTCTTAAACTATTGACAGTGAAAAGTTAAAAAAAAATGCCTAACATTTGTGGCAACATATTCATCCGAAAGAATTTATCAAACGAAATATTAATTTTTCTATTTTAAGAAGATTTTGATATGGCTGTCAGCCTGTCAAAAATAATAATAATGATATCCTATAGGAAATATATAAAAATAGAAAACTGATTTTTTTATTTATTTACGGAAACATATCTATGCAAAAGGAATTAAAATTAAAAGAGATACTATCTTTAGATTTAAAAAAAAAATAATAATAAAGCCTACATTGTTGACAAAAAAAAATCATCATTGTGATATTGTTCTGACGAATGACTTTGATTTCCTTTTGCAAATATTCCATAAATTCTTCTGCTACTCCATACAATGAAGATTCTAAAATGTCTTCTACCCATTGGTTGCTGCTTACGTTAAACTTTCCAATGCAAACCGAAAACGGTGGAACATGACATGAACCAAAAAATGGTCTCAGGACACCACGAAATGGGTTATTGATTTATTTGTGTATATGGTGCTCATGAAACATCAATTGAATGGCCGTTGTGTGTGTGTGTGTGTGTGTGTGTGTGTGTGATGCACATGACTTCTCGTTATCTCAATGGTACTTATCTCTTAATAATACATAAACTTATCTCAAATGTTTTGATGTCTAACCTCTAAATTTTCTCAGGTGCTATTCCTAGGAAAAATTACAACAATATGTAGTGGATTTAATGGAGTTAAATTTAAGTCAAAATTAACTTCTCAATAACACCAGTTAATCAAACTAGTTTTGTAAGGTACCAAATTATGGGCACAAATTGATCCTTAAACTAACAACTATTCTGTATATCATGGATAAACAACCAATGGTGTTGGACTGGTGTCACATGAATAATCAGCGCCTTGGCTATATATAGCCTTAGTGCCTTACACTTGGTCGACAGAAACAAAAAAAATGTAGAATATAGAGAGAAGATTTGTGTGAATTAACATTGTTGTATCAGGAAAACATAGTAGATAAGTGTGCTCTTCTCTGGTTTTTGTAAGTTCCATAGTAAATTTATAACAAATCAAAGCTTGTATAGATTCTGAGGTGTACAAGTGTTTTGTGTTTACATCATAGGAAAATTTGTGTGAATTAACATTGTTGTATCAGGAAAACATAGTAGATAAGTGTGGTCTTCTCTGGTTTTTGTAAGTTCCATAGTAAATTTATAACAAATCAAAGCTTGTATAGATTCTGAGGTGTACAAGTGTTTTGTGTTTACATCATAGGAACTCTAAAACCCAACATATATAAACAGACTATTCTGTTCAAATATTGGTAACAACCTATTCTTGATCTTGACCAAAAATATTTTGCCTTCATCTCCTTGATGCATATATATTCTTTACTTTGACAATGCACGATCAGGAACCAGAACTATTTTGTAAACTTGAGTTATCTGCTCCATACTGTAGTTGTGGATCACTCATAATCTCCTGCAAAAGGAAAATATATATAGTTTTACTAACCAAAACAATTTAAAAATCTTGAAAGAGGTGCTTAATGGATTCATACCTGTAGTGAAGTCCTGGACATTGGCTTTAGATTTTGGGTGTTATTCAAGTTCCTAATCGGTGAAGGACGTTGGTTTCCGCCGAAGTTAATAGGTGGCATGTTTTCTTCAGCTAGCTCCCTGAGTCTGTTAAGCTCAGGCAAAACCACATTCCCTAAGTCAGGTCTATCTTTACGTCTTAACTCTGCACATTGTAGACCGATTTTGGCTGCAACCAAGGCCTCTTCGACTGGCCAGTCAAGCACCGAAGAGTCTAAGATATCTTTGAAAGTTCCCTTTTCGATTGCTTTCTCGACGTGATGAGTCAAACCCATTGGTGGTTTAGCTGTAAGTATTTGCAAAAGCATGATCCCGAACGAGTATATGTCTGACTTGGTCCCTAACATACCGGTCTGTTGATATTCTGGATCAATGTAACAGAATGTTCCAGCGGTTGCCGTCATTCTATATTGCGTTTTGGTGTCAGCAACCGATGCAGGGACAAGCCTGGCAAGTCCAACATCAGCAATCTTGCTGACGAAATGCTGGTCAAGTAAAATGTTTCCCGGTTTAAGGTCACGGTGCACTAATGGCTCTGGTTTCATCTGGTGAAGGAAATGAAGGCCGGTGGCGATCTCAGCTGCAATGCGGAATCTTAGCTGCCAAGATAGGATTGAAGAGTTTCCTCTTCTGAAGAGACGGTCTTCTAAGCTACCATTTGCCATGTATTCATAGACTAAACATCCGTATTCAGGACAAGCTCCAAGAAGAAGAACCATATTTGGATGTCTCATACAAGTAAGTACTTGAACCTCTTGTTGGAACTGAGACCTTCCTTGTGCAGCGTCTGGTCTTAGAACTTTTATTGCAACCTGAGTATAATCTACTGTTCCTTTGTAAACAGGTCCATAGCCTCCTTCTCCGATCTTGCGGCTAGGAGAGAAATCTTCTGTTGCTTCTTCAATCTCCTCAATTTGGTATTTTCTGTACATTAAAGAATACATTGACTTCTTCTTTTCCTCTGTGGTTTCGATGTGCTTCTTCTTTTGAGCTTCTTGTTCTGCTCTTTTCTGAGCTGCCGCTGCCGCTTCCATGGCTGCTCTGCTCTTTTCTTTCTCCCTCTCTGCCATTGCCATTGCTGCTTCCTTCGCAAGTCTTGCCTCTTTCAATTTCTGTTCTTTCTCTGTTTTCCACTTGTGTAACTCAGAAGCCTGAGAAGATATAAATCGGATTATATGACTGAGAATTTAGTTTTAGTCACATTTTTTATCGTTCCAAAACTAAAACATACCGCTTGCTTTGCAGATATTGCTTCCTTGCAGGCACTGCTATACATGTCCATTGTATGTTTTAGCTCCATTTTCAGCCTTCTCATCTCCGCTTCAATCTCATCCTGTCAGATTTTAGATTTAAGTAAATGGAAAAAAAAAACATTTCTCATGTGCATGTAATGTGGTATGAGTAATGAAAATGTGTGCTTACTTGGCTAGATAGTGAACATGATTGCCTCCCACTTTCTTGTGAGCTTGAAGAGAATGCTGCATATGAAGAGCCAAGATCTATAGACTGCTTATCAGATGAGGATGATGTAGCAAAACTAATTCGATTCTCATCATACTCAGAGCTGAGTGACAGCCGTGGAACATCTACATTGTCGTAAAACGAAGGAAACATGATATCCACACTTGGTCTTCCACTACTCACAAATGATATGTCAGATTCTGTCATTGATGGCTGGTATGTGCCTTCATATCCTTTTCTCATAAAAGGAGACCTATTCAACATTTGAAGGTTTCCATAAGTAGAAGTTTTTTTTTATTATGGACAACAAAGAAAACAATGTTATAATAGGTAACAAACATACTTGATCTCGATCTCATCATGTGTTCTTTGCATTGGTCTTTGCCTCCTTTCAACTGCGATAAGAAAGCCATTTGATCAGTTAGACCTTTTTACTAGAGGTTTCTCAATGTGTATCTCATAATATATACTTTAAAAAGAGAAAAAGTAATGCAACTCTCTAAAGGATTTTCTTGCAATGCAAGTTTCTTAAAGGTGGATATATAAAAGTACTTGTAAATCTATGTGATGTGAGAACATACCATTCAGATTACTCGTTTGATGTGTGTGTACATTATGTCGAGAATTGGGGATCGGAAGTGAACTTGTAGCTGATCTCATGGACGAGACTTTCCCTTTAGAGATTGCATATACAGTACAGAAACTTGGAGCCCTTTTCATGACAGTGTTTGAAACATCCGCTGCTTTGAACCTTCTATCAAAGAAAGCATATATATAAGCATGCTCAGGTATCTATATAGTCTCAAAGTGCGAGATAGAATTTTCCTAATTACCTCAAGAGAGTCATCTTGGATGCACCGAGTACTAGAGTCTCGACTGCATTCCTTTGCACATATTCAAGTATTCCTTTAGCCGCACTAAAGTCCTCCACAGTCACATCTACGCAGGTTATCTATTGTAGGAACAAGAAGAGTCAAGTCAAATGAAATTAAACATTTGAAAAAAAAAAGATTCAAAGAAAAGCGAAAACGCACATCTTTTCTAGCACAGTAGCAACGGAAAGGAAGAAAAAATTCTGGCCCGTCGTCGCCTAGCTTATTCGGGTTAGACCCTACATTACAACAACAAGAAAATTGGTTCAGCTTTATGTTAATATATCAGATGACATAAGCCTCAAAAGATGAAAGTTAGATTGGCGTTTGAAACAAGAAACAAAGGGTTTTAAGATAGTGTCATACCGGAATAAGGAATAGAAGGGGATTGTTTGAGTTTAACATGAAGAAGAGTAAGCGTTTGTCCTCGTCTTAGAATGTTTTCCACTGCCCATTTCAACGCACTCTGGCTTTCTTTGTCTTTGTCGATGGCTAACGTAACGTTTCCTTCACTCTTCACCATTTTTGAACTTCAATCTATTCTGGTTTCTGGTTTGGTTATGCAAGAAAATAGATAGTCAATGACTTTTTATATATAAATGAAACTATTTTGAATTTGGAGAAACGCGTTTTGAGTATGCTAACTTTAGCAAATGCTGAACAACAAGAAACCTAGCTTTGACACTCTTTCTTATCGTCTCCTTAAAGAATGTTTTTATCATTTGTAACTGATTTCACATGCATCTAGAACTTTTCCATTCCTGTAATTTATTTAAGGTGATAAAAATTTAATAATTTTAACAAGAAAAGTAGTTTCAAATTGATGGAAAGAGAGTGAGAAATACAGAAAATAAAACATACAACGAATGAGTTTGTATTTTCCATCTAGTTTCACTTGGTTCCTAATTTTATCCAAAAAAATAACAAATTGGTAGCATCTCTGGCTAAAAAAAGTTAACAGAAACAAATATATCTGAATTTGAAACAACCTTGTTGTTTAGTTAAAGAACATTCTGTTTCACACCACAGTGTTTGGGTTTAGGGTTTTACTAATATAGACAATAAGGGGATTAGTTTGTTTTCGTTAATTTGGATTGAAACAGAATATTTAAAACAGAGAGGATTAAGTTATTGATGCTTGTATGATGTAATGTTAAAAAGACATCATCACAGGTCAGCAATATAGAAAATCAAGTTTCACCACAAACCTATTATTAGAATGTTTTTGATCAAAGCCTTCTCTTTACCATTCATCTCTTTTCAATCTCCCTTGTCTCTCTCTGCTGTGTCAATCCAACTCAAGCTGTAAACATCACATTGTCCCCTTCTCTGTCGTCCTCTTCTTCCTCCTTTCCTCAAGAGGGTGCGCGCCTTCCAATGCAGGCGCGTTCCCTAAGCTATACAACACCATGATGCTACCAGTAGTGTCTCTCCTCCTTTTCCTTTCCACAACCATCAACGGTCTTTCGGATTCCGAGGCCATCCTCAACTTTAAGAAATCTTTAGTTCTTGGGAAGGAAAATGCATTGGCCTCCTGGGACGCTAAAAATCTTCCTTGCACTTGGGATGGTGTCTTGTGCAATGAAGGTACCGTTTGGGGACTGCAAATGGAGAATTTAGAGCTTTCTGGTTCTATAGACATCGATTCGTTGGCGGGTTTGACATCGTTGAGGACTTTAAGCTTCATGAACAACAAGTTTGGAGGGCCATTTCCAGAGTTCAAGAAACTCTCTGGTTTGAAGTCACTTTATCTATCAAACAATCAATTTGAAGGACAGATACCAGGGGATGCTTTTGAAGGTATGGGGTGGTTAAAGAAGGTTTTTTTGGCTGGAAACAAGTTTACCGGTGAAATACCCATCTCTATGGCAAAATTACCTAAACTTTTAGAGCTGAGACTTGATGGGAACCAATTCACTGGACAGATACCAGAGTTTGATCATAAGCTGAATATGTTAAACCTTTCAAACAATGCATTAACCGGTCTAATCCCTGATATTTTTAGTATGATGGATCCAAAGGTGTTTGAAGGTAACAAAGAATTATGTGGGAAGCCTTTGGGAAAAGAATGTTATTCTTCTCAAGAACTTCCTACACAACTTGTGGCACCACGCAAATCGTCATCAAGGGCACCCTTTATTATAACAGGAGTGGTCACAGCATTTACAGTATTCATAATCCTTGGAGTGATCATCTTGCTTAACCGCAACTATAGGAAGAAACGACCACAACTGGTAAAAGAAACCGGACCATCAAGTCTACAGAAGAAAATTGGGATCCGAGGAGCAGATCAAAACCATAGAGAACATCGGAACGGCTCAGGCACTTCCAAGAGAATGGCTGCATCAGGAGGAGGGGATAACACAAAGCTTACGTTCTTGAGAGAAGATATAGAAAAGTTTGACTTGCAAGATTTGTTGAAGGCTTCGGCAGAGATACTTGGGAGTGGTTGTTTCGGAGCATCCTATAAAGCAGCTCTATCAAGTGGAGTAATGATGGTTGTGAAGAGGTTCATACAAATGAACAATGCAGGGAGAGATGAGTTTCAAGATCACATGACAAGATTAGGGAGGTTAAGGCACCATAATCTGCTCCCCGTTGTTGCTTATTACTATAGAAAAGAGGAAAAGCTACTGGTATGTGAATTTGCTGAGAGAGGAAGCTTGGCCGTTAATCTTCATGGTAAGTTTTTGTTACTCTTACACTTTTACACTTATTCTTAGAGCATCTCCATCAAGGGTCTCTCACAAAAAAAGAGACAAAATATATACAATTGTGTGATGCAAGTATATGTGGGTATGTAAATAGTTGAGAGACTCAACCAAAAGTATGTCAAATGAGAGACTTTTGGCTGAGTCTCTCAACTATTTACATACCCATATATACTTACATTACACAATTGTATATATATTTTGTCTCTTTTTTTGTGAGAGACTATGGGTAACATACCCTTGATGGACATGCTCTTAGATTCTGAATAATGCTAACAAACCGAATCTTGATCACCATTACCTATAACCACTCAAAGTCTTTTTCATTTATTGTTGCTCAAGAGTCTCATATTTCTTAAGCATTTATTACTAGGTAATCAATCATTAGGAAAACCAACTTTCGATTGGCCTACAAGATTGAAGATTGTGAAGGGTGTTGCAAAGGGGCTGTTATATCTCTACCAAGATTTACCAAGCTTAATGGCTCCACATGGTCATCTCAAATCATCAAACGTTCTCCTCACTAAAACCTTTGAACCTCTACTCACAGACTATGGTTTAATCCCGCTGATAAACCAAGTGAAGGCACAAGAGCACATGGTGGCCTACAAATCCCCAGAGTATTTGCAACACCGACGTGTCACCAAGAAAACCGATGTATGGGCACTTGGCATCCTTATCTTGGAGATTTTAACCGGAAAGTTCCCAGCTAATTTCTTGCAAGGTGGGAACAAGAATGAGGAGGATTTAGCCAGTTGGGTGAAGCTGGGTTACCAAGGGGTATGGTCACCGAGTTTGTTTGATAAAGAGATGGGCAATACAAGAAACTGTGAAGGACAGATTGTCAGACTCTTGAAGATCGGATTGAGTTGTTGCGAACCAGACGTGGAGAAAAGGTTGGAGATAAGAGAGGCCGCGGAGAAGATTGAGGAACTGAAAGAGAGGGAAGGGGATGATGACGACTTTTACTCAACGTATGTGAGTGAAACTGATGGGAGATCATCTAAAGGAGTGTCAAGTGAGAGCATCAACATATCATGAGAAGAGACCAGAGTTTCTTTTTTCACTTTTATGCTGTATAAAATCAAAACGAGATCGGGAGGTGATGGATATGTTGACATTTTACCTGTGCGAAAGTGAAACTAGATGAAAGCTTGATTTGTGTGATAGCATATAATGTATCTGCCAAAAACATGAGACACACAAATCCATGAATATTACACTTGTCTCTTCCATCTTTCTGTAGATCATGACATGATTTCTTTACATATGGCATGTAAACAGAATCTGCAAATACGAACTCATTCACTTTCATTCTATGCATGGTAAAAGAACATGAGCCACGAAACATTGGCAAACATAACTTTAATAATGAGATCTTTTTATAATTTAGTCTTGCTTCCTGAAACTGTAGGTTTCCCGAGCATTTTACCCAAACATATATTTTTCCATTGGATATGATACCCGAGCATATTACAGTCTAGTTCATATTTTTGAAATATGTGAGTAAAACATTCTTGTATCCTTGCGCATACAAACAATTCAGCATAATTCACAGCTTGATTCCACAATTATGCAAACACCAGTTAGGGCCATACTTTTCATCATCTTTTTCTCAAGAAACAGACTAAAAAGGGAAACTAAACCATCTTGAATGGAAAGATACGTAAAAGATTGACACAACTTTACGTATCTTAGAAGCATCTTTATTGATAGCATCATCAATATCAATGTGATTAATGTATTTTGTCCAAGTATCTAAGCTTGATAGATTATTCCAAAATCATTAATCATGCTCTAGTTTGTCCTCAATCAGGGTTATGAGAACACTTTTTTTTTTTGGTTCGATCTGAGGAAGCTCTTAGCAAGCGAGGATAGCTTGAGGCATCATGTACCAACCTTGAATTTTCTCTGAAGCATGGAGAACATTCATATGTCCATGGAAACGATTTATTCTCTAAAAATAATATTCTAATTCGAGAACTTCTACCAGAAAATATCAAGAAGAGTGTTGAAGTACTAAACCTTTGAAGAGGTACAAGAAGTGTTATCGATATATATGAATTGCCTGTATAATAATGCTCACAGTCTCGGTTTCAGTTGCTTCAGCCGAAAGGAGCTTCTCAAAACTGAAGTAATTAATAAAGTCCTACTTAAGGTGAAATATGTCACAGAAAAAACCCTTGTAAAGCGACATAGTAAAAAACATTGACTATGAAAGTTTGATGGATGATTTTGCAGGGAAAAATGTAAGAAGGGTAATTAATTTTCAGTATTGGTAAACATTTGTTAACTTTTAAGATATTGTATAGATTTTTTTGTTTTTTTTCAAACTTGAATTTTTTAGCAACTTAATGTTTTCTGTATCATCTAGCACTCTAATTTTTTTTATTTTCTTATTGGACCTCAATATCCCAGGACCACCTTTGATTAAACATAATGATCAGATTCTTCCAAGTTTATGTCACAATGTTAGCCAAACATATACTACCAATTGAGTGGTTTACACTTTAAAACGTTGAAATTAAATTGGCGTAGTATTAGCACTTGATGGAACCTTTTAATATAAAATTGTGTAACAAAAACAAAAAGGAAAGGCATAAAGAAAGTAAGGAGTCTATTCTTATCTCTCAGTTCCTCTCTACTAAAGCAGGTTCACATATCATTCACTCTGTATTATATATCTCAAAATAGAGTGGTCCTCAAAAGTTTTTATATGCAAGTTGCTCAACTATATATCTCTCTCTCCACAATTCTCTTACGTTGATAAACTCGTAAGTAAACTTCAGAGCAAGGAGAAGATGAAGATCCTGGTCATATTTTTCCACAGCTTTCTTGAACTTTCGTTTTCATTTCCATTTGTTTTTATTAAAACAAAATAACAAAAGATCTGTGGAAAACAAAAAATAGAAAGCTCAAGAAAGCTGTGGGAAAACATGACAATTCAGGGTTTTCTCCGTTGATTAAAGTGTCAGATTCTTTTTTAGGTATGAATTTTGTCATAATTTGAAGGGTTTTTTTTTTCGTTCTTTTTGATAAAATTGTCCATCTCTTCTTCTCCAAAGCTATCACAATTTGAAGGTTTGTTTATACTTAGTTACTTACCCTTTCTTCCAAAATTTTAGACATTCTTATTATGAACATGAGTGCTATTTATATGGATGGTAATAAGGTTTTTCGTTTTCTTGATACATTTGATTAAATCTGATATTTTCGTGAAAGTAGATAAAAGATTATAAGTTTGTCACAAATCAAGGCTACATATTACGATGGGGTATGGCAATTTCCTTCTAAAAATTATCGATTTCGTGAAAACTCCTCATTCACCGTATTTTCTTGATGAAAATATCCTAGGTCTTCTTCTAAATTGATATACTATTTATTGATAATTAAGTCTGTACTCTTTCCAAGGTCTGTAAGTGAATTGGAGGAACGAAGCTTCTCTGAGTTACCAATTCTGTATAGATAATCTTTTTACATTTCTGTTTGTTGAAAAAGTTTTAGCTGACGTCACTCTAACCACTCCACCTCAGGCGCGATTTACTCGTACGTTTTTTATGATGGACACTATTTTGGGGGTTAAAGTTATATGTATGTACACATGTCTCCCATGTGAGTGTGTTTATATATATACATCTCTTTTATTTTTTCTTAATATCATCTTTATATTTCGTATAACACACATACAAAACACTACATATGCATTTTTTTGAAAATCTGAATTTGAACATACTTTCATCAACCATTTACAGTGACAGGTTGATTTGATTGTATCATTGTCGCTTCTGAATTATTTTTGTTCCTCATTTGTTTGTTTTTGATGCAGCAGAAAAAAGGAAATTTAGATTATGCATTTTCATTTTTTTAATTCCTTTTTTTGTGTTATCTAAAGAACATTGCATATGCATGAAGCATGCATTACATACATACATACATACATGCATACATATTGTGTGCATGCACATGTCTCGCTTGTAACTGCTTTGTTTTTCTAATCAGTTTCATAAATTTCTCCAAGAACCGAAATAAAGTGAAGTTATGGTTAAGATTTACATCGATGGAAATTCTTTTTGATTAATTTCATGTTGGATAAAAGATAATACGTACAGACTTAAAAGACTATAGATATTTGATATGTAAAACCTATCTGAAATTTTCTAAACCATACAGAACATAAAAATGAAAAACAACTTACCTAAATTTGCCAATACCATTTGTCATAAGAGAATTATTCCTTGCATTAAGAAAAGGAAAAACAGCTGAATCAGTTGTGTCTATGTTCAAAATTTCGCTAATTGTTGGTTGGGCAGCGCTAATAATTCGGGGATTAACCGAAGTTGAATTTTATTTTAATATATTATTAGATATTTTATGTGTAAGATGACAAATTATAGTATGAAAATCATATATTTCTAACTTAGATTAAATATTCTTCCAAGTTCACATTTACTACAATAGATAAAAATAGTTAGAATTTATGTTTAGATGATACATTCCCAAATAGATCTGTCCAAAAATATTAGTCACATGTTTTTTTGTTAAGGTAACTCTAAACATAATGCACTTATATTTTTAGGCCAAATTTTACAAACAATTATTAGCTAGGTCAAACAGATTTCAGAAAAATATAAATTTGGTTTACCGGCTTTCAAACTAATCGATAATTTTTGTAAATCGGATAAAATCGATCAAACAACGTTTGACCAAATAGTATCACCGATTGAAAATTGTCACGGTCACTTCTTGGAGAGATTCATCGAGCGATTAATCGAAAAAATCAGTGATTTTTAGAACGTAGGTCTGTACTACCGAATTCACATGAAATGAATATGGTGAACATTTAATTAACCTTTCAGAACTAAAAACAACAAAAATATGAGAAAAATAAATAAACATGAGGCATGAATCTTATATATATATATATATATATATTTTTTTTTTTTAACTGCTACGTCGTACTTGATTCCGAGATTGTTTCTTACACATGTGTAAAAAGGAATACTGATTAATAACTGATGAGACATGATGAAACAAAAAAAAATTGACGAGACATGAAATTTGTATAGTGGTAAACAATTATTCAGAATAGTAAAGGCATTTGTCCTTTTATTTATTTATGATAAATACAGATCTGAGGATGATTGCGTTGTTGTGGCCTTGTGGGTCTTGTTTGTTTTCCACTGATTCCAAAACCTTTTGACGTGGAAATGATTTGATTGGCTGGCTAACACGATGTATGTAAGAGAGAGAAGATGGCCAACGCTTTGAAAGTGAAACTTTTGTCAATTTATGATCAGAAAAGATTTTGCATTTATATAAACTTTTTTAACTCCAGAGTATTGATCACGCCTAAAATGACTTAACGAGAGGACGAAAAGTAAAACCTTTTTTGGAATTTTTTTAAAGTCACTCCCTTTGAATTTTCATGGTCTCCTCCTTTGTCTTCTTCTTGTAGTTTCTTCACACTTTCTTTGATACATTATCATCTACTCACAGAGACTACAAAACCAAAGGCACTTATCGTCTCTCTAGCTCCACATCACAATGGCGGACAATCGAAGAAGAAGGAGCTTGTTCCACATCTCTCTTCTCTCCGCGTCTCTGCTATGTCTCTTTTTATCTCCGATTCCGGCATCGGCACAACCTCGGAAACTCAGGTTCGATGCCAACGGCGAGTTCAAGATACTGCAAGTAGCTGACATGCACTTCGCAAACGGCGCAACCACACGGTGTCTCAATGTCCTTCCAGCCCAAATGGATCACTGCTCCGACCTCAACACCACCGCCTTCTTGTCCCGACTCATCGCCGCCGAGAAGCCTGACCTCATCGTCTTCACCGGTAACAAAAACCCCAAATTAAAAAATCCCTAATTTGAATTATACCAATTGAATTGAATTTTGGGATTCTGTTTCGTTCTCAGGTGATAACATCTATGGGCCTCATGTGAAGGACCCAGTGAAATCCTTGAACGCTGCATTTGCTCCGGCGATTGCGTCTAAGACCCCTTGGGTTGCTGTTTTGGGAAACCACGATCAAGAATCTACATTATCACGACAAGAACTCATGAAACACATCGTGACGCTTCCCTACACTCTGTCCCAAGTGAATCCTCCCGAGGCTGCTCATTACATCGATGGGTTTGGTAATTACAACCTCCAAGTCCACGGAGCTGCTGCTGCTGCTGCTGATTCGTTCCTACAGAACAAATCCCTCCTAAATCTCTACTTCCTCGACAGTGGAGATTACTCCAAAGTCCCTTCCATCAAAGGCTATGACTGGATCAAAACTTCTCAGCAACTCTGGTTCAACAACACTTCAACAAAAAATCTTCAGAGGGAGTACAACGCGGAGCCTAATGCTCAAGAAGGTGTGGCTCCGGGGCTTGCTTACTTCCACATTCCATTACCGGAGTATTGGACTTTCGACTCAATGAACGCCACGAAAGGAGATAGGCTAGAAGAAACGTCATCGGCAAAAACCAACTCGGGTTTCTTCACGACGTTGGTAGCTAGAGGAGATGTGAAAGGTGTGTTTGTGGGACACGACCATAACAACGACTTTTGCGGTGAGCTCAAAGGTGTGAATCTGTGCTACGGTGGTGTAGCTGGGTATCATGCTTATGGTTTTACTGGGTGGCCGAGGAGAGCGAGAGTTGTGGTTGCTGGTTTGAACAAGAACAGAGATGGGAAATGGGGAGGTGTGAAGTCGATTAGGACATGGAAGAGGCTTGATGATCAGGATCTCTCTCGTGTTGATGCTCAGTTTCTTTGGAACAATCCTGGAAACTGATCAGTTTCTCGTCGTTTGTGACTTCATGTGGCTATGTTTGGACTTCTTGTAATGGTTGTGGTTTTATAAATATATAAACGAAAACGAAATAATACATTTCTCCAAATAGAGCTATGTAACGTTCTCTTCATATAGTGCCTTTGGGCTCTGAGCTTTGTGAATTTGTGTTCATGTCTTATTGGCTCTTTACATTATAAATGAAAATGGAAATAGAAAGTCAAGGAGCCCGTATAGCTCAGTGGTAGAACGTCAGTCTTGTAAACTGAAGCCAGAGAAACCAATAATATATGTTTTTCAGTAACAATGATCAAACTGATTAAGGAAACAAAGAAACAAAGAGAATGAAAAGTAGTACCCTTGAGTCTCTTGTATGTGGTCTTGCATTGAGGACAAGAATGGTTTCCGTGTTTCCTCTCATACTCATAGCAAGGTCTACAAACTGGGTATGAGCAAAAGTCACAAGCCACAAAGGGATCTCCGTTCACGGTCTTCCCAACATTGTCACTGCAGATCTGGCAAATCTGCCCACTCATCAATTTCCCCTACAATTGAAAGACGCAGCTAAATTCAGAAAACACAGTACTCGATTTTTTTAGCAGCAAATGTACATTTGCATGCTATATAATGAGTGAGAACTGAGAAGAGAAAGAGACGAGGCAAAGCATACCGCCGTTTCTTCTTCTGATTCCATCATACTTAATTTGGGTTTTTTCCACTGAAGCGTCGGAATAGATTCAAAACACAAAAATCAAACAGAATCAAAATCCGATCAGCTCGAAATCGACGAGAACGAAAATTGTAGGCGACGAGTGAAGTCGAATTTTGTGGAAAGAAAATGGAGAAATGCTTACCAATTACCATGCATGTAGATGAGAGAAATCAGGAAATTTGGAAATGGAGAGAGTGGTATCGTTTCCGTGAGGTAAAACGCTCTCTCTGTGGATTCACTCTACTTCTCCCGAGAGAGATTGATTTTTATTAAGGAAAATTGGGTTGCTTACAAGCTGCAACCTTCTTCACACTGTCTTCTCTGATTACACTCTTTTCCTCTTTTGCAATTTCTTATCGGTTGACACATAAACCGGAATTAAATTGCAGTAATTATGAGTCTAATAACTGGAATCTTATTTATACTAATAAAACAGAAGTCACCTCGTGGCTTATATGAGTGATACGTGTCCCTTCCAAATATTTTTAGTAAATTTCTTTTTTCTTTTTTTCGTTGGCTTTTTACTTTTTCTTATTTCTTTTTGTTCAAATTGTTTTTTTTTCTCTGTAACTTCCACGATCTAAGAAACCGTCTTCATCCTCACGATCTTCAATCTCATAAATCCACTTTTACCATGAAATTTCTCACATCTCCAGCCGCAAACGAACCACCCAAATCTATTCATCTTAAAAAAAAAATTAGTTTGTGGCAGACGAATCGCTGTTACCAGAGCTTCCCCTTGACGAATGAATTTCTCGAATCTTAGCGTGAAGAAAGTGAAGAAGAAGAAACATATATTAAACGTAAGTTTATGCTTCATATCAAATCCCGTTCTTTCCTCTCTGTATCTTTCCACAATGGTTGACCCATTTTTCACACCCAATTGATTTTCAGATAGAGAGAGATTTTCATTCTCATATGAAGAAGAGAGATGTAGAGTTAAAAATGGGGAAATTCGTTTGGATGTTCGGCGTCCAGCGAGAGATTGGTGTCGGCGGCGGCGAGAGATGGTGATTTCGTTGAGGCGAAGATGCTTCTCGATTGCAATCTTTGCCTCGCCAAGCACTCTACGTCTCTACCTTCGGTGGCGCCGCCGCTGAAGGACAAACGAGGTTGGCTTTCTATAATTCTTATTTCACAGACTTTACAGATTGTTTTATTTTCAATTTGATGATCTTTTTTTCTATTTCATATTAGATCATTGGAGTGTTGCTCGAGAACGGAGCTGATGTGAACGACGTTTACTCTATTGCCGCCAGGTATTCGATTCATGTTTCTCGAGTGGATTTTGGAATTTTTAAAATGTTGAGCCTTTGCCTAATTTTGAACTGATTCAAGGATTTAACTTCGATTCTTTTGATTAGTGGTATCTTAACTTGAATAAAGATTTTGTATTAGTAGTAGTAACATGTGAAATATTTGGCTTGGTTTGAGCTAACAGAGTAAAATTTTGTTCTTTTAATATATAATCCATGTGTGAAGAATAAACTACAAGTTTCATGGTTTAAAAATTGTTCCATCCGATGCAGATGTCTCATGATCTGCGACCTATGAATAGTGTGAAGTCACCTCGTGGCTTATATGAGTGACACGTGTCCCTTCCAAATATCTTTTGTAAATTTCTTTTTTCTTTTTTTCGTTGGTTTTTTACTTTTTCTTATTTCTTTTTGTTCAAATTGTTTTTTTTTCTCTGTAACTTCCACGATCTAAGAAACCGTCTTCATCCTCACGATCTTCAATCTCATAAATCCACTTTTACCATGAAATCTCTCACATCTCCAGCCGCAAACGAACCACCCAAATCTATTCATCTTAAAAAAAAAATTAGTTTGTGGCAGACGAATCGCTGTTACCAGAGCTTCCCCTTGACGAATGAATTTCTCGAATCTTAGCGTGAAGAAAGTGAAGAAGAAGAAACATATATTAAACGTAAGTTTATGCTTCATATCAAATCCCGTTCTTTCCTCTCTGTATCTTTCCACAATGGTTGACCCATTTTTCACACCCAATTGATTTTCAGATAGAGAGAGATTTTCATTCTCATATGAAGAAGAGAGATGTAGAGTTAAAAATGGGGAAATTCGTTTGGATGTTCGGCGTCCAGCGAGAGATTGGTGTCGGCGGCGGCGAGAGATGGTGATTTCGTTGAGGCGAAGATGCTTCTCGATTGCAATCTTTGCCTCGCCAAGCACTCTACGTCTCTACCTTCGGTGGCGCCGCCGCTGAAGGACAAACGAGGTTGGCTTTCTATAATTCTTATTTCACAGACTTTACAGATTGTTTTATTTTCAATTTGATGATCTTTTTTTCTATTTCATATTAGATCATTGGAGTGTTGCTCGAGAACGGAGCTGATGTGAACGACGTTTACTCTATTGCCGCCAGGTATTCGATTCATGTTTCTCGAGTGGATTTTGG